AACCCTAACCCCGCCCTTTCCTACACCACGGCAGCCCCAACACCAACGCACACAGCACAAGACGGCAGGTTGTGCACGCCACACCTCCATGTACATACGCTATGTTGCCCCCTCCGTCTCTTACAGCCCCACACACCCAATGGCAGAGAGCCCTCTATAGCACGCTCACCCCACAGCACACCCGTCCAGCCATACACCACACGCAGCCACTCACCGTCAGGCCACACACACGCACCAGACGGAGCAGTGTCAGCGTCCCCCGCACGGTGCATAGCGGCAGATTCCCCAGTTTGGGCCGCACTCGCAGCACTCCCAGAGCAGCTACCCCTAAGCCGTGGGAATCGCCATCGTCACGCGTCTCCAGCAAGGTAACCGCCCACAAACGGACCACTACCCCCCTGTACACGTTGCTCGCCTGCCTGCTCGCTCAGTAATGTGTCCGGCTCTCATGCCGTGCAGAGGGCCGTGTTATGTTCGGCGTGGCCAGGCCCTCGAGTCGACCACCACCACATCTGGCACAGACATCGCCGCAACTGTCGCAGCCCTCGTCGTACCATGCCTCTCCTTCGCGCTGGTGCTCTGTTCACCTCCGCTATCGTGGTGGCGGCCGCCTGCCTCTCAACAAACCCCCGGCAAGAGTCAACTCCCTTTCATACCCCTTCTTCTCCCCTGCTCGTCTCCTCTGCCTGTTGCCGTGCGAGCGTTGAGGAAGCGGTGGGCTCATCACGTCGGAACTGGCGCGGTGTGCCGACTGTTGAGCACGCGGCGTTGCGACACTCCGCCGGTCAGCAGGAAGCCACCGTTGCTGCTGCAGTTGCTTCTTCTTGGTGGGCAGCTGCCGCACGTTCTTTGGCCCCTCGCCGCGGTGGAATGGTGCCGCAGCGGTAGACAGCGTCGCGTCCGGCACCCGAAGAGCCCGCCACACACCACCACGGCCACGCCCTCTGCCTCTTCCACAGCGCCAGTGCAATTTCCTCGACGAAGGAGCTCTTGCGCGAGATGTGGTGGTTCATCAGCGCTCCGGCGACGCAATGCTCCACGACAATGCTTGAAAGATAGAGGACGCCTTGGCGGTGCGCCTGCTCTGCGGGAGACACTTGGCGTTCTCAGCAATCAGAATCATTGTCGTGTCTGCTTTAATTTCTCTTGTTTTCGTGCCTTTATCTCAATTTCTTCTCCCTCTTTCCACTCCGTTTTTCAATCGCATCTTCTTTCCTTTTACAGTCATATTTAGTCGTTCTTCTCTTGTGTGGTCCCGTAAATCTTGTATTTCTTCCGCTTCCCTCCTCTTTGGGCACAAATACCTGCCATCAATTATCGTCACCTCCTTCTCTCTCCGTATCAAACACCTCACTTCAGATGTGTATTTTTCTTCTTAAGATTTCAAGTCTCGGAAGATCAACCGTTCTGGCCTTCTCTATTGCTACAGGGAGGAAGGCTGGCAACGTTACAACAGACCGTTCTTCTTTCAGCCAATCAAGCGTTGCGTTTTGCAAAGCAGAGCTTAAAGTGCGGCAGGGACAATCCACTACCAAGTAATATAGAAAGGAAAGAGCTGTGATACAACGGCGACGCTGCATTCGGCATGCTCGAGTCACTTCTGTCTGGTTTCCACCGCTTTCTAACGCAATGCACTTCGATGCGCAGGATTCAGCTTTTGATTTCATCTACCGTCGCCTTTTGTGGCACCACACTTTTCCCCCGCTAGGCAGCTCTCAGCAACTGGGACTATAATAACGCACAGTACCAGGAGAGCAGAGCTGTTCGATGATCGTGTGGCGCTGATCCGCTGCTTGCTAACGCAGCAAAGAAAGGACAGCGTTGGTGTTGTAGCACCGAGCTAATCGTGCTCAACAGCCGTTGTAGGTGACGACCACAGCACATCTGTGGGTTCGAAGCGCTGCCTCACTCCATTCCTTTTCGACAAAGCACCCGCCTTGGTGGAAGCACCTGGGAACAGAAAATGTTCAGCAATGATGCCGCCTATGAGACAACGCGGTGCGCTACGTCTTTCATCTGTGATCCAAGCACTCTTGAAGGCAGTTTGTTGTAAGGACCAGGTGCACGTAAAACAACACGATAAAAGACCAAGATCGGACGAGAGAAGGGCAGGGAGACCACATTGCAGAGAGTAAAACGAGAAGGGTGACAGTTCCAGCAATGCAACGGCGTCAACCTCTGTCCTTTATATGCATCTACAGCGCAGATGGAAATCACCGCAGGACACTATTTACTCGCAATACGATCTTGCTGCGTTGCTTTGCGGCATGCGACAGTTTGGAATGATGGTTAGAAATGAGAGAATGACGAAGAGATATTTTAGTTTGCGTGGGAGGGGAATTATGTACTACAGAAAGAACATCCTGCAACGAGAGAGAGAGGGTGAAAGAGGAAAGAAAAGGGAACGTAAAAAGTGCTAGGCCGGCTCATCTCCGCCATTCCACCATGCAACCTTTCCTCGCTCAGGCTGTTCGAACTACAGAGAAGCGCTGATGTCAAAAAAGAACCATTCTGGCCACCGACGATTTCGAAGGTGTCCTTCTTGGTTAATCGGTGTGTTTGTGCGTTGGACGTGTTTTCTAGGAGCTCACTATAGTTTTTATGCAGAGATAAGATACAGTATTAGCTTCACTTCATATGACTTGTACGCGGCAGCGGTGTGGAGATCAGCAAACTCCAGTACAATGGCTTTGACAGTCACCCAGCGACAGGGAAGAATTTTCAGAAAACGAGTAGAGACGCTTTGTAACTCCACAATGGAAAAAGGATACAGCCTTGCGCTACGCAAGTCAAGAGAGAAATGATTTAAAAAAAATGGGCAGGTAGAGCAAAGTATATAAGTCGATGCTTTAGAAAATGTCGAAAGAAATTGTTTTTGGGGGGTCTATACGGGGCGTAATGCATTTCGTGAACACAAGAAAGGAAAAACACCCGAGCGCTACCGTGAGTCCATCGAGGTAGTTTTTGTCTTCTTCTCAAAGTAGGGCATCTGGAGAAGCTCGCTCGCGGTTTTTCGCGCAGTGAAGTCGTACTGGGTGCACGCAAGAAAGACGTCGTTGGCAGCGGGCTCCAGCGGTGTGCAGAGGTGCCGCTCGACGTCGCCGCCGAACATGAACTGCGCGATCAAGTACGAATCTGAAATGTCAGGGTCGTAGGGCAGGCGGCCGGTCAGCACCTCCGCCATCATAATCCCAAAGCTCCAAATGTCGGAGGCGATGGTCGCCTCCCCACGCGTGGCCTCTGGAGCCATGTAAAACGGTGTGCCCTCAACCGGGTGCGTGGAGGCGTGCGAGACGCGGCGCGAGATGCCGAAGTCAGCGATCTTGCACGGACCTGAATCGGGCACCAACACGTTCTGCGGTTTGATGTCGCCGTGAAGGATGCCGTGGCGGTGCAGGAAGTCGATGCCCTCCAATACACTCCGCAGCAGCACCTCCATCGGTGGTCGCCCCACCCCTTCCTGTGAGTCTGATGCCACGAACTGAAGCAGGTTGCCACCGCCAACGTACTCCATCACGATGCGAAGCTTATCGTAGGTCTCTTGAAACGAGATGTAGCCCACGATGCAGGTGTGGTGCAGCTGCTCCATAATGCGCACTTCATTCATCCACTCCAGTCGATCGCCCTGCGCCACAACAATGCGCTTCTCCCGCTGGTAACGGCGACGTCGCATCGTACTCACGTCGCCGCGCTCAATTTTGATCTCCTTCACGGCAACGAGGATGCCGTTGTGGGAGAGGGCGAGGCGCACGACGCACGACTTCGATTCTCCGAGAAGTGTATTCGACAGCTGGTAGAGAATGTTGTTGCCGTCGTAAAAGGTCTCAAGCTGCGGGAGACCGTTGCCTTCTTTGAGGGCAACAGGTCTGTTGTTGACGACGCGAATGGTGTTGGAGGGGCGCTCTACGACTTTTGCTCCCCCCCTCTCTTCGTCCGTTGTGTCCACCGCGCTGAGGGATGCACCGCGTGCCTCTGCCATACAGGCGCTCTCCTCCCCAAAGACCTTCCACTCCGGCGCGTGCCACACCCGCTGCTGCCTGTTGCTGCACCTCAGATCGTCGGGCGGCGCGCCCAGGACGTAAAGGTCGAGAGAAAAGTTTTGCTCAGCGAGGACGCTGCCCCATTGCACACACGGGAAATTGTCCTGCGTGTTTGGCGGCGGAGAGGCACCGATCCAGACGTACTTGCAGTAGCGCTGCTCCAGCAACGAGGGCAGCTCGCGTAGAATTGTCACCGGCCGGCCGTGCAGCACGTACGAGTGCTCGCTCGTGGTGCCGCACACAACGTGGCCGGCGTACCCAGCCAGGTTAAAGAAGGCGCCGCTCTCTTCTTCCTTGAGGCCTTGCAGAAAGTTCTGGTAGAGCCAGCATCCGCACTGCGCGCAGGTCAGCACGTAGTCGCCGGAGCTTTCCACAAATCCATTCCAAGACAGAATGGCGGAGTCGTTGTAGAGCTCGACGAGGTGGGCGTCGAAGCGGCGCACGCACAGCAGCACGGCAGAAAGAAATTTGTTCGTGATGTGCACCACCGCGTCCGCCTCCCCCTGCATCAACTGACGGTAGGTCAAGAAGGAGATCTGCAGCAGCGCCACGTGGCGGCCGCGAAGCGTCAGATCGAATGGACGCGCACTCGCAACGAACTCCGTAGAAAAGGACAGCTCAAGTCCCGGAGAGACCTGTCGGGCCCTGCCGGGCTGCGACACGAAGGATTCTGCGAGAGGATGACTGAAGACGTCGTTGCCGTACGCGCCGTTGCTCCGTCGAAAGGCCGACATTTCTGCCGCTGCGGCAGACAGCTGGGCGGCGGGGAAGAACGACAGCGACTGTAAAAAGCTGCGCTGAAAGGAGCCGGAGACTGAGGGAGACGTGTGCAGCGTCGGTCCGTCGCCGTCGTTCTCGGCGGTCTGCCTGCCCGCGTCGGCCTGCTGTGTCGACATGTGCAGGCTGACAGCGTTGAGAGCCTCCTCCGCTGCGCTGATCTCCTTAAAAGATGAGAACTCCATCACCCAGTACCGCCCAGACTCCGCCACGCCTCGCGCACGCTGCACCGAATCGACAAAGAAGAAAATGCCGCAGCGCAGCCTGTGGATCATCTCAACCATGGTGGAGAGGTCCAGCAGCGATGCACTGACGCCCGACAAGATGTGGTAGGCCTGGCGGAAGAGAAGATAGGACAGTCCTAGGTGCAGGAGAAAGACAGCGATGCTCACGGCGAGCAGCGTGTAGCGGGCGGTGTCGCGATGCGTGTTGGGCACAGCACCGAGAACGCCCTCCGCCCGTGCAGCTGACTTGAGTGTGCCGTCGACGGAGAAGTTGTGCACATTCACGTACAGAATGACCGCGACGAGGCACGCCGTGCACAGAACCCACGGCACCGTTAAAAGAGCCATCGTCGTGTCTACCGTGCTGGACTGCTTCGGCGGACGCACACCTCCCGGCACGCCCAAGCTATCCACTCCTTCATCAACGGGGAGCGCATCCGCCGTGTGAGACGTGTCGCTTTGTGTCATCACAACGCACCGTGCGGCCGCACGGAGAGGAATACAATAGAGATCAACAGCAAAGTAGAGAATGAGCGCTTCAAAGAGGCAGCGAGCTAAAACGAAACGCCTAACGAAACCTGAAAGACAAAATATGGATATATGGAAGGTAAAGCAACGGTGTGTGCGTGCACGTAAATCAAGAGAAGAAATGCACGAATGGTATAACGAAGAAGGTTAACTACGCTTTTGAAAACTGAAAAGCAAAGAAGAAATCGACAAACATATTTTGGCTGGCTCCAAAGGGCACCTCTGGTGACCGCTGCTACGGGCAGCAAACGTCCGCCCGTAAATGGCGCAGCAGCACAGTGGAAGCACCACTAACGAGCACGACGACGAAGTGAATTAAAACGTTAAAGAAACGATGAAGAAAAAATGGCGAAAAGCGCTTTTTTAATCACGCAAAAGAAAGTATGAAAAAAAGGGAGGGAAAAGGAAAAGAAAAGGCCGTTACAGACACGCTGAAGAAATCCAAGAAAAAAAAATGGGGCACAAAGCACAAAGCCGATCTTTGCCGCAGGAAGGAAGCAGCACGAAGGCGTCGATGCTGAGGAGGACACGGAGCACACGTAGAGTGAGCGTCTCCGTACCGATACAGTTCACGATACGAAGGCTATGGTGCCACTTCCGAGCAATCAGTAACCTCCTGCAGGAACTCGAAAAACAGGTTTCAATGGAAACAGCACTGTATGGGTAGGGACAGGAAAATTTACTCGTTCGTCAAAAGAGGGAAGGAGAGAAGAAGTGATAACGAAGTCCAGCAATGCGCATTGAGCAGGTGAAGAATACATTACGACACGTTTGTCGGGCGCATTCATTTAGACTTCAACGAAGACCGCAACGATGCACGTCAATAAAACTTGTCAGCGCGTAGAGAGAGTAATCCACGAGCAGTCGAGACGCCTACTCGGCACTATAAAAGAGCACATCAAAACCTACAGGAGAGCACAGGCGTCGCCAAAGAAACGAAAGCAGCACGCTGATTCGATCAACGCCTTTCAGGGCAGCATTGTTGTTCCAGAGCTGTTGGTGTTTTTTTCCCTAATTGAATACGCGATAGGTAAAAAGAAAAAGAAGCGTTTCATTAATGTCTATAAGGAGGCCTTCACGTGCGTCGGCCGGCTCTCACAGAGCAGATGTCCATTTCGACTTGTACATCTGTCGTACGGGAGAGCGACCGACGCACAGAATCGGAGCGCGTCGTCCTCATCGGTGTTCACGTGAAATAGGGGAACACAAAAGACATTAAAAGGCACAGGCACACTAAACTACTCGCTATCATCTGGAAGAAGAGAAAAAAAAACTTGCACTCTTTCGTATGCGAGCCCTTCTGAGCGCCCCACATCACACATGGCACCCGAGTTCTACGCATCGTCCATGCCGGACACTCTTTTCATCATCCGCGACGGTCCTCAGCGACTCCACAGCTTTGGGGGCGACGCACCCGTCTTCCCCTGCCGCGCCGCAGGTGGGGAGCCGAAAATGGGCGGCGCATGTCAAGAGCGCCTCGCTCCACCCGCCAGGGAATGCTCGAAGAGAAGCACGGGGCACACAAAGGCAACAAGCCGAAGTCTTCCGAGAACGGTGCTGCTCGTACGCATCTCGGATATGCGTGCTGTTAACGAAGAGGCGAAAGACTATACGCGGAAAAAGAAAGAAGAATGAAGAAGAGAAAAAAGAACAGGGGGAGGGGAGGGGCAGGGAGGGGGGGGGAAGCGCAAAGCGCGGGGGTGTGGCTGTGCGTGGCTGAGCGCGAGCGCGTAAGTGAAAACGAGGGGGCACACACACAAGCATGCCGGCATCGAATTAGGCGCTGTAGCTCAACAGCGAACAGCACGTCAGCGCACCCTCCGCCTTCGCGATCTCGTCCACCTTCAGCAGGATCTGGCGCGTCGGGCGGCCAGCCTTCGTCTCCGCCTCCGCAAACGCCGCGATGCGTGCGGCGGTGCCCGTGAAGGCGGCAGGAGAGAAGATGGTCCTCAGCGCCTTACCGTCCTTCTCCGCAGAGAAGCTCAGCACGTTCGCGCTGCCCGGCTCCTTCGGGTCCACCTCAATCACCTTGAATCCGCGCGACGTGAAGATCGCAGCGTCGATCCACTCGGGGTTCAGCAGCACCGTGTCCTCCGACGCAAAGCTCACGGCAGACTTCAGATGCAGGCACCCCTTCACCACGCACTGCACGCACTCCAGCCGGTGCTTGCCCAGGTACTCCTTCATCTGCGCGAACGCAGCGTCGTTCGACCTGGTTGACTTGCCCACAAAGACGTACTTCGAGTTCGCAACGTACAGCACATCGCCGCCGTCCACCGTGCCGGGCTCCTGGATGCGGTAGCTCTCGGGACGCACCTTCTTCACCGTCTCCACAATCGGGTCCACCTCCGGGCGGCGCGACGGTGCACCGGGCCGTGTGATGACGGCACAATCGTTGTACAGCATCGCAACGTCCTCCACGAACATCGAGTCCGGCAGATCGTTCAGCGCCGGCAGTTCGATCAGCTCGATGTTGTAGCCATCCGCAGCCATGTCGCGGAACACCTGCACATAGGCCTGGTGCTGCTCCTCCACCACCGTCAACGAGATCGGCTGACGCTCGATGCACGTCAGCTCGCACGTCTGCTTGTCGATCCCGCTCGACACGGCGCGGCACACAACGGTCAGCTTCGTCATGGTGGCGACTACGGCGACGATGGGCGGTATAGTGAAAGGGGGAATTCTTGGAGAGAGAGAGAGAGAGAGAGAAGAGAGTGCAGGTAATTGTTAATGAATCGCCGCGCGCAAACGCGAAGACAGAGGCAGAGAGAGATAACGAGAAAGGAGGAGGAGGAAGGTGGGAGGTGGGAGCGGATGCCGCGGGCAGTGGGCAGCGGGAGTGCCGCGCCGAGCCGCACGTGCCATGTAAAGAGAGAGAGAGCTCGCCAACGAGGGGTGCGCTGCACAACGACTCAGCCGTGCTTCACTTAGAACGTTGCTTGCCGTCATGCTTCGGGGCATCCGCAGTGCTGACGTGCACATGCAGGGAGACATACACACAAACGCATGCAAAGCACGTACATATAGAAACACATACTTTCGAAAGTTCGGACAGCACCGCGCGCAGCGTCTACAACATCTCTCGTAGCACCTGGTTGGACCACAATGTCCAGTTGTCACGCATCAGCCGAGCGGTGTCCACGTGACACACCTGATAGGACGGGCAGCGCTGTCCATTGCCGTCACCGCTGCCGCTGCCCTTGATGCGTGCACTGTCGCACACAACAGCAACTTGAAACACTCGCACGTCGCCTCCGGATGCGGCGCCGGTGTCCAGTGCCGTCAATGCTGTGGTGGCATTCAGGCGTAGGACAACGACAGCAGTGCTGCCGTCCTCTTGAGTCAGCAATCCGCGTTGCTGATGCGCCTGACAGAACGAGGCGAGAAGCTGGATGGCTGCGGCGTATTGGGGAGAGCAGGCGAGCGGCGGAAGCGCCACCGCAGGGTGTGAGAGGGCTACCCTCACCTTCTCTGCCGTTGCAGGGCCGTTGTTTACAGCGAAGTACCCGGCTAAGTGCAGCTGGAATGGGCTCCCAGGAGCGGAAAGGACGAAAGGCACCCACCAGCGGGTGAGGTAGAGCTGCACCGCCGCTGCAACGGGTGCCACCTCACTGCCTTCGCTCGTCGTGCGCGATACTTCCAGAAACGACTTCAGTGAGAAGCTGCTGTGCGCATCTGCGAGTACTTCACGTGCGCCGTACGCCTCCATCGCCGCAGCAGCTGCCGATGCCTTCGCTTTCTCCTGCTCCCAGAAATGGGCGAGTTGTGCGGACAAGTCTGGATGGGTGCCCAGAGGCGTGTGGGGAAGACCGCGATGCCGCAGCGGAGGTGTTCCTGCGTGCAGCGTTGCGGTATTCACCCTCGACGCAGCGGGCTGCAGCGACGCTAGCACGCCCACCGCAACCCACTTCAGCAAGTCGCTCGACGCGGTGGGGGAGTTGCCTTCCTCGGCTGCGGCTGCGAGGACCGCCACACAGCATAGCGGAGTAGCCGCAAACACGCAAGGGAGATGGGGGCGCCCCGTCTTTCCGCCACTCTCTCGCCCACCCAACACGGTGGAAGAAATGAGCGACACGTGCGATAGGCGCGGTGCTCCGTCCTCCTCCGGCGACGCAGCAGAGAGCAGGGCGAGAGAAGCGAAGAGGCGGTACAACGCAACGGCGTTGATGGACGGTGTCAGCGTGTCCGATGAAGTGGAAGACGACGACGATAGCGTGTGCGACGGACAGGCGTAGAGTGGCGCCTCTCGCTCCGCTGCCCACACAAGAATATAATAACGGACAGGAGCCGCCGTCGGGGGCGGGAGTGACGAGGAAGTTGTCATAGTGAGTTATGAAGAGACGACTCCTGCGCTTTGGCAACGGAGTCTCGAATTTAGATGTGCGCGCGTGCAGCGAGGCCGCCGAGAAGAGGGTGGCTGACGGCAAGAAGAGAGAGAAAACTGAAGAACCGCGCTCTGCCTGGTCTGTTGTGCGAGCAGCTTCCCTTCACCTCGCAGATCACAACAGCGCAACACTTCGAATCTGATGGAGTGTGGATGGACGGTGCAGCCGCGAGTTCGCAGTCATCACCACGCGATAGACTTCGGAAGCATTAATGTGAGACGAAAAGAAGATCGTTAAGGAGAAATGTAAACGGTGCCCGAGAGTTTGGAAAAAGAAGACGAGCAAGAAATCCTTCATGAATGGCATTAGACCTTACTGAAGGCAGCATCCACAACCAATTGGTTTGCTGGTTTCGAAACGAGCTACGTTTGTCTGGCAAAAACCACTCTCTCCGCCGGGGCGAAAACAACGGAGTCAGTTTTCGAAGCTTGTTTAGTGTGCTCGCATTTACATACAAAAAAATATTCTCGTCGCTGACAGGCTCCTTCCAGGCAGCGGTAGAATGGAAGGCGGCATTCCCCCACTGCCGCTTCCTTCACCTACCTATCAGCGGTGTGAGATCAGATGTGTTGTTATGTGTGAGTTTTTTAATATTTCTTCCTAATCATACGAAACGCTACTTCAACGGAGCCCCCACACGACGGTCTGGACACGTGGCTCTCCTTCTCCATCCTTCGCCGTGGCTTCGCACCTTCTTTTGCATTCGATTCGTCCTAGGATTCTCCTCTGTCGCAGACAGAAACCCTCAGGCAAAAGAGTCGATAAACGTGAAGGCAGGAAGAGGCGAAGCGAGCAGGACCCGCAGCACACGTGCGCATCACGCGAGTGTCAGAGAAAGATCGAAGCTCCCACTACATTTAGATGATACAAAAGAGAAGTGAAAAGAGGCAGGTGTGAAATGCGGCTCCCAACCAAGAAAAAGAAACGCGGTTCGGCAACGCCCTCTGAGAACGGGGGAAGAGAAGAAAAACAGCGCGAATCCAACGTCGGCAGCGCCGATGCACTGTAAAAGAGCAGAGCAAAGAGGCCGCAACTGCTGTTCACTGCCGTCGTCTTTTGGGGGGTACATCGCTTCGCTTTTGCCCCAGTGAGAGCGGGTCCACAACGTGTGAGGGCAGCCGCGACACTCCTCGCACGGTGCACCACCCGCCGTCACTTACGTGTGCGCGTGTGTGGGAGCGCATTTCAATTTTCTCCTCTCTATTCACATCTTCTTTTTACGCCTTGAACGGGTTGTTGTCATCGGCCAGCTGGCGTTTCTTCGTCCAGAACTTGGAGTACTTCTTCTGCGCCTCGCTGTCCTGGAAGGGCGCGCGGTACTCGGCCCACTGGCTGTACCGCATCACCACCTCGCCCCACGTCAGCGCGCACCGCTCCACCGGCGCCTCGTTCGCCTTGAGCGCCTTCGCCACACACACACGGTGCGCCAGCTGGGCGTTCTCGAGGTGCTTCTGGAGGGCCTCGCTAGGGGTCATCGAGTGGATCGCCTCATTCGAGAGGTCGTGGAAGGCAAGCTGCTGCGACATGACTGTGTGTGGGTGGGTGTGATGGGACAATGAACGGCAGGAGCAATTGGAGCGCACAGCAGCGGCGTGTATCTCAAATCGAAGAAAGAAAGACGGTGACACTATACACTGTGGCGCAGCGGCGGAGAAAAGGACAGGACACCGCACAGGGAGGGGAGGGAGACAACAACGATGGCCGTACATGAGGGAGAAGATGAGGAGGAGAGGCGGAGGGAAGGGAGAAGGACGGTCGGGCATTTGCTTCTCTGCGCGGCGAAACGCTCCTTTGGTACGACGGCATCGCAGCTGCAGCGGTGCAGCGAAGAAACAGAAAGAAGTGTCGCTGAGGGCTGCCGTTGTCGAGTGAAGACGACAGGGCGGCGGGGAGGAGAGTGGCGGCTTTGATCCGCAAATGAAGTCGCATGTGCGTTTGAAACGGAAGAGTTGCGGTGACTGCTGAGTCGCCGTTTCGTTGATTAGAAAGCCACGACAGTGGAGCTAACATCAGTGGGAGAAAACAGTTGCTGAAAGCAGGAAGCATAACGAAACTGTCTAGCATAAATTGCCAGGTTTGATGGATTGGGAGACCAGATCACCAAGTCTGTAGAAACGACTGGCGTGTGTTGATCTGCTGTTTCTCTTCCTCTCCTTGAAGACATGCACGCCACGCCAAGCTGAGAACGAGAGAGGCACCGCCTCTGAAGCCCTTTATTGCACCTCGCAGTCTTCCATGTCTGGTCGACACCGCGAGGCTTTGGTGCGTAGCGACTTCGCAGGAGCGGCGCTAAAAGCCGAAGATGTGCCCCTCTCCGTCTTCAGAGGTGCCTCTGGCCTCTTCTCCTCGGTCGTCAAGCTTTCTTCTCTTTCCTCTTCGGTAGCGTCTGCATTTGTATCGGGGGAGGACGATGCAGCACCGACAGCGACAACGGCCGCATCCTCTGCTGCCGCAGGCTCCACCTCTCCTGTCTCCTGACTCAGCAGCGCAGCCGCTAAGCGCACGGCCACCGTCTCGCAGTACGCCAGCTCCTCTCGTACCGCCAAGGCGACCTCGACGTTTGCGGCGGTCGTGTTGTTCTCCGGGCCGCCGGCCAACTCCCGAAGATCCGGTGAGAGGGCGGCGCCTTTCACGGCAGCGCGCAGACACCGCAACGTGCACGCTTGGCGAGCGTGGGGGCAGGAACTGCTGCTGTCTGCTGCACAGCTGCCGTCGCCGCCGTGGCGCGTGTGCTGGCAGTGCTGGAGGGCGTTAAAGACCTTCACTATAAAGTCTGCGGTGCTGAGCGACTCGAGAAGTAGGGCGTGCAGGGAGGCGGGAGCACCGCTGCTGTAACTGCTGTTGCTGCGGCGGAGTGTCGCTTCGTGATTCTCCGGCTGCTCAGCAGAGTCCGACGCGCTGCGATACGCACGCGCGCGCTGCAGGGCTAGGCGGTACCCTTCCACCCGGCCTTCCAACTCCCGCACCGTCATTTGCAGTTGCTGAACCTCCTCTTCTTTCTGCGCGAGCTGTGCACGAACCTTCTGCGGAGGCGCACCCGCCGTCGCCGCGGCCCATGCAGGTGAGTTCTCCTCCGCCTCCGCGAACATGTCCATCACGGTCGGGTCACGTAAAGCACGCTGGCACTCGAGCTGCAGCAGAGCATGTCGGCGACTCAGTTCCTCTACCTTTGAGATCAGATGTGTCTCGTGCAGCTCCTTCGCCTTGAGTTGCTCACGCAGGCGGTTGTTCTCGTCTCGGTACTGCCGCAGAAGACGGCTGACCTCCGCGCTGGAGGAAGTAGGGGAGTCCTTTGGGCCGAGTTCGCCGGACAGAACGCCATGCTGCTCCCTTTGCTTGTATACTTCTTGTTGGTGGAGACCTTCCTTGGTGGACTCTCCATCCCTCCATGTCCCTTGCAGGAGCGCACGCTGAGGTGCGAGGATGGCTGATGTGCAAAAATCCGTAGAAGAGGAAACAGAGGAGCTGTTCCGGAGCGAAGAGGACACTAAACCCTCTGGCGGTATCCTTGCGGCTCTGTGACGGCTGCCCGGTACGTAGAACCATCTATTGCCGACAACATCGCCGTGCGGTGGCAAGGGTGATGATGAGGCGGGTTCTTCTATGCTGTACTGTGTATCCAGCTGTGCCGGTGTGGTGCGCGCAAAGGCGCTCGCCTCGCGTCGCCACATCTGCTGGTGACCCGCGCTGCAGTGCGCCAATGAAAAGGGGGAAGAGGCTATGCTGCTTGTCGGCACACACACACACACACACAGCGTGCGACGTTCTTCTTCTATGAGAACCTCGAAGCCAGGGTGTTTGGTTGACAACACCAACGCACAAGCCGGTGGCGTAGGCGCCTTATCGGTGAAGGTGAAGGCGACGGACTGCATGGGGAGCACGAAAGAAGGAAGAAGAAAGAAGAAAGAAAACGAATGCGCAGAGAACAGCGGCGAGGTGAGAGAGACAAATAGTGGCCGCACCCAGACAAGATGCAGCGGTGACTTTGGACATGCAGGTCTCACCGTCAACAGGACAGGACGCAATTGAGAGAGAAAAAAAGCACAGCCTGCAGTTTTTTATGGCGCGTGTGTGGAGAGCTTGCGGGCGGACGCCGCGTTTTCGCCGATGAGCAGCGACAGACGCCGATTGGCACCGGCGCGTTGTCCTTTAAAGAGGCGGCGAGCTAAAACACGCATGTATGATCCGCATTGGCACGCTATTTGTTTTCTTCAGTTCACACCTTGCTGTATTTTTGGCGTTGTTGCGAAAGGAAAGCCACAGCGTGGACACAAGAAAACATTGTATCGTCCCATGCAGCGCAGTCGAGCGGAAATATCATCACGAAGCTCACAGATCTATGAAGCACCCAAGAGGACTTAGGAGACGGCAACAGATGTGCAGGTGCACAGGGATGTCGAGGAGTTGGAAACCGAAGCAACACATTCTTTTTCGTTCTTCCTCGCCACTACCGCATTCAGTGAAGGCGCACCGTTTCTTTTCAGCAACCTGGCATTCGGCATATACGCCACTGCGGAGGTCTCTGAAGAAGAAGACACGCGGCTTCATCCGTTGTGCACTACGGCTTGGCGTGGAAGGCGTGCCCACCCCAGGTGGCGGTGGGCCCCTCCGTCTTGGCATGCTTCGCAAACAGCTTCGCCGCGCTGCCCTGTGCCCAGCAGCCCCCACCGGTATTGCTGGAGGTGTTTGTCGTGGGCGTCATGAGCGACGTCGAAGCAGCAGCGCTTGCCAGCGCGCCGGCGTCGTCACGCAAGGCGACAGAGTCCACCAAAAGCGGCTGCAACTCCTGCCGCTTTGTGGCACGCTGGCGGGTGTCGAGTGTGCTGGGCGGCAGTCCGTGGTCGCTGCCGGCTGAGCCGGACGAGGGCAGCTGCAAGTACGGCAGACTCTCGGTGTCAATGGAGAAATCGGAGGGAGCCGTGTCGGGGGAGAAACTCGAGGTGCCCGCACCACCCCCACCACTGCGTTGCTGACCGCTGTATTTGTGGAGGTACTGCTTCCACGAAGTGTCCTCGCGCGCCACTTGGTCATCGCGGAGCCGCCGCTGCGCTCGCTCATTCGCCATCTTCCGCACCGTCGCAGCGAAGGCCGTGCGGGTCTCCGCCAGTAACATCGCATCAACGTTCAACACGCACAGTTTAATGGTTCCGTGAAGCGGAACGTGCGAGAAGACTTTGTAGATGTGCCGGGTCTCCTCGTTCTGCTCCATCGTGACGATCTCCTCGATCGTGCCGGTGACGGTGTCGGGCAGCGCGGTGTGGCGCAGCTTCGCATCGTGCTTCAACATCTTGACGGTGAGCATGTGCAGGTAGAAGGGCTGACCATCTCCCTCGGCGTACAGCTCCAAGTAATCGTCCTCCTCCCCGCCTACCGCTTTCGAGGCAGGACGCGGGGCCAAGGGAGGGGAGTTGCGCACCATCGACTGCGCCAGCGCCTTTGGCTCCTTCGTGACCTCATTCAGCGCGTCGAGTAAAAATTTCTCGACTTCGGCGTCGGACTCGTTCAGCGGCTGGGCGGCGCCTTCCAACTCCAACTCCCGCATCCTCTCCGAGATGCTCGTCGCGTCGGCGCAGCGCTGGTTCGCCTCGTAGGCCGCCGTGGCCACGACGTAGCGGCTCTGGTAGGAGCTAGGCTCCATGTAGGGCGGCAGGTCGATGGCGGGCCGCCCGCCCACCTGCGGAGGGGGAGAGGGGCGCGAGAGAAAAGGGTCGTCGTAGCGGCGCAGGACGCAGGAGTAGCGCTGCCGCTTGAAGAGATCAAACCGGGCCTGCATGCCCGCCTTTAAGGGCAGCACCGGTTGGAGGACGCAGGGACGCAGGGTGTAGAGCGTGAGCTGATCATGGCACATCGGGCAGGTGCGCGGCGCCCCCGCTGCCTTCTGCCGACTCATGTACTGCAGAATGCACGGCAGGCAGTAGACGTGGCCGCACTCCGTAATGCGCGGGGCGACCGGCATTTCCATGCAAATCGGACACTGAAACTCGTCCGGCGTCGTGCGCATCACCACCGAGTGCACCGTCTCCCACGGCACGATGCTGTCGCTCGACTGAATGCACTCCATCAACTTCCGCTGCCCCTGCGGAAGTCCTTGGGAGGAGCTGATCGTCAGAAGGTCGCCGCGCAGGATAAACTGGAAGTTTTGCAGCATGAAAGCCCGTTTTAGCACGGCGGTGTTGACGTTGCGCACCGGCCGCGGATGGCGGTACGTCGCGGCGGTGTTGGCGGAACGGATGTGGCTGCTGGGCAGCGTCGCCTGCAGCTCGGAGAGGTCCCACAAATTCTTCACGACGGTGCCACGGCCACCTCCCTTCTTCTGCTTCGGCATGACTAAGAAAATACAGATATATATAGTGAAGAAAACAGAGAAAGCGGGCGAGGAAAAAAAGTTCAACAGCTTTAGAAAATAAAATTCACGCAAGGTAAACAAAAATGTTTGGACTCCTCTTTCTTCGTGCTTGCGTCAACGAAAGCGCAGAAGGGAAGATGAAAATAAAACGCGAGAGGCTCAATCGATGATTATGGCAGAGAGAAGAAAAACTCGCACGAACGAAAATCCCCTTAAATAGCCGGTTGCTTTTGGCTGCTGTTTGAGTCCAGCCAGGGAAAAAATGTGAAATGCAGCAGGGATGCCTTATATAATACACAAAGACAGCTGTAACGATGTGCGGGAGACGTTGGTGTTATGCCAAGCTGACGGCAGCGTCTACAAAAACAGCTCATACATAACGCAAAGGCCAAGGTGAAATAAAAATATTTGCTTCTTCAAGTTAGCAGAACAAGCGCAGTGACTTTTACAGCCGGCGCCGTCTATGAAGCGACGCTTCAACGGCAAACGAGAAGAAAAAAAGAAAGAAAAAAAACATGCAATAAAACGCGTAGAAGCTACGGAGTTAGAAAACAGAGGTGCAAAGCTAAGCGGAGGTAAGTGACATGCTTCAAGTGCTTCGACGGAACGACCAGAGATGCACCCTGCACCCCGTCCGCGTCAGTGAAAGAAAGCGAGAGAGAAGGCGGGTGAGGGCGGGCAGACGAGTAAAGAAAAGGCCTCAACAGTGGGATGATGAGGGGTGAGGAGGGAGGGAGGGAGAACGCGATCAGCTTTGGATTCAAGACAGCCCGCTGGGATAGAGCGCGGTTCTTTTTTGGTTCCTTTCAACTTCCATAGAGGTCGTACATCGGGGGAACTTGAACACGTGGAGCTCTGCCGCCGTTGCAGATCCCTTTACGACCGTTTTGAATACCAAGTGGGGGTGCTCGATCCGTTTCTCATTTATTTACAACTGCACCAGCGTGCTGTGAAGATCGTGCCCGGTAAGGCAGAATAGAAAAAAGAGGGGCCGTCAGAGAGGACTACAGAACCTTCACAAAGCGCCAACTTCCTCGCTGCAGTCGCCTACCCCTTCACGCCCAGCGACAGAAAAAGTAGACCCCCGTCGAGATCACCCGCCCGCTCTGCCGTACTTCACAGCGCAGCGACACGCAGGGCACGTCGCCGCCGCGGATCACCGGTAGGCCCAGCTGCGAGCGCCACGGAGGCAGGCGGTAGTGCGGATACACGCGGGGGGCGGCGACAGATCATCTCCAGCGGCACGCCGAACACCGCATCCTCCGTCTGCACGACGTGATGCGACGAGAGACGCCACCCCTCTGCAGGCGCGATGGCTGCATCGTTCCCGAAGCAACGGCCGCGGTGCAGGCGAGAGAAGAAGCGCTGCACGCAGTCGTACAGCACCCACGGTGGCATGACCGTGTGCCCCAACCCAGCAGTTTCTTCGCTTCCTTCTCTTTCTCCACTCGCCTCTTTCGCCGGTGCTGTGGATGCCTCCTCGATGTCGTCGATCCCGTAGTAGGCGCGGTGCGCGTAGCCTTGGCCGTCACCCATCGACACGACCGCGCCGTAGAGGCCGCCGTGCACCTGCGCTCCTCCGATCACGACCGTCGAGACCGCAGACGAGCCCAGATCGCTTGCAGTGTGCGGCAAAGATGCGTAATCGGACGGGTTTGTAGGGGGTGCCTCGTAAGGCAGCGGTGTCCGCCGCTGCGGTGAGGATTGGGAGAAAGAGGAAGAGGAACTGGGAGAAGAAGATGCGCCGGTGCTGTTGTCGTCTGCGTCAGCACGGGGACCCTCCTTCGGTCCCGTCATCAGCATCGACGCGATGGGCTGATGGTCGCCGTTGAAGAGGGTCAGCTTCACATCGCTTTCTTTCCGGTGAGAGGGCCGCACCAGCTCCACGGCGCCCATCGCAGGATGCTGCGCTGCGAGATCAGCCCCCGTCCTTCCTTGCTGTGGGCAGGTGTTGCATGCGGTGTCCTGAGCGGAGTAGTAGAAGCAGTTCAAGGTACCGACGGAGTCCCAGAAGTCTGGCTTGGGTGCGTGTCGCAGCTTCACGTGGCTCTGGTGCACCGCGCGTGGCGTCTCGGCGAACTCGGCCAGCGTGTGCAGCAGCGTGTGAAAGTACAAAGGCGCAACAGCCGCGTGGAAGAAGGGCGCGGACTGGAACGGCAGGAGTTCGGGCTGATGCAGAAACGACGTCGTGAGGGCCGGCCCCGCGAGGGTTTGATAGGGCTGCACAGCGCCCACGAGCAGCTTTGGCACCTCCAGCGAAAGATCGCGCCGTAGGACGAGGGACGTCATGGTGGACGAAACCAAAGCCCAATCGTGAGGCAGCGCTGCGTAAAGCTGCCTCGTCTTTATAGGTACAAAACTCAAGCACTCGTTATGTATTCTGTCACTTGCTGTTGGACACGTGCGGTATGAGCGGTGAAGGAAAGGGAGATGGAGACAAGAGCGCAGAGAAGCGGCCGCCGCGTTGACGCATTGCGTTCTGCGCAGCTTGCGCAGTGCGGCACCGACCACGCATCCCCTCCATAAAGGGAAAACAAGGCACCATTTCAACCATGAATACGAGCGAGGGTGTCTCCACCCTCACTGCGACCCAACAGAGTTGGGACAAAGAAGCAGATATGGGAGAAAGAGACGCTTTTCTTTTGATACTCGTCGCCTTGTTTGCTTCAGCATTTCATAAGGATTTCTGCGAGAGGCGAACGCAAGGGGTGCATTCGTTGATGGCCGCACCCGTCCCACTGCAAATACGATCACTTGGGGGGCTCCGGAAAGGAGCAGGCACAAAACGGATGACATCGCGCAGCACCACGCAGAACGTGGTTGAGAAGGACGGGAAAAACACCGACAGAGTCATCCAGAAAAACGGAGCGAAGAAAGAAGTGCGCGAAGGTGTCGGCCGTCGGGAGCAGGCCCGAGTGACGCCCACGACGGCTCAGATGCGATAGAGGGAAGGAAGAGAGAAGGAGGAAAAAGGACGTACAGGGAAAAAGAGCGAGCTGAAGCACACAGCAGCCAAAAGATACAGATATAGCTACAGCGGATGTGTGTTGCCGGTAGCCCGGCAAGTGTCTACACGCTCCACACACACGCAAAAGAAAAAGAAAAAGAGAGGAAGCGAAGAGGGCGGAAGGAAAATCCCTGCAAACAGTGAGACGCACGCAAGCGCGCAGGGCTACGCGTGGATCCGGCACACACACGCCAACAAAAGGGAGAATAAATAAAAGCTCGATGTATAACTGCCTGTGCGAAACAAAGAAAACAAAGTTCGAAACCGACTACTTATTGGGGAAGACAAATGCGTCGTCTGATGATGCGTCAAAACTGTACTGCAGTGGAATCTATACAAAACACACAGGGGTAACAGGGCCAAGAAGGAAACACCAATCGTCAAAGAAATGCAGCGCAGAGGCGGACTCCGCAGATGTTAGCGCTTGTAGTCGAAGCGCATCTTGATAAGATACCGCATACGCACCTGTGCCACATCGTACACGATGTATTCCGGGTACAGCAAACACAAGTTTGTCGCCGCGTCGTTGACCATCGGACCCTTTGGCCACAGCACACCGTCCACCACCGTCGACTTCTTCGGATCGGGGTGCATCCTGCCAAGCCCCTTCGTCGAGTCAAAGCCAGGCTGCGCCTTCTCCATATAGCACGAGTTGAGGTACTCCTTCTGCTTGCCCAGCGCCGCCTCGCACAGCAGCATAAGACCGTTGTTGTTCGTCCGTGAGGTGCAGCAGTAGTTGGCGGACTTGGTGCACGTATCGGCCAGGTAGATGCCTTTGCCAAACATGTACCCCGTGCAGGGGGCCTCCTTCGGGGCGATGCGCAGACCCTGCGAGAGAATGCCGACGTAGTTGGTAGTGCGGCTGCCGTGCCAGAGAATCTGCTTGTTGCCGATGGACTTGGAGTGACTCTCGTAGCGCTGAGACTCGCCCTTGCGATTGACCTTGAAGACGGTTTCGACGTAAAGGGAGTACGAGTTGTGCGTGGCCCCGGCCGTGTTGCGCGCGTACTCCTCCACCAGCTGGAACTCCGCATCGGTGCGGGCCAGCGGCTGCAACTCGCAATCGAGGGCGTCGTAGGTCTTGTCGAGCGGGTTCTCCGCAGAGGCCGGCTCGCGGCTGAGCAGGCTGGAGCTGACCTCGAGCTGGGAGAGTGCGTCGAGCATTTGAATTTTGTCCTTCATCATCACCACGGTGTTGATGAGCGGCGGTCGGCGGAAGCCGAAGTCGTGCGGGATGAGGGTGTAGAACTCGCTGGTGGCTGCCTCCACGTTGGGGTTTTTCTTCTTCAGCTCCGCCTCAATCTTTTGCAGGGCGCCATAGGCCTTTTTGATCTGCTCCTTCGAGATCTTACCGAGAGGCATTCGCTTCGTATCAATTTCAAGCTCGCGCAGTGTGTTAGACATGGCCGACTGGCTGCTGATCATGTGGATAAGCTCTTGCACCTCCTTCGGCAGCTTCGACTTGGGTGGCGCCGCCGCCTCCGTCTTCGGCTTCTTCTTTGCCTGTCCATCACCGCCCGCCGCCTCTGCCTCCGCCTCGTCGTCGTCGTCGTCCGCGCCGTAGTCGATGTCCATCAGCTGATACTTGCCCGCCACCTTCACAAAGTTGGGAGTGGCAAACTCATTGCACGTCTTGGACCGAAACTTGGACCGAAAGGCCATTTTGCCGGCCATCAAGTTGGGTCGCGGCTCCGTTGCTTGCTGCCCCGGAACGCCCACGCGGCCCCACCGCGTAAAGAGGTAGAACATCGGTGACACCTCGTCCTGCAAGAGCTGGATGACGTAAAACTTGTTGTTATTGTCGCCCACGTTGGTTTGGTTCAGCGTGCACTGCCACACCAGCCCGTCGTCCTCCACCACGCGGCAGGTGCTGGCCTTCGCGAAGTACGGGTCCACAACGCCTTTTCCTTTCTTGATCAGCTTGTCCGGCACACTTTTGCTGGCTGCAGCGGAGGTGCTGGGGGGAACTGGAGCAGGGGCCGGAGCTGCTGGCACCTTGGCTGCGGCCTTCTTTGCCGCCGGCTTTGGGGCCGCCTTTGACACTTTAGGGCTGGCCTTAACAGCCACCTTTGGGGCCGCCTTCGCCGCTGCGGCCTTCTTTGCCGCCGGCTTTGGGGCCGCCTTTGACACTTTAGGGCTGACCTTAACAGCCACCTTTGGGGCCGCCTTCGCCGCCGCGGCCTTCTTTGCCGCCGGCTTCGGCGCCGCTTTTTTCGGGGCCATGTTGGCGGTACCGAGTCGAACGAAGGCGATGAAAGCAACGAAAGAAGAGAGGGGAGACGGGAGAGGAGGAAGGCTGCGAAAGAGGGGAAAGGAGAGGAAACGAAATCCACAGATGATGAAGGGCGCTTGGTGCGCCGCAGCGAGCGAGCAGCAGCGAGAAAGGTGAAGCGATGAAGAAGCGGGGAAAGGGAGGAGAGGTGGTCGCCGTTAATGAAAGGAGAACCATAGAAAGTTGATGATGTGCCGAGAAAGCCGGCACGCATAAGGGGGAAAAAGAGATGAACAGCGCTATTCCTTTCTTACTTGAGCACGGGAGCAAACGTTTCTGGTTCTCCGCGGAAGATAAGAAGAAACTCCGTTGCGCGCACTACGTCACTTTCATACCATGAAGCACATCTCTCACAAGCAACTTCTTCTTTTTTTCCACTTGCCGCTTCAGTCGGCGCAGCGTAAGTTTGCGCGTGTGTAGCTCGCGTTGATACAGCACTAGAACACGTCGGCGAGAGCACCGACGACGACAACAACAGCGGCAACGTGTGTGAGCGAGGAGACGCTTCCAAGCGAGGGGTACGCCGATAACAGAAGAAACGGAAAGGAAGGAGAGAAGACAAAATTCGCAACGAATCCCTCCAACGCGCATCGCCACATGAACAACGATAGCTTCGACAACAGAAAGACAACGCGTTACGTGTGTGTTGGGATGAGCACCGCATCCGCAGACGGGTTCAGGTCCATGTGCTCCAGATCGTCCACCGCCATGGAGATGATCTCCTCCACGTCCTTGTTCACGCGGCCGCCATTCGGGTCCGACACGCGCCCGTACTTCACGTTCAGCAGCTGCATCAGCACCTCCTTTCGCATCTCGTCCGGGTCTGCCACGTACGTTTGCAAGTACTTCCCACTCGAGTACTTCAGCACCTGCGTCAGCTCCAGTGGGATCAGCCAGTCCGCCGGGTAGTAATGTTTCGTCTGCTCCCACATAAGCGCGATGTCCTCTGGTGAGCCTTTGCCTTCACGCAGCAGCACCACGCGCTGGTGCAGCAGCGGCCACGGCGGTCGGCGTGGGTCGTTGTGCCGCTGACGCTGCGCCTCCAGCTCCGGCGGCAGCTCAATCGGGCCCGCCTTCTTCGTCTCCTTCACGGAGTACACAGAGAGGAAGCCGATCGACGCAATAAAGCCAAAGAGAAAGGCTGACTTGGCTGTGTAGGGCTCGATCTCAATCCCCGTAAAGCTCGAGAGGCTCGAAAGGCGTCGGGCGGTGTGGCGGAACATGGCTGCTACGTGGGGGTTATGCCTTTTGCGGATGAGCTAGTCCCGTAAAGGCAGTCGTGTACTCTCGGCGGCAACCGTCGATATAAGCAAACCAGTTCTTCAAAATTGTGAACGTCTGCGTGTGATCGTGAACGGCGCTAACGCTCGTGGTGCGGCAAGAGGAAAAGGTCGCGGAAAAGGTTAGGCGAAGAAGACATTGAGAAAAGAAAAAGCTGAGCAACGGCTTTCGTGCCCAACAATTCATCCATACAGAGGAGAAAGGAGGGAAGCAAAAGCTGAAACCCCTTTCAACAAGAAAGTCGCGATCGCCTCACCTTAAACACAGACGCTACCGTACGTATGAAAAAGACTCATCCCTTTGTGTTACACGCATGCGCACACCAAGCAGCGAGTTGTACCTCCGCTCCCGTTCAGACGGCCGATTCGTAAACGCCAAATGACAACAGAGTACGCAGGATCAGTCAAGTGTTGTACCCGAAGAAGAGCACGCCTCAGCATTCCGTGAAGGAATCCGTTTGCTTAGTTGTTGGGTTCACATAAACAGCAATGAAAAACTCTTATCGTCCTTCAAGTACATAAACCGCAGACGTGCGGGGTGCACATCATCAAAACAAAAAGAAATTCATAGATGCTTCGCAGCAGCGGCGGCTGAAATCGGCATGGGAGGAAGACACGTACGTGCGACACATCGATTACGTCGCAGTGCGAATACCCAACAGAAGGGAAGAGGAAAGGACGCACATGCACGCACACGAAGAGAGCAAACGGAGGCGAGAAAACAAAGAACTAAGAATTTTACATCAACACCCGCGAAACGAAAAAACGGTGCTGCCCAAAACGGCGCATGCGTCTCTCTCTCTCTCTCTCGAGCGGCTCAGAGAGCGCGGCGCGTGCGACCCTTCTTTGGTGTGTGGCACAGAGGACAGTTGCGATACTTGTCCATCAACGACTCCACCGCCTTCCGATGGCACACCGAGCACTGCCACGCCTCGTCCTCTGACACGATGGCGCTGCCGCTCACCACGCAGGTACTAAACGGCTGCTGGCACTTCACGCACTGCTGCGCCCACTCCTTATTGAAACTGCCGCACGTCGGGCAGGGGATGGAGTCCACCGACGTGTCCACGGGCGGGTGCGTCATGAAGATGCGCATGGCGAGCTCAGCGAAGCGGTGCGGCGGGTCACATAGATTCACCGTTGGGTAGGTGAGCGCTGCTGTGCGGGTAACCCCCTTCCCGGGGTTCGTTAGCTGAAGGGACGTCGTCGTGCCGGACAAGACGGAGCCGCCCCCGGCAGACGGTGCGGTGCCGCCGGTCATCGTGCCGGCGCTCGTGTGCGCCATCGTGCGCTGCGTCACGTCGAGGTCCAAGGAGAAGTTCTCCAGCTGCACGGCAGCGCCGGCGCCGCCCGCCTGGTCGTTGCGCTCCGCATTCTCCAGCCGAGCAAAGGCCTTACTGCAGAGGCCGAAGTTCTTGGCGAGGTACGCAGTCAGGGCAATGAGGCTGTAGGCGTCGACCGGCGCCACCAGGTCGTCGTACTCCACCAGCCGCATCGCGAGCACGAGGGCGACCTTGAAGTTCTTGTCCAGTATCTGCTGCTGGCACATGAGAAAGAAGTGAAAGGCTTCGGCCCCGCGCCACGCGGCGTCGAGCGTGCGCTCCGACACTGCGCTGCGGTCTTTGTTGAGCATCTCCGACACCACCTCCGCCCCGTCGCGGTTCAGTGCGATGGCGGCCATGCGGTACTTCTGCACCTCCAAAGCGGACAGCACGTAAAACTTCTTTGCCTTGAGGGGGTCCGTCAGGGCAGCCCGGCGGCCCAACTTCGCCAGCAGCGTCGCCGCCTCGTCATGCTTGCCGGCTTTGCGGTACAACTCGATCGCCTCGGTCAGCCGCTCCCGGTGGATGAGGTACTTCGCATACTTGTCCAGTAGCTGTCCGACGTCTTCGAGGTGATTCTCCTCCGCCAGGCTGATCGCGCGGTTCCACATGTTCACCTGCACGCAACCGTCGACGGCCATGCGCGGCTCGCCGGCGGCCACAAACGCCTCCGCGGCCTCCTCCCCCATCCCGACCGTCAGCAGCATGTGACCGAGGGTGAGCATCAACTCCTTGTCGTGGTCCGCCATCGAGATGAGCTGTGTCAGCATCTCAAAATCTTCAATAATGTAGAAGACGCGTGCGAGCTTGCGGTAGTGGCGGCACTGCGTGTAGTACTGCGATGCCTTGGACCACTTCTGCCGGTCTGCGTAGTGGTCGCCGATGTTCTCCCACGCCTGGAAGAGAAGCGCTTCATCACCGCCGCCTTCCTGGACGAGACGCACCACGCCGAACCAATCCCCGAGGCGGTAGCGCAGATCGAGCGCGAGGTCTTTGCGGTCGACGTCCTTGTATAGCCGCTCCGCCTCGTCGAAGCGGTGGTAGTACGCGTTGACCTCGGCCAGCTGCTTCTTCGGGTCGTCGAGGCCGCGGATGCGCTTCACAAACTGAATCGCCGGGTAGTCTTTGCAGTGGATGAAGGCGACCTCGGCGTAGGTGAAGTCGAGCTGAAAGAGCGCGTGCTCCGCCAGCAGGGCCCACAGCTTCGTTTGGTTGCGCTGCTCCGCAAACTCGTAGGCGGCCTTCACGGTGCCCTCGTGCAGTATCGCCTGCATGTCCCGCAGCAACTGGACCTCGAAGTCCACCACGTAGTCCTTGCGCGGCCGCTCCGGGTCTAAGAGGAGCTCGTCGAACTGCAGGGCGCGGATTTTCAGGTGTTTGAACTTGCACAGGTTTGCGCACGACTGCAGCGGCTCCTCCGCCACGCCGTGGTCGTACACAAACATTCGCGTCTTCTCCATCACGGCGAAGCGGAAGGGGTCGTCCGAGGCCCAGCAGAAGTTCCACACGTCCTTGCGCTCGATGCCCTCGATGGCCTCCGCCTTGCGTGGCACGAGCGAAAACTTCTCCTTCTCGGTGCGATAGACGTTCATGATGCCGCCAAGATCAATCACCGCCAGCTGCGTTGAGTCGCAGTTCGCCGACATGGACTGCGCACGGGAAGGCAGGATCGACTTCGCCACGAGCTGCAGCGGCTCTAGTTGATAGATGTGCAGCGTGCCGGACTCTCGCGAGACGTACATGTAGTCCTCGCTGAGGCAGACGGCGCAGATGAGGTCGTTCGTGAGGGCCGCGCGCGTCTTCATCGTCGCCTCCGTGTCGCCGCGGACGATGTCGTCGACGTGGATGATGCGCTCGCGGCTCTCCGACCGGCTCGCCTGCATCGAAATCGGGTCGAGGGCGTCGACGGCGGCGGACGGGTCGCGAAACTGCCAGAGGTACACGTTCTCATCACCGCAGCAGACGATGTGCGACGAGTTCATGTCGTACGTGTACGGCTCCAAGTCAATGAAGCGCGTCTCAAGCGGGCTGCCGATGTTGTTCACCAGCTGAATCATCGACTGCTGCTGCGCCTCGTCCGGCCGGCAGATGAGTACGCAGGCGTCGCCGCACGCGTTGAGGTACTGCAGGCCGCGGATGCTCTTCGTCCACCGCTCGTTGGAGTTCACATTCCAAAACATGACGCTCTCCTCCACCTTGTCCGGCACGGTGAAGGAGAAGACAACGGTTTGTTTGAAGTAGCAGTACTTGTAGTCCAGCCGCACGTTGGCGAAGTACACAGAGGAATCCACGGCGATGGCGACGCGCAGACCGCCGCCCTCCCAGGTGAGGCCCCCGCACTGCTTGCCCGCCACCCGCAGCGTCCGAAGATGGATGCCCTCGTTGCTGAAGAACTGCGTGACGATGACCGACGCGTCGGGGGTGGCCGTCGGCGTCACGGCTGCGACCGCCAGCACAGTGCCCTGCGGGTTCCACGCAATGTACTGCACAGGAATGCCGCTGTCCATGATGTAAGGCTGCTTGTCGCCGATGCTGCCCATCAACTGCATCTTGCCGGAGACGTAGCACACGCAGAGCGTCGCCAGTGGCTCCGGTCGCTCCACCCACGCCGCATTCCACGCCAAGCCGGCCAATCGGTGCTGCGTCTCCCCCTCCTCGCACTGGACGCTCACCTGACTGAGCTGCGTACCGCTGACGGCGTCGTGCACAAACACGTCGCCCGACGAGGTGCCAAAGAGGATGAAGAGCCCGTCCGCACTCCAGCACACCTTGGCCAGCTCGTAGGGCAGCTCGCGGCCCCAGTAGCGGTTGCCCTCCACACCGCCCACAATCACGGCGCCATCCTCGTACGCAATGCAAATCTTCGTGCCTACCGGGTTCCAGCTGAGGTCAACGACGCGACTGGAGTTGCGGTTGTTCACCATCTCCTCGAACCACATCCCTTTGTGCAGCATCCACACGATGATGCGTCCGCTGACGTCGCTGCTGGTAAGCTTGCAGTACTGCTGGTTCCACGTCACGAGGTCCACGGTGTTTTCGTGGCCTTCAAGGGTCTGATTGGAGGAGAGACCGCCCGACTTTTGTCCCTGCGGCCCGCCGTCCACCTTCAGCACCTTCAGGAGGCCTTTGTCACCTCCGCAGGCCAGCCAACCCTGCTCCTCGCTCCAGGCGATCGCCGTGACCTTTACGCCGTTCGGCATGGCGATGCGCTTGCTGAGGTAGACGAACATTCTTGGACAGCTATTCGGGTAAATCTGTTGTAAAGAGAAAAGATGTGAAAAGAAAAGTTCTATTTAAAACATATATCTACGGTTCCACTTCAGGTTGGAGTGAATTTTTACGCGGTTTGGGTCGAGCTGTTCGCCCACGATAACGCAGCACCGAGAAGGAAACGAGAATTTATTTTCCGAGAGAGAGGGAGGAAGAGACTGTGTGTGTGCCTCTCGTTGGACCGTGAACTCAAACAGCTTTACCTACTGCAACCGGCGTGTTAGAAGAGCAAAGAGCAGGGGAAAAAATAGAAAAAGAGAGGGGGAGGGCAACACGCACCTCGCAGCGGTGATACCAATCACTCATTACGCTCTTTGAATGGTTGCGAGAAGCTCAACGTGGACATGCGCACGGAAGAAAGAGCTGCTTGTGTGTTGCACCAGCCCGAGTAGAAACAGATGCTCCACAAATTGTTTGACCGCAACGGACAACAAAGAGCGCAAGATGGGGAGGGGGTGTGCTGGCAAAGGCTCTATGGTACGTTCTGAGTTCAATCTTTTTCTTCTTCCGTTTGCGGAACATAAGTATATATATACGTGTTTAACTTAAAAAAGGGAGTTTCTGACCACAGCGAGCACGTCTTGTCGCTGCCGCTCGAGAACGCGCGCAGGATCACGCCTGGACGACATGAAAGCCGAGAAAAAAGCAGCAAAAGCTAGCAACAACACGCGAGAGCCACGAGAGAGATATTTGTGTTCCCGCACACGAGTTTCACGAGGAGGGCGCTCAGCGCTGCGGCTTCGTTGACGAACGAAGAGTCAAAAAAAAAGCAAGAAAAACTCTAGTCGACCACTCTCAGATCAGGAAGGAAGGAAGAAGAAAGGAGAAAGGAGAAAGATCAATAAAGTGCAAAACAGTGTCGTTACATCCCTGTATCGTTTTCATTTTCCTTAAAGGGTGGACGGCGTTATTTTCTTTTTATATTTATTTTTGAACCAATTAGAACTTTACGAAAGGGAGTTTCTTGCAGACTCAGATCGTCTGCATTTCCACCTCGTGGGGTTGGAAAAGGGGCGGGACGGTGGGAAAAAAGAAAACAGCCTTTCCTGGAGAGAGGTCGACTGGAGGCGAGAGAAAGAGAAAGGGATAGTAGTGCAACATGAAGCTTTCGATTCATCTCCCGGCGATTTTTTCCTGGCGCAAGCTCTCAGAAAAAAGAAAAAGATGCACGCGGGAAATAGATGGTACGCCCTGCAAAGGTGCCAGAAACTTCGAACAGCGTCGAGAGCATGAAAGGGGGGAGGGACGTGAGGAAAAGCCGGGAGCACGCGCGTGCTTGCGCTCTCGCACTCCCCTGCGTATTACCGTTCGGATAGCAAACACCTTCTCTACGTTACGTGAAAACTGAATAAGGGAGGAGAAAAGGAAAAGACAATCGCTCTGCACATACTTCCATCCGCTCGTGGGAGAAGATCAGCGAAGGAGTGGTGCGCAGAGACAGCTACAGGTAAAAATCATTCCGTTTTGTCGCTGCACTGGAGAGAAAAAAGAGGGGGTCAAATTACGGAGGCAACGATAAAAAGCCGAACGCAACGCGTGGATCACTGCATAAATTCTTAGAGTGAAACACCTTACGAGTACGTGCTTGAGTGCGAGCTCGAGAAAACACAAAAGAGTCAGCATCTGCTGGTCAAACAAAAACAGAAACAGAAAACAGAGATACGAAACCAACGAGACGTCGCCTAAGAAGTAGCTATATTTATTTTGAGGCGATTACGTGCGTGCGTTTCACGGATGCGATCAACGAAAGAGCTTCCTCTCCGCGTCGCCACTTACAGCTTCGACAAGTTCACATCGTTGTACTTCTGGCCATTGTACGGCTTCAGCACGAAGCCGGCGGCTTTCATCATCTTCTGCACGTTCTCCCAGTGCTCGGCATCCATCGTCTCCACCTCCATGTGCAGCGTCGTCACGTTGATGTCGCTGATCAGCGGCGTCTCCTGCGACACGGTTTTGACGGAGGCCCCGGTCTTCGCCAACGCCGTCATGAACGTAGCGAGGCCGCCGACGCGGTTGGAGATGGCCACATCAAACATGTGCAGGCGGTCGGAGGCGTAGAGGCCGTGGTTGATGACGCGACCGAGCAGGGTGATGTCGATGTTGCCTCCCGTGATCAAGGTGATCACCTTCTTCCCCTTCAGCTTCTCATCCAACTTGCCGGCCATGATGGCAGCCAGACCGGTGGCCCCGCCGCCCTCCACCATCATCTTCTCCACCTCCAGTAGGTGCAGAATAGCGCGGGTGATGTCCGACTCCGGCACGGTGATCACCGTGTCCACAAACTCGCGGATGAGTTCGAAGGCGTTGGTGCCGACGACGTTCACGGCCAAGCCATCCGCCACCGTGCCTCCATCCCCGACAGGGGTGTAGATGGGCTTGCCGGCCTTCAATGCCTCCGTCACGTCCGGGCAGCGGTCCGACTCCACGCCGATCACCATCACATTGGGGTTGAGCTTCTTCACTGCGAGGGCGATGCCGCCCAGCAGGCCACCGCCGCCTACCGGCACCACGATGGCGTCCACGTCCGGCATCTGGTCCAGGATCTCAAGCCCGCAGGTGCCGGCGCCGGCAATCACGGCAGGGTCGTCGTAGCCGTTCACGTAGGTCAGGTGCTCCTTCTCAGCGAGGCGGAAGGCCTCTTCCTTCGCCGCGTTGAAGTCCTTGCCGAACAAAACCACCTTCGCCCCGAAGTTGATGCAGTTCTGACGCTTCACAATCGGTGCGTTCAGCGGCATCACCACGACGACTGGAATGCCCAAATTGCCGCCGTGGTAGGCGAGCGCCTGCGCGTGGTTGCCGGCCGAGGCAGCGATCACGCCCTTCGCTCGCTTCTCCTTCGAGAGACAGAGCAGCGCGTTCAGCGCACCGCGTTCCTTGTAGGAGCCGCTGCGGCGCATGTGGTCGCACTTGTAGAACGTCTGCACCTCCGTGTTCGGGATGGGGCGGCCTTTGATGACGATGGTGGGGTGCAGATAGCGGCTGATGCGACGGCGGGCGAGTTCGACGGAGAACCACGACACCGCCGCGCCCGACCGCTCCTCCTCCAAGCGCTTCAGCAAGGCCTTCTCCTCCGCGGCGGGGGATGGCGCTTTAGCATCAGCAGACATTGTTGTGCATGGGTGGGTGGGTGTGGAACGTATTGTGTGGGACTTATTGGATAACCTCTTGCTCCTACGTGTATCCTCCTTTGGTGATGAAAACAAATAATAATAATAAAATAGATTTAAGGGGTGTTGTTTTAAGTTTGTTTTGTTTTTCAGTTTTTTTTTGAAATTTTAAAGGTCGAAGGAAAGTGAAGGCGCGGAGGCACTTAAAGCTGTAACGGGTTGGCACAAACAAAATCCTGCGATCCGTGAGACGCGTATGGTGCGTGTGTGTGAGAGGTTGTATTTGCAGCAAAGATAAGACCGGAGAAGAGAAACACGTTAGAGAGCTCGGGTGAGGAGTAAACAAGCCGGTGCGTATGCGCCACCATGACGTGTGCAACCCTGTCATTGCAGCATTCGATCATGGGCAGAAAACACGCTGAACGAGACAGCTGAAATCCTTTCACGACCCGCACACAACCAACAACTGCTTGAAGCTCCTTCGCCTTTATGTTTCTCGTCTATTTTCATTCGCCTCGCTTTAAGCAGCAGCATTTAGCAATAATAATAATGCGTAGCTGACATTGGAGGGGAAAGGCCCACCGAGCCCCCCCCCCCTCCCTGCTTGCACCACGCTTTCTGCACCACCCTCCAGCAGAGAATACGTCAACCGCAACGACAATCACAGCCAGTAAAAAGAGAAGGCACCAACTCCGCCGTGGCAGGCACCGATGCACAGACGCCGAAGCAAAATTCCTTTTTCACCTCGTTCTCCCTACTTCGCGGCGCACCCGGGAGTGTCCTTCTTCGTAGCTTGGCAGCAGGCGTATCCCCATTGAAAACTCGCTGCATCAAAGTAGCTGCCGTAGGCGGCAACGTGGCCGTTGTGCGTCGGCACCCACGTGACGGCGGCCGCCTTCATCAGCGAGCGAGGTCCTTCCGACACAGCTGGTGTGTTTGCTGATTCTCCTGCGAGCGCTGGTGCGGAAGACGGAGAGGAGTACAACGTCCTGGCGGGTTTCTCGCCTTCATTCTTCGCGGCGGAAGTGTGGGCTGAGTCGGCCGTGTCGTCCGTTGGTGCCTCTGTCTTGACGGCACCGTAAAGGGACCGCAGCAGCACGTCCTGCGCGGTCTCCGGCCTGGCCTGCGCCGTCGTCTCCGTGCCGCTTGCCTCCTCCTGCGCACGCGTTCGCCGCATTGCTTCGTCGAACTCGAAGTCCACAAACGACTTCGACTGCCCCGTTAGGAACCGGTGCTGCGACTCGACGTAGTTGTAGTAGTCACCGGACCGGTAACGCTCCAGGTCGCCCTGGAAGGTTTTGGTGCTGTCCGCCGCGTTTGGGTTTGCCCGCATGGAGCCGGTCTTGGGGTCGAAAAAGAGTCCGTCGTGCTGTTCTAAGTTGTGCAGGTACTTGGGCAGCTCCTTCACCTCCACGCCGCCGTGCTGGGGGGTGCGGGTGCCGAAGACGTCCTCCGGCCGGTGCTGCTTCACCGCCGGGCTGGCGCTCCCGCTGGTTGCCGTGGAGCCGTCGTTGTCGCCGTCGTCGCGCACCGCCCGCATCAAGTCGACGCCGACGTCGCCGACGAAGCGATCCCGCTTCTGCGAGTACGTCTTCGGCTCCTGCTGCGTTTCCATGTCCACGCCGGTGACCCTGTTTGTGTAGACGCTCCCCACTTTCTTCTTGGCCTGGAAGCACTCGTTTGTTCGGTGCGTGCGCGACCCGCAGTTCCTGCACGCCCCGGCCGTGAAGCGCGCCGCCTGCCCCTTCACAACAACTCTATTCACCGCGTCGTGCAGCACCTCGTCGGAGGCCTGCGTATCACCGCCGCTGCCGCCCTGCTTCTGCTGGTGCGCCAAGGTGGGGCCGGAGGCACCGTAGTACCACGGCGCACGTGAAATGAACTCAGGAATGTTGGGGCTGATCTCATGATGCGTCTCCGTGTCGACGGCCAGGGGCGCCAAGCCAAACTTGCGCTTCTCCTGCAGTTCACGCTGCTGCCGCAGCAGCTGCCGCACCGACGCGTTCTTCTTCGGCTCATCTCCGTTTGGCTCCATCGCTGGGCAGCGCCTGAGGCGACTGTGGAGAGAGACACAGGATCGGCTAAACGCGTAGCGGAAAAGAAAGAAAAGAGGTGCTTCTACACTTAAGCAAAAATGCGTATTCGATTGCAATCGTTCGCTGGTTCGCTGACCGAGACTAGCGAGAGAACAAACACATGCGTGAGTGAACGGGGGGAAGGGGAGAGGGGAGAGGGGTGTCAGAGTGAAGATAAGAATAGCGCGGACACGCGTCATGGTTTTGAGGAACCCAAAATGCGCGGATTACAGCGAGCAACGAATTCTCATTGTAATTGGTAGTGCTCCATTCAAACAACCGTCTTCGCTTGTCAGCTTGTTTGCTGTTGGAGCGCTTCCACGCAACACGCGGCCAGCGTGTGCAGAAACACATGTGTGTGCGAGGCAGCAGAAAACCTTGGTGCCTTCTGCCTGAATTCCGCAGCTGCGGATGACAACGCTGGCAGAACAAACGAGAAGAAAGAAAACTCCCGCAATCACATGTCCTCTCAGCAAGGAATCAGCCAGTGTGCTTTGTCCTTTTGTTTTTGTTCTTGTACTGTTAAGGATGATGGACGGCTTTGTGCGTTCACCTGACACGACAAAAAGCTCTGTCAGGAGGCCAAAAAATAATAATATAGGTGTCACCAGCGGCCCACCGCGACGCACGCGCCCACCGCACACAAATCAACCCGGCAAACATCAGAGGGAAACACAAAAATTCTCCGCCGCCGACAAAAACAGGAATAACTCGATAAGAGACAACTCAAAAAAAAAGAGAAAACAGAAATGTGAAGACGGCAACTGTAGCGTGAGCGGCGCAAACATCCTCTGCAGGGGATCACCTACAAATGCGGGGGCGCTGACACCCCGGCCTGGTGCGTTCATGGCGAGAAAGAGTAAAAAGTCTTTTTTTTTACCGGAAGAAACCCTTGCGTTTCGAATGTTGCCTTGAGGAAAAGGACGCGGTGGTACCTTCACTCACACACACTAAAGGAGAAGAAAACGGTTCTATGCATACGTGAGCGCACCTTGCTTCTCTCCTCTACGACATGCTGGAGCCGCGCGACATGTACAGCTGATACAGCGGGGGACAGAAATTGGGCCCGAAGAAGTCGAAAATCTCCTCGATTTCCTCACCCCCCATCGGGTCCGCGAAGAAGTCTTGATGCAGCGCCAAACAGCGATTAAAGACCGGTGTCAAGATGCGGGGATCCTTCACCTGGAACTTCGCGAGTGACCACAACAAGCGTCGTGCTTGATTCGAGTCAAGGTGCCGACACACGTAGACACTCCGCTCCGACAACGCCACGACCATGTCCTCCTGCAGAAAGAATGTGCGCGCAAACGCGTGAATTGTGTTGACCAACCCGATGGCGTCAAACTGATCAGCGATCGAGGCGGCGTGCGAGGCGAGCCGCTTAAAGAGCTCCTCGTCCTTCAGCCCAAAGTGGGCGAGAGCCGTGACGGTGTAGGAGATGTCACGAGCGTCGTGGTCCTGCACCACAGCCAGCGCACGCTCCGCCAAGTTATCGAAGAGCTCCGGGTTGTTAATGCCAATGCGCTGAAAGGCAGAGAGGGTGACGCTGATGTACTGCGCGTTGAACTCGTCAATAAGCTCCACCGCACGATTTGTTAGAACGCCAAAGAGCTGGTCGTAGCGGATGCCAAACATTGCGAAGGCCTGAAACATGAGGGCGACCTGCTCCGCGTTCATCTGGTCGACGTACTCCATCGCCTTACCGGCGAAACGCTTGCTTAGCTTCGCATCCTTCAGCCCAGCCTTGGAAAAGGCGCAGATCAACGGCACGAGTTCATTCACCGTCACGCGCTCCCGCAGCGACATGGCCCGGCGTGCGATGGCGCCGAAGACGTACGGGTCGCGTAAGCGCAATCGGGAGAAGGCGTTGGCTAAGATGACGAGGTGGCTCGCCTCGAACTCGCCCACACGGACGAGGCTCTGCACACGGCGGGAGAGCAGCTCGTACATCTTCTCATGGTTGATGCCCGTCTTGGAGAAGGCGCTAATGATGTTCGTCACCCCTTTGGCGTCGAGGAAGCGGGCGTTGCGGGTCGCCTTGATGGCCTGCATCTCAATCACCTCCCGCGCGTCCCGCGACTTCAGCGTGGCACAGGCGGTCACGACAATTGGTAGAATGTCAAGGGAGACGAATTTGTCGTTCTTGAGACAGTAGTCGATGCACTCCCGCACCACCCGCGCGTCGCTCTCCATGCCGAAGTACACCGCCGTGTTGAGCAGCAGTGCGACGGAGCGGGCGTCGACGTTTTGGCCGCTGATGGACGTGGCGAAGAGGACGCGGCGGGCCTGCTGGGCCAGCATCGGATTGCCGCCCCGCTCTTGGTGCAGCTTCTTCATCTGTAGCGCTTCCGTTGCGATGTTGCGCGCTGCCAGCTGCGACCCGCGCGGCGTCTGCGGCATCGCCAACTCATTCGCGGCGATGTGCCGCCCAAAGGAAACAGGGGCCTGACCGGAGGTGGCGCCGCTGTAGCGCAAGGCGTCGCCGGCGGCGGGGTGGGCAGGTACGGGCGAGGTGGTGTGCGGTGGGGCGGACCCGTCCGCGTTGGACGTGGACTGGTGCCGGCGTGTCGCTCCCGCAGCGCTGGGGGAGGTGAAGAGGGACGCCAAGAGAAGGCCCGGGATGCCTCGGGCTGCATCGGGCAGGCTCAACCGCCGTGACGTGGGCAGTCGCAGCCGCAGCACGCTGACGCTGCGCATTCGCACGGTGCAGAGGAATGATAATAAATAAATTAAATCTGAACAGACGCGATGCACCTCACGCCGATTGTGGTGATGAAAATAAAACTGGACGACGGTGCGTTCACGGTGCGGAGAGAACTCCCCCCCCCCCCCACCGCGGTCTTTCGCAATGGAGGCGGCGCCGCACGGCTCTCCGCAAATACACCGAGGAAAAAAACACGGGAAAACCTGTACGGCAGACTCGAACCCGAGACTGGCGGGATATTCCAGAGCACTCTGCACACAGAAGAAAGAACACTGAAGCTGCAGGTGGCGGATGAAGGAAAGTAACGAAGGCGAGAGGAGGGTCGAAATGGCAGTCCGTGCCAGAAAGCGGTGCCATTTTAACTCGACTGTGAGGCAGACCGAAAGAAAGTTCCTCTTATCGACAACTAAGACACATGGAATTTCTGTCTGTGTGTGTGTGCACAGCAAAAGCGCAGCACTTAGGACGTAGTTGAGCACGATCGCAAAAGATATTTACGTCGTGTTTGATGATCAGCCACGCTAGCTTGACTTTGGTGGTGATGCAGCGTGCAGGAGAACTCTTAAAACGGCTGCGGTAGCCAAAGCACTGAAAAGGCGGAGAGCGCTAATTCTTGCACTCTCACAAACCACCGTCTCCCCCCAAGCGGCACCTCACCATTCGATAACGATATCTCGCACCGCCCAAGCCCCGCCGCTCCCTCGCTTCCTCTTCGCCGTTGCCTTCATCACCACGTAAACTGATCCACGGACGGCGTCAGCGCGGGCGGCTCTGGATGCTGTAGCGGCTCCGCGCGTGTGGCTAAGTTGACAGCCGCCTCACGGAAAACGGCGCAGCGAAACGGGGTAACGTAGAGCTCCTTCGGCACCCGCTTCAAGATGCGATTCTCACGGCTGAGCAGCTGCATTGCATCCGTCTTCTCCTCACACCGCACGTAGAAGCCTTCATCAAGCGGGAACAGATGCTCCAGCTCCTTCTTGGAGAGCGAGTAGGGCGGGCCGCGCAGTTTATTGCCCTTTACACGCCCTGTGCGGAATATGCCCTCCACGTAAATCAGTCCATCGTCTTTTAAGGCACGCTTCAGCAGGTAGGCGTAGTCGGGTCGCTGTTCCCGGTTCAGCGAGGTCATGCCCTGGCGCTCGTAAATCACGTCGTACTTCTTGCCTTTCAGCGGACCCTCCCACAGCTCCGGCGCGAAGAAGTTCTTCCAGTGCAGGTGAATCTGCCGAAACCGCTCCACCGGCAGGCCCTCCTCGGAGCGCTCCACCGCGCTGCGTAGAGCCGTCTGCGAGGAGTCCACGCCGTCCACCTCGAACCCCTGCAGGGCGGCGGTGCGCAGAATGGGCGAGTCACCGCAGAGCGGCACGAGCATCTGCGGGGCGTCCGGCGGCACCAACGGCGTAGCATGGGAACTCGCTGGCGAAGAAGACGAGAAAGTCACAGCGGGGGACGGCTTCGCGGTAGAGCGGTAGAAAAGATGGACCCCACGACTCAAAAGGCCGTGACCTCCAGCAGCATTGCCGCTGCTGCTGTTGCCACCACCGCTGCTCGACAACGATCCGGCGGTTGGCGAGGTGCGCACAAAGTCCATCGCAGATGACAAGTCCCGCCCGGTCTGCTCCTTTACAAAGCTGTAGGGGCCAACGAAAAAGTCCCGCGTCGACTCACCAGCGCGCCAGGTGGAGTTCATCTTGCGCCACTCGTTCTCCCACCACTCCGGCGAGGTATGCGGCATCTGCGACGGCGGCAACGGCACAAACTTGTTGCCAAGCATCTCCCGATATTCCTCCAGCATCCACGGACCTAAGAAGACGGCCGCGCCGAGGATGATGCCACCGGCGGCGGCGAAGCCCTGAAGCCTCGTGCCGGTGAGGGCCCTCAGGGAAAATGGATTGCGCACCTTGGAGCGTCGCAGGCGGTTTATCAGCATATCGCTCTCGATCTCATCGCTGGTTGGGACGCGCATATTAATACGCCGCACAGCCGTGGAGTGAAGCATCGTGAGGCTCTGATGACGCTCCAGCGACAATCTCCTTTTTACGGATTTCAAGCAATGCGTACACTAACGTACGTGCGTGTGTGTGTCGTAGCCAAGAGAGAGAAAGCAGAGAGAGATGATGAACGGAATGGAGCAGTTGGCACAAAGCAGTGCATACGACAGGACTTCGTGCCGTGGTCTGGTGATGCGGGACGAGGGGGACACGATTGCGAAAGCAAACCCCCACGATTGTGGATACTCTTAACAGAAACAAGACCGCTGGATAGTTGCTTTTGAGCCTTGTTGAAACCTACAATCACGCGCTCGCATGATCAGCACGCACTTCTTCCGTCTAAGATCGACTCCGGTTCTGCTCTGTAGTAGACAGTTTGCTTGGCAAGAGGGCAACGAGTGCAAGATAACGAGGCAGAAAAATAAAACAAAAAAGGCACAGGCTCAATGAGAAGAAAGGCAGTTGCAGCTCAAACTTCGGAAGAGGGGAAAAGAAGGTACTCCTTTGCAAACAAGGTGAGATGAGCACGCATAAGCGCAAACATGCGCACCTGCACCGCTGCACCGCTTTTCCTCTTCTCCTTGGATTCTTTCCGCCTTTCCTCTCCAAGTTTTCGCGTGCGTGCTGCTAACTTGCATTCAGCACCGCGCGCGCCCTCTATCTCTCACTCACTCTCACAATTTCTGTAAAGAGCGCTGCTCCTTCAGTAGCACGCCTTTCCATCGCATTGCCGGATTAGAACATACAGCAGTAGAAGAAAGAAAAAGGGATGGTGTCCACGCTCATGCCGCGATGAGAGAACACAAATGGGAGAACAAACTTGCAGGTGATTTTAGGGCCACGTTTGGGCCGCTGACCCGCTCTCAGCGGTAGAGCGCACTGGTGTGTCTGTGCGCGCAAATTCCCGCATGGAAACGCCTCCGGTTCATATTGCTTAGTACGAAGCCAGCATTTCCGCCAGTTCTGCGCGCCGCACCGTCAGCGTGAGATCCTTGTATACGGACCACGTAAGGAGGTCCGTGAGAAAGTCGAACTTCTGCAGCAGCAGTGTGGAGAAGTGTTGCCAGGTGCGCTGCAGTAACGTGCGGTGGAAGGACGCCTCATTGCCGTTGAGGTCGACGTCTCGCAAAAAATGTTTTTTCATGCGCGCCGCACTCGCCCTCACACCGGAGCGCAGCTCCTTCTCCAGCCCATCAACCACCTTCGCCACCGCATCCTGTGCAAGCGCCTTGTGGTGCCGCAGCTCCTCCTTCGAGTAAATCATCGACAGATCCTCCGCGGATATCGTAAAGACGCCGAAGACTGGGAAACTGCCCACCAGAATGATGCGAGTGAGGTAGAGCTCCTCGTACCGGTCGCGTTTTACCTTGGCAGCGACGTATTGGTCCTGAAGCAGCTCCACCGCGAAGCTGCTGCCCGGCATGGTAGAGTAAAAGGCGCAGAAGAACGATTGATGGCGGTATTGCTGAATAAAGACCCACTTGAGGGAGTGGACGTCCGCCTGCACACCGTCGAGCACGGCGTTCACCTTTTGCGCGATCAGCTTGTGTAGCTTCAGCTGCTCCTCGTTCATGTCTTTTCCGGTCGACTTCACGTCGGTGATGATGTCCAGCGCATCGAATGACTGATCGACCAGGCTGAGGGCGATGGAGGAGTACTCGGTGCGGTCACACACGTTCAGTGCCAGCGCGTCGTGCACCGCCTCAAATCGCAGAAAGAGTGCCGGCAGCTTGGCGAAGCAATGCAGCAGCGCCGTTGGCTTAACTAAGTACTTCTTCCGGCACCGCGTGATGGACTCCGTCTGCTCCGCCACAAATTGCACCATCCCGCCCGACATGATCGTCTCCAGCTCCCCGAGCATAAACTGGCAGAAGGCGCTCTTCGCCGGCAGCATCGCGTTGTCCGCTCGTCGGCGGTAGGCGCGAATCATGCACAGCACCGGAATGCAGTAGATGCGGTCGCACTTCTCCACAAAGAAGTTGGCCAAGTCCCGCATCGATCGGATGAGGAAGTTGCGGTGCAGCGCGCTGCGTGCGGTCCCATCGTCGACGGAGTCAGAGTCGCGATCGTCGCCGCCGCTGAGAGAGCTGCCGCGGCCGCCGAGACCCGTCGACGACGCCCCGCTCCACGTCCGTCGATGTGGAAAGGCGGAGTCCTGATGGAGGGAGGTGTTGCCGCTGTGCCCCGCCGGCGGCGGACGAGGCGGCAGTCCGATGTCACGGCTTTGGCTGCTCGAGCGCGAGGGCCGCGCGCTGGTGGCGCGGGAGTTGCCCTGCAGAACGCGCACGAGCGTATTCGCATCTGCGCCGCCGAAGAGCTCGAGGAGGGAGTCCTGCATCATCTGCTGCCGGTCGGCGTCTGCCTCGGCGTCGCCTTCTGGACCGCCCGTTGTAAAGGACGCCTTCTTCTTATCCGCATCCAGCGGGCTTGACCACACATTCGGCGCGTCAACCCTGACGTCGTCCGCGGGCTCTGCAGCGGCGGTGTCCGCCAGCCCGAAGCAGTTGCGCAGAATCGCCTCCTCATGCAGGACAGCGAGCACGGCCGACTCGAGGGCGATGGCAAAGGCGAGGTCGGGCCGCAGGTACCCACCGCCGCTGGTGCTGGGGGCGAGCGACTTGATGCCACTCACCACCGTCGACCTCTCCGCCCGCACGTCGAGCCGGCGCAGCGTACCCGCGCTCTCGTACAGCTCCACGGCGGTGCTGGGGACGTTGCCCTCCATGTGCAGGTCCGCCACGGAAGGAAACTGCACGGTGAGGCGGGTGTGGTCGTCGTCGCCGCGGGTGCTCGGCGATCCCGCGCGGCCGCCCCCGTCCGCGCTGGCGTCCTCGTCGTACAGCATCAAGCGGGGGGTGAGGGCTGGGGTGGCGGTGTAGCCCCCGCGAGCCCGCCCGCGAGGCGTCTCGGCCTCCTGCGTTGTCTCCACCCGCACCGACATCGCCTCCTTGCGCGTCTCGGAGGTGCCGAGCAGAAACGGGCCGCGCCACGTGTTCACCTTCTTGATTTGCTTCTTGAGGGACTTGAAAAAGCGCGAAATCTCCAGTGCGTACACCTTCTGCATGCTCGAGCGGTACTTGCGCAGCGCGTTGCCGAAGCCCTCCACGTCGATGCGACCGAGTGCGCAGATGATGTCGCTAATGTTCATCAGCTTCACCGACAGATCGACGTGCAGGCGCCAGACAAGGGAGGAGTCCCTGCTGTAGCGCGTCTTGTCAGCAAAGTAGATCGCCTCGTAAGATTCGATGGTGGACAGGATGTAGGCCTTCGACCGCTGCGTGATCATCTTACGCTGGTCGAGAAAGTACGCCTTGCGCTCTGCCACGGCGTTGATGGGAAAGTCGCTGTCCAGCTTTGAGTTGTGCAGAACGCCCTGCATGTGCTTCATGGCGACCGACAAGGTGACCGCGTTGCTCCCCTCCGAGAAGAAGGCGACAAGACCTTCTTCCGGCGCAGCTCGCAGACGAGTGAGCAGCGCCACGGTGGCTGGTGCGAGCCGCAGCTGATCACGCAGGTCCGACATCATGATATACAGACTCTCCAGGTTTTGCTGCCTGCGTTGGAGGGTGTTGTTGTCGTGCTCGACCTGCTGAATGACAGACTTTTTCGACAGAAGGTGCGTCGAGTACTCCTCGATGCGCTGCTCCAACTGCTCTACATCCTGCACTAAGTCCTGCACCTGCTGCTGCGCCTCCTGCCACGCCGTCTCCGACGCGGTCAGCAAATCGAGCGACCGCAGCTCCGAATTCTTTTGCTGCCGCAGGAGCGCGTCTTGAAACTGCTTGATGTCATCAAACCCTGCCCCATCGGTCCCCATGTGCCTCAGCAGATGCTGCTCCTCCTCGGTGGTGAAGAGGCGACGTTTATCTTGGCGCAGCTTACGCACGCGTGCGGCGGCGTCCGCCTCTACCTCCGCCCCCACCGCCTCCGTCAGCACACCGCGAATAGCGCCCAATCGCCCATCCGAGTAGCCGCCGCGTGCACCGGCCGAAGACGGCGTCGTCTGCAGACGGCGCGCCGAAGCAACGAACATTTCACGCTGAATGTGCGACTCGAAGCTGACGGACAGCAGGCCGCTAGCACCAAAGTTGAAGGTGGCATCGAAGCTGCCCTCATTCGACACCTCAGTGAGCCGGTCCACGGCAAACGCTGATTTGAGCTTCACGCGCTGATTGTTGGGCTCTACAGCGACGATGGTGAGCGTCGCCCCGCCGCTGCCGCCGAGGGGACGCGTCAAAATAATCAGACGCGGCTTCGAGGCCTTCTTCTTATTGCTGATTTCCGAGACGGTCTCGCCGGCAACGACCTCGTCTCCGCGCTGGCGAAAGATGCCATCGATGATGGGCTGCAAGTCGCTGTAGCGACTCATTATGCCACTATTCCAATCCAACAACTAATAAATACAAATGTGTTGATGAGTAACGGAAAAAAGCAACGCGCAAAACCTACAGAACAGATTTTTTAAAAGCAGGAAGGTGGCAGTGTTGCTCAAGCGTGTTGCGACCCCGCGCGCTGGTGCGCGTGTGTTTGTGTCTGCGTGTGCTTCGGCAACGCCCACACGCAGTTGAAGTGTTGAGCATCGTCAGAGAGATGAGAAAGCGAAAGAGGAAGGAGATTGAAGGAGCCTCACGCAGTTCAAGTGTCTCCACAGGCGGAAAAACGTGCACCTACATCTTCCATGAGAAGCAGCAGCGCCGGAACGGCTGGAGAGGCAAAGAAAGGCAAAGAAGGCATTCCAACGCGGCAGTTGAACGCGTGCAGAACGACTTCCGCTGAAAATAATCCTTTGCACGCCCCTTCTACTCATCACACACACACACACACCTCCTCTTGTGAGCGAGCGAGATGGAGAGGAGGGTCACGATCTCCCGTGGGAGCTCGTGTAAGTGGAGGCATAAGAGGAAGAGAAGAGTAAGAATTCAGCGCTAGAACAGATTGCATCGAGAGGAAGCGGGAGACAAACTCACCAATAAAGTCGTCCGCACCCTCGCACAGCGGACCAAAGCAAAAAAGGAGAAAACGATTGCACGCTCAAAACACCGAAGACGCAGGCGGCAGAGGCATGGGCAAAAGAAGAACCTCCTCCCACGCAGTGCTGGGAAGCAACGCATCTTCCTTAAACAGCACGGTTGACGCCGCGGCGGGCGAAGGGAACAGCAAATCCTCGCAGCGGTGATGTCGAAGTTCCGGCCCACCACGTCGTCGCTCCTCCACAATCTCCGCGTCGATGACACGCTTCACTCGACCGTAGGTGACATCACGCAGCTCGTCCTGCGAGAGCGACGATGACGGCACTTTCCGCGGCGCCGAAGCGTCGCCATCGTTGTCTTCTGCACCCCGGAGGCGCGCAACCGCCTCGACACCGCCGAACACGCGATCTTGCAGGGTGTACGTCAGCGCCTTTACTGGGTGCTGGTACTGCAGTGCGTCAACCTCGAGACGATGGGCCTGTCGGTACGCATCGAAGTCAAACGCCGCAGCAGCGATGGCAGCGCGTTTTTCCTCCAACAGCTTCGTGCTGTTGAGTCCTGCAAGTGCGGACGTTGTGCTGTGCGCCGCGGATGCACCGGCGTGCTGTTTGGCCAAGTTGTGGAGTATACCGGCCACCTTGCGCGGGTCCATGCGACGGCCACGGCGAAGGCCTTCGATAGACGTCTTGGGTCCTAACATGCGCGCCACTGCTTGATCAAACTCGGCCTCCAGTTGCGCCATCTCACGCGCCTCTTCTGAAGCTCGAGTTTTCGGGCTCTTTATCGATTTGGGAGGTGCTGGTGTACTCTCGCGCATGCTCTCCTCCGCTACCCGGTCCTTCTCGACTGAAGAGTTCGTTGTGGGACCTTTGATGTCGTCGCTGCTGGCACCGTGCGCACCCACGTATGCATTCGAGTATTTTTCCTGTTTGCTTAAAGAGGGGAGTTTTGGTAATGGGCTTGTCTGCTCGCTGACACCATGTGCGGTGGCTTCGATGTGGGCGGTGGTGTCGGCCGACGAGGGAGGCGAGACGCCGCCGGCGGAGTCGCAGTGGCTCACCTCCACAGACCCCATCGCTGCCTCGTGCTGCATAGAATCCGTCGTGGTGCCGTCAGTGTCTGCGACAGTCTCTGGGTCGTACAGCACAGCCGGCGGTCTGTCCTGCGAATGGGGGTTAACTGCCCCTCTTCCCTCCGCGACTTCCGAATTTTGTCTCGCAAGCGCTGGTCCCAGCGGTGCGGCGTCGAGGCACAGCGCCGTCGTCGGCTCCGTGGGCTGTCCATCCGTGCCGAGGCTGTCCTCGTCATGCCGCTCCCCGTGCACGTCGTCGTCGTCGTCGTCTGCCGATACGTTGAGGTCGGCGGTGTCGTCATCGCGATGCAGGGACGACAGATGCACCGACGTGAGGCTGTCCCCCTCCGCCTCATTATTGCGGTCCCTCGAGGGAGTCACAGCGGTGTTGTCTTCCACGGAAGCGGCGGCGCTGCCCGCCTCCGTGTCCGTCTTTTTTTCATACGGTGTCTCCTGAGTTATGGAGGAGCTCTCCTGCAGCGACAGGTTTCGATCCTCTGCTTCGCCTTCGTGGGTGTGGCTCACCTCGCAGAGAGTCGTGCTCAGCTGCGCGGGGTGCGCCGCCGTTTTGAGGCCCGGCGCTGCGGAAGGCTGCGGTGGTGCGTCGACCGACGGCACCGGCTCCTCCTCCTCTCCCTCCGCCTCGGTCACGTCATTTTCACTGCTCCGTGCGTCCCTCACCGACCCACCCGCGTTCTGCTTTACGGTGCTCAGCAGGTCGGCCAACGGCCAGCGCCAGACGTCTCCCGCGGATGTCACGACGAGCAGCGTGTCATCTGCGAAGAGCTGCATCCCTTTCACGCCGTAGCCAACGTTGAAGCGCACCAGCTCCTTTACCTGCTGCGCAGCGGCATCACAGGCGTACAGCAGCACCAGGCCAGAGCGCGTGCCAGCTGCCATGTACGCCCCCAGGCACGATGCACACGTCAGCTCCTCTCCTTCGCTTAGCCGGCAACCACCACGGTACGACCAGTGCTCAGATCGCCCGGATGGGGAAGAAAGCACTGATAACGGTCCGGCCGCCGCCGCCTTCCCCGCCTCGCCGCCGTCCGACGGCTGCACGGCAAACACGGAGATGCGCGACGTGAGGCACACCGCGAGCACTTTGTGTCCTGCCATCAGCGGTGGCGTAGTCAGCGCAAAAGCGGCAACACCGCGATCGATATCCAACGACGACAACGTCGCGCGCACGGTGCCGCCCTCCACGGAGGCCACCACGCAGCGGTAATCTGCCGAGCAGCACACCAGCTGATCGCGATGGAGCCCAATGCAGACAACGGAGTCATCAAACAACTTTTGCTGCCACAACAGCGGCGGCAGCGAGATGTTGCCTGCCCCGCTTCCGCGAACGCGCTCGCGCTCCTCTGCGCTACCCCGCCACACCGAAAGCTGGCCGTTTCCCTCACCGCAGACAATGTAATCGCCGTCGCACTCCACCACGCTTGGTCGACTCACGCATGTGGCCAGCGTCCGCACCGCGCTCGTCTCTACGTTGCCGAGGAGAAGTTCGTTCGAGTACGCGAGCGAAAAGAGGAGATGGTGCTGGTGCCTCGTGGTGGAGGCGGCGTAGAGGCTGGGGACGAGGGAAAAGCACCGCAGGGAGGCGTCGAGAGGTATACGGTCGAGGAAGGTGAGGAAGAGGCGGAACTCGCCGCTTGCCGTGTTGACCAGTTCGATAAACCCATTTTTAGTCGTCACCGCAATCTGGTGGGGCAGAAAATGCGTCGCGGAGACGCGAATCACGTGTTCACGGCAGGACGTAAACAACTCTAAGATTGTCTGGTCGTCCGGATCGCTAGCTTCGATCTCCTTCAGCAACAAGGAGCTCATTGGTGCTAAAAAGGGCTAACAAGCTGTGGGTGTAACGTGCTATCCCGTCTTGCAACGAGATCAGAACTCTATTTATTGTAAAGGAAAAAAAGAGACACAACAATGTTCGCAAACTTGTGTGTGGGATGGGTACGGTAACTTGGAACTCCGCTGAGCGCATATATACAGCGGTAATGTCTATTCGTGTGGCAGCGACAAAGTGGGGGGAAAATGGAGAATTCTTGTCTATGTGGTAACGTAGGCTGTGAAAAAGAGAGCGATGGTGCAAATAATAATAACAGTAATATAAAAGGGCACTTGAGTTGTTGGAAAAGAACAAGTTTCTGCAGAGCAAGCCGGTGCGCAGGTAGCTCTGGCCTATATAGCACCTCTGAATTTATCAGTTTTCTTTGTTTCGGAAAACACACGCATGGAGCCGGAGACCTGAGCGTGAGCTTCTGTTGGTGTGTTTGCTCGCACAACTATTAAAACAGTTAGCAGAATCAAGATTAAACCAGAGAGAGGGGGGGGGAAGCTTCGAAAAGTAACAAGAAAACCGTGACTACATCGACGATGTTTTGCTTCTGTGTGTGAGCGTGTCTGCCTTTCACGCTGACCACAAAAGGCGGTTTCACAAAGCTAACGCAGCACAGAGAGTTTGTGTTGTTGCTGTTGTTGGGCATTCCAACTTGAAAAGCAGCGTGCTCCGTTCCAAGCTCTTCGCTGCAGTATTACTTTTAGTTTTTGTTTCAAAACAGCAAACGCTCCATAGTACTTCGCCGCGGCTGAACATCGCATTTATGCATCTCAGTGCGGACATTTTCATGTCGTTCATTAATAAAGTAAAAACCGTTTTGGGTGTTTGGTGCTTTCTCAGAAGGAAGAAAGGGGAAAAACGCACGCAGGAAGCATCAAGTCATCAACCAGATCTCACGCGAAAACACACAGAAAAAGTGCGTGCGCAGACTAGTTGAGGCTATTGATCAAGACAAAACACACAGGATTTTCTGGTGCAGCTGTCACACGAAACCCAACAGTCAACCAGCATTTTTCTTCTCACCCAAAAAGACCTTCTACTTGTGTTAAAGCAGTGACACCTGAATCTCGTCGCATTCGCTTTTCCTTTTTCTTGCTACAGTTCATTTAGCGTCTTCGCGAACAAGGAGCTCACACTTCCTTCGTGCATGTACTTATCCACCACAGCAGTGATCAAAGGGGCAATCGTGAGCACCTTCAGCTTCGGAATCGTCTTTTGATGCTCCACCTGCGGGATGGAGTCAGACACAACAAGCTCCTGCAGCGCATCGCACTTGTTAATGCGCTCCGAGCACGGGTCTGTGAGAATGCCATGTGTGCAGCAGGCCCAAACGCGCACCGCGCCGAGATTCTTCAGCAGCTCGCACGCCTTCACGAGCGTGCCGCCGGTGTCAATCATATCGTCCACGATGACACACGTGAATCCCTCGACATCGCCGACGGTTTGCATTCTGTCCACCTTACCCGCCGCAATACGGCGCTTTACGATGGTGACAATACGGCCAACCTGCAGGATATCCGCCAGCTGCTTCGCCCGCTCCACGCCACCAGCATCCGGCGAGACAATCACGGCCTGATCCACGTTCCACCACGGCTGCTTGAGCAGGTAGCTCGCAAACTCGTGCGCCATCGTCAAGTTGTCCACCGGCACATTGTCGAAGAAGCCCTGAATTTGGTTCGAGTGCAGGTCGAGAGCGGCGAGGCGATCGGCACCCATCTTGACAATCATCCGCGCCACCGCGGAGGCAGAGATGGGGCCTCGCAGATTTGTTTTGCGGTCCTGACGGGCGTACCCAAAGAAGGGGGCGATGACGGTCACACTCTTCGCGTTGCTCAGGCGCATCTTGCGGATCAGCAGAAGCAGCTCCATGAGTGCGCAGTTGATGTCAATGATCTCGTTGCCGGTGGTGCTCTGGATGATGTACACATCGGCCCCCAGAACGCTCTCGTTGATGCGCACATTCACCTCACCGTTCGCGTACTGCGTCACGGATGTGTGGTGCGTGTGGGTGCCCATGAGAAGCGCCACCGCCTCGGAAAGCGGACGGTTGCCGTTGCCAGAGACGAGGCAGAACGGACGAGGATGGCCACGCTTTTCGGTGTGTGGACTCACCGTCCCGCTGATGGCGTGCACCTCCGCCATCTTACCGGGACGGTAATAGTACGCCTTCTCGATGCGCGTCAGCTGGTCTTGGAGGGGAGAAACGGACATCTTGACAAAGCCAAAAAATGGCGAGTGTTGTGTACCGTAAAGGCAGCTAGAAAAAAAGGGACTGAAAGAGAAGATGGGGGACTCAGAGAGCCTGGGTGCTATTACGTCTACCTAATCACAGCCACTCGCTTGAAAGAGAGCTACCAAGACACAGAAAAAAATTGTGAATGACTTAACTTTACTAGTCGTTGCCAAACAGATTTAACCTGCTTTGGGGGGGTATAGGGATTTAGCGTTGCGTTAAGCGGTTTCAGTGGACAGTGTTCTTTTTTTAGTTGGAAATGAAATAGCTCTCGCAGTCAACTAGGAGAGATTCACGATGCGCCAACGTAACCAAATTTTCAACGTACCGGCTTGTGCGCTTCTCCACACAGGCAGGCATTAAAAAAGGAGTCGAAAAGTAACAAGAGTTGAGTACGAGAATGGAAAGATGTGATACAACAGCATTGCAGCGACCGACAGCCTTTGATGATTAAGGGTTTCACATCCCCGTCGGTTCTCCCCATTCGTAAGCTGTAATCTGGAAAGTCCTTCAACATTGAAAGCACGCTGCAGCGAAGACAGCTTTTAGAAGTTTCTTTCTCATTGAACCGCAGTTACCTTTTGCCACGAATAGTCCGTTTCGCTGAAGGCGTTACGAAGGCAATAAACTGCACCCTCTGTAACTTTTATTTACTTATTTTTTGAGCGGTGTTGATTTGCCGTTTTGCAATGACTTGTAGACGCTTGTACACGCCCACATCGAGGCAACCTCTCACCTGTGAACAGAGAGAGAGCGAGAATAGCTTACATTGGAAAGCATCGATTGTAGTTTACATTAAAAAAGAACTGACATCTCAATAATAATCATAACGACGCCGTAAAGTACATCAACATATCGCCGGCCCATGAGAAAAAGAAAAACCACGAAAAAGAAAAGTCGTGTTACCGCACTTCTCTTCACACGTGAACAGCTAAAGGAAAAAAGACGCCGCGTCTCTTTGACGGAGCAGAAACGTGTTTTCCGTCCTACAACCCCTCTACCCAAACAAATCAACCTCTTCAAGAACACCCCACTCCACCGAAGAAGAAGTACATGGAACGAATTGGCGAGGGAAAGAGCTGACAGGAAATAAAAAGATTTTCCCTTGATCGCTACTTGCTCTCCTCCTGAATTGATTCCGGCAGCATTGTTTCCTTCGTCATCTCGTAATAGCGCTTCTGAAATTCGATCAAGTCAACACTGTACGTCGTGCCCTCGTCGCGTGTTTGCGTGTAGGCCTCCGCGGGGAGGTTGGGGAAGAAAAACTCTAAAAGGCACCTCATCTCGGCCGCGGTGGGCAACGCGGTGAGGATCTCCTCCATGCAACGGCGCAGCTGCACCGGAGTGATGCGGGTGTCGCGATCGGGGTTCGTGAAGGAGTAGAGGTCGGCTCGTCGGCCGCCGTACGCACGTGGCATTGTTGAAGCAAGGCGAAACATATCCGTCCCTTTCCAGCACCGCGCATCCAGGCGGGACTTCAACTCGCGCAACACCTTCGAGCGCAGCATACGTTCCTCGATTGCCTTCAGCTCCGCCTCCTTACCACCCGACGGAAGACACGGCCCGCGAACCGAACTCTTTTTGTCCGCCTCCGTGACGGAGTCGATCCAGCGCATCAAATCCTCTGAGGTGAAATACGACGTGTTCGGCGATGGGGCGATTTGCGCAAAGATCGCCGCGGCAGCGTTCTTGTCCTCTGTAATTTGAAACCCCTTCATCGCCGTGGTGAATTCGGGCAGGCTGACAATGCCGTCCCGGTCGCGGTCCAACGCGAGGAAGGACGCAACGCCAGTCCCGAAGCGGGAGCCGAGGTAGCCGCGCAGCTCCGACACAAGATGCTCCACCGTGACCATCGCACCGGTGGCGTCCGTCACCATCGCTGGCCCATCGGCGCCTCCCTTTCCGGAGGTGGAGGTGCCGCTTCCCTCTTCGAAAAAGGCCGTCGTGTGCGCGTCCATCGCCGTCAAACGCAAGCGCAGTCCGTTGATCACCACTTCACTATTCAGGCTGAGGTCGCTCAGCGAATAGTGCGGCAGCGCGTCCGCCGCAACAGGTGGCTTTGGTGCGTTGCGAGGGCCCGCCTTGGGTGGTGCCTTCAACACCTTACGCCGCTTCCACACACACCCGCCGTGGATGCCGGCCGTCGGAAGCGCACTCTCGTACACCATAAACTCCTCCGTGTCGGTGTAGAAGGTAATGGCAAAACGGCGGTGCTCATCGTCGTGCGAGGTGGGGTTGGCGAGCACAGCACGGAACCGCAACGTGTCCTTCGCACCGCCGCGCACCGTCCCGCTGCCATCGGTGTTTGTAGGGCCAGTGCGTGTCTCCGGCCTCTTCACGTTTTGTTGCGTTATGGTGCCCATCACGGTCCGCCTCCCATCTTCGAAATAGGCAGACACGTCAATGGCGGGTTTCAGTGCCACACCGTAACGCTCCGCATAGAACTCGCGTGTGTACTCGTCGCAGTCGTACAACAGCGCGGTGCGGCCAAAAATGTTCAGTGCGGCGCCGACATCCAGATCCGTGTCGCGGTAGAAGGCATCCGGGCCGCCCATGTCCGGCTCACGCTGCCCATTTACGCGATGCATAAATGTCAACTCGTTCACCTTCGCCGCCGATCCGCTTTTAGGCAGCCACCCCCGCGACAAGTAGAGCCCAGGGGCGTTTTCTGCAGTGCTCTGGCGCTGTAGTATGGCAATGGAGAAGTCCTCCACGAACATCAACACCTCCAGCCGCCGCACGCTGCCGCCCGGCACGGTCTCCCGCTCGTCCAAAACGGCAAAGAAGCGTAGCAGTTTGCCTCCGTCCTTTACAAAACGCGCCGTGCGCGCCGTCTCTTCAGCGCTGAAGTCCTGGGAAAGAAGGCCGAACTTGCCAGCCTGCTGACGCTCCTGGTAGCGCCCGTACTCGGACATAAAGTAGTCGTCCGGGCAGCGCTCGGCTGGGCCCACCTCCATCCCGAGGGCGGTGAGGAAATCTCGGGTGAAGGGGTCGCAGTCGTAGATGAAAAAGTCGACCGCATTCAGCCGCACCGACTGTCCGACGTTCAGGAAGTTAAGGGAGACGTACTCATCATTGGGGTGCTGTTCGCGTTGTCGTGGGTCCGCCACAACTTTTTGCCGCTTCAGAAACGTACCGCCGTCGAGACCGCTGTTGAAGGTTCGCGGCTCGAAAATCATAAACGTGTCGTCGTCGATGTAGAAGGTAATGACGACCTTGCGGTGCCAGTAATCCGCCGCGCCGCCCTCCGTCGCGTGTTCGTTGAAGAATGCGTAAAAGCGCAACACCTTGTCCTCCAGCGTGACGGAGCGCTGCGCCTCTGCGTCGCGTGCGGCTCGACTTGACGCGTTGCGGTTGCGAGAAGAGGCGGCGAGGGCATCGACGAGCTGCTGCGCCGTGAGACACATGTCAGGTGGCGCCGCGCCAAACGTGGATCCGTTCGTGGTGGTGAACGCACGTTTGCCGCGAAACTCTGCCTCAAGCTGCTGCGGCTTTCCCTGCTGCGCGCGAAACGCCTGATCATTCCAGTTGTGGCCCACACGTGGCGGCAGCAAATGAGCGTCGACAGCGCGCACGTACTCCTTTGGCACGTTGTTCTTGTTCGCCATCGCGAGGCGCAGCTGTGGGTCGGTGGACATTTCCGCGATATGTCTCCCGTGCACGTCGACTGAACAAAAATGAAAAGAGATAAAACGAACCTTTTAGTAGAAGGTAGAAAGAGGCGAGACAAATAACCACGACGCCAATTGCATAGGTTGACGCGATGAAAGGAGTTTGAAAGGAACGTCGAAAAGAGAGAGAGAAAAGAATAATGGCAAATAGACGCACGATTGGTTGCGATAGCATGAAAAGACTCCATGCGACCTTATAGGTGCATTCACCATCAAACGGTCAAGAATATTCTTTTTGCTTCTTACTCTGCGGCAGAACAAGCAGTGAAAGGGAAAAAAAGTCACGTAGCCTTTTGGATGCCGTCAACTCGGTTTACGTACAAGAAACGAAGAGAAAACGAGCGTGAGGCCTTCTCTGGCACTGCGCGCGGTGTGAATTGGTCCGCGATGTAACACGCGCTCCGAAGTACCCACGCCAGCGGATATCCATCCGTTCCATTTTTCTTTGCCAGAATTCGTGAGGAACTTGGAAGTTTGTTGCGACTTACTCGCCCTTGATGCGATTATGCTCTTCTCTGTTACGGATGCTGTTGCTGTCCTCTTTGTTCCTCCGCACTTGAGCACACTAACACCGTCAGCTTCTCCAGCATCGCGAATAGTGAAGGGAAAGGAGGAAAAAGCGCTTTCGGATGAAACTTCAGTTGTCAATGCTGCATGAGCGTTGAGAATAATACGTAGTGACGGAGGAGAAAAAAATGTTAACAGGTCAATAATATAAAACCAGAAATAATAGTTATTATTACCCGAACGTGTCTTCCACTACACAACCCGAGTACCATGAGGGCAGTCTTTTTAGCGCATTTCACAAGTACTTTTTCTTTCCCATGAGAAACAGCTAGCGAAGGAAGGAAACAGACAAAAGACAGCAAGTGGAAGCCCTGTTCAGGCATCTGTTCACACTTTGCTGCTCTCTTCACACATGCACAAATCTCATGAAAAGCAAAAAGTACGGAGAAGACGAAACGCGGACGCACAGACTTGCGCGTTTGTGGCGAAGACTACTGACCGAAACGAATAATGCCCGCCGAGATGAGTTTGTTGATCTTCCCGGAAATGCCAGGATCCTTCATGTACTCCTGAATGCGCGTGGGGTCGTTTTGCATCTCCTGCAACACTAACTGCATGTAGCTGTCCTGCATGATGGAGGCAATTTCAGGATCATCCATGGCACGGCGCGCGGCCTCATCGCCATCGCTGGATTGCCCCGTCGCCATCTCCTGAATCTTCATCATGGTACGGTAGCGGCCGTCCTTGCAATCCGCATTGTTCGGATCCACCTTCAGACCGTCATCGTACGCCTGCAGCGCGCGGTTGTACTGCTTTGTCCAGAAGTAAGCGTGACCCTTGCGTGCGTACCCCTTGACGAAGTCCGGCTTCAGCTCGATGCACTTCTCCGCATCCTTGAGGGCGTCATTGAAGGCCCCCAGCTTCAGGTACGCTGCGGCGCGGTTGCTGTAGGACGTGTGTTCCTTCGGGTTGCGCTTGATGGCCTCCGTGTACGCGGCTACGGCTTCGGGAAACTTGTCTTCTTTGAAGAGTTGGTTGCCCTCGTCCTTCTTCTGCTTGGCGATTTCAGGGTCCATGTAGGCCTCCTCGATCGCCTTCTTGTGCTCCCTCTCGCACTCCGTCAGCTTCTTCAACGTGTCCGGGTTGCGCCATTCCACGAGGGCGCGCTTGTAGAGATCGATAGCCTCCGTGTACTTCTTCTGCTTCTGCAGGCAAAAGGCTTGGCGCGTCATGAGCTTGCCAATAATCGTGTAGTCGCAGCGGTTTTCGCGGCCGTGCTCGACACCGCGCTCGCACTCCGCGGCGCACTTGTCGTAGTCGCCCTGCTCAAAGTACACGGCGGTGGCGTTCAAAATGTACAGGGTGTTTTTCGGGTCCTTCTCCTGGGCCTCCTGGTACTTAGCCAGCGCCTCGTCAAACTTCTTGGAAAGATACAGCTTGTTGCCCTCCTCCTTCGCCGCCAACGCCTCCTTTTCGTTCTCTGAAAGCGGAGCCTCCTTCTTCGGCATTTCCGCCGGCTTTGCCGCCTTGGGCGAGGAGCGAGTCTCTTCCTCCTCGTCATCCCCCGTCGGTAGCGGGATGCCGCTGAGGTACATCAGCGTCACGCCAAAGCGCTGGTCCTCCATGAAAAGCTTGCCCTGCGAAGGGTCGCGAACGACGGTGTCGATCATTTTCACGTAGTCGGGCTGCAGCATCAGCAGCGACAGCTTAGGGTTTTCCTGGATCTTGCGGAACGCATCTGGCGTAAAGGCGCGTGCAATGGGATCGCGAGATTCACGCGCCATCGCAGCCTGGACGTCCTTCACACCCTGCGCGCAGCCACTGTTGGCGGGATCCACCTTCAGTCCTTTCTCATACGCTGCAATTGCGTCTACGTAGCGACGCATACCGTGAAGAGCCGCGCCGCGGCGGACGTAGCCTTTGACCCAATCGGGCTTGATAGAAATGCATTTGTCCGCATCGTCCAGTGCATCCTTGTATTTCTGCATCGCCGCATAACACGCAGAGCGATTACTGTAGAGAACGTTGTTCGCCCCATCCAGCTCAATAGCCTTGGAGAAGGAGTTCGCTGCCTCCACATACTTGCCCGCAGAAAACTCCTCGTTGCCCTTGTTCTTCAGCGTAGTAGCGTCCATCATCATAAATAGAGCGGAAAGCAAAAAAGATGTTTTGGAATACGCGGTTCAAATGAACGTTCAAAACCGTTGTGTGTTTGTTTGTGTGCGTGTGTGGTTTCGCTTTCGATGAGGTCAGATGAAGCTTCACAGCTGAGAAGAAAAATGTTGAAGAACACCGAAAGAACCTGAGACAAATTTGCATAATTGAGAGATCGAGCTGTGCATCAAACGTGTGAAAAAAAAAAAAACATGAAACACTTGTCAGCACGTACCAATCTAATTTCCATTAGAACCCGAGTCATTGCACAACATTCTGTCAAAGAGAAAAAGAAACATCGACCAGCAGCAGAATGGCTTGTGATTCGTTTCTCGTCTACACAGCACCGTGGCATCCATCCTGAAACCAAACTCTTCGCAAGGAACGGCACACCGGAGTAATAAAAACGGGGCGTAGCCGTATCTAAAAGCAGGCTGCAGCTAATGCACCGCTTTTCTCGATTTGCTTCGTTGACAATTTATGCTTGCTACCAAAGTTACCAAATATCACAGTTCCGTGAATCAAAAATGCTACCTAAAAGAGAAAGTGGGTTTTTCTCCGCCGCCTTTGTAAACGTATGTGATACACCCTCCAATGGGCATTCACACACCCACAAAGAGGCACTTTCCTAAAAAAAAAGCTTGTAAAGACGCTATGCAAAGAGAGATTTAAAGATGCGTAAACGGTCCATACATCTTTTCTTTCGCACACTGCTCGATAACGAGAGTGAAGCACATCTCACCAAAGACAGCAAACCTGTTGGCATCTGTCGTTTATGTTTGTTTGCACACCCTCTTCTTTTGCGCAGGAGAAAGAAGATCACGTTTCGTTGTCTCGTTAGTGGCCGGCCTTCTTCTCCTCCACGGGGGCGTCGTCGCGCTGGTGGATGCGAGCCTGCAAAGCCAGCACTTCCTTCAGCAGCCGCTCGCGGTCACCATCGTCGCCAGACTGGGAGGCCTGCGGGTTGTGTTCCGATGCCTCGACAGCCTTCGAGGACTGAGTCTGCGCCATGATCTCGCGCACCTCGTTCATCGAACGCAGGCGCACCGGGAGCAGGCGGCGCTCCTCCAGAGGAGACCACCACTGGAAGCCGGACACGTCCACCTCCAACTCCGCACGGTCGCGGACTTCCGGGCACCAGTCCATGTAACGCCACACGCCAAGCTGACCCTCCAGGTGCTTGATGGTGAGACGCTGCATGATAGCCTCGCGAGCGAGCACCGGCTTGAAGCGCTCAAGGAGCTCGACAAGGTCGTCTAGGCGCTTGTCCTGAACGGGCTTGCGGTACTGTTGGAGGACGGCGTCAATCTGCGCCTCATCGCGGTCCATGGTATTGGCAGCAATGGTGTCGTAACGGGTGCGCTTCTCATTCACCAGCTCGCGGTCGATCACGTTCTTATATTCCTCGCTCCAGTTGATCTGCGGCATTGGAGCGTCAGGAAGTCCTTGCTCGGCGCGTTTGGCGCGGAAAGCGGCCAGTTTCGTCTTGGCCTCCGTCTCACGCCTCATCTGCGCAAGCTTTATCTCGTCCTCCGGGGTGTACACGACCCATTTGGCGATCTCGTTGAAGTCACACTTGCCCTCATCTTTGTAGTAGGACCAGAGAGCGTGGCGCAGACACCGCTCCATAAGAACGAGCTTATCCATCGGCTGGTCATCCGTTATCGCCTTGCGCATCTTCGCCGCACCACCGAGAAGAGCTTCAATCTCCTTCTCGAGCTGTTCTACGGTAGCAGTGTGCTTGCGCGCGTACGGCGTCGGCACCTCGCCCTTGTAGCGCTTCACCATCTCAATCGCAATCTTCGTGTTCCGCTTCACCTGCTCCTCCTTGGGGATGGCAGCGGAGGCAGAAGGCGGGAAATACATCATGGGCGCTGCTCCGCAAATCGTGCGGACGCACTGGGCGTTCAGAGAAGAGGCGGCAACACGGCGCATTGGATACTTTTTCTTTCGTAAAACCTGCAATTGAGTATAAAGTGCTGCAATAGAAGTTGTGCGTACATTTGTGTGTACAGTTGAATGGAGGTAAAAGACAACGGCAATAATAATAACGTTGCACAGAACAGTGAAAGAGAGAGAAAAACAGGAAGTATAGGTACATCATAACAGACCAAAATTGAATAGCTCGTGTCTTCATCGCGCTTTGCAAAGTTTTCATACCGGGTGTGAGAACAAAAAAAAACTGGTAAAAAGATCAGAATGCATCAGATAACATCTCAGAAAGATGTCAACACTATTTAGAAAACGGTTATCGTCCATCAAAGGCAAAAATACATATTGGTTGTATTTGGAGAACACTCGGTTGACCAGCTTCGGTTGCCGAGCCACTGAAGAAAACTGAGTATTTCATCTACTCACTTAGCCTTTTTCCATTTCAATCACCGAAGTGACCCTAGCAAGTGAAAAATAAAAGAACAGCGGGAGAAGAAAAAAGAAGTACCATACTGCACTTTCTGAAAATGAAACATCTTTGTTATTCGGTGCGCCTTTTCACTTCCTGCGAAAAGTCAAAAGGGATACCAGTAAAGACACTATACGTGATCAGTTGGAAAAAATGTACCAGAAAAAAGAAAGAATATTCGTTTTCAAATTGTTTTTGTGTACTGCGCAAGCGCCGAAGCTACTTTGTATTATGTCACACGTCAATCACACAAATGCTCTCCGAGCGCAGCGCAGCGAGAGAGAGAAAAAGGATGGTCGTCGCCTTCCAAAAAAAAGACACCAGCGAGAACATTTGAAAATATGAGTAGAAGTATTCAATATACAAAATATGCGGGAGACAGGGAGTTCTTCTCTGTTGTCCTAAACCAGAAAAAAGGGGCAAAGCAGACCAACGTGTTTGAAAATCAGCTGATCAAAAAAAAACTTGTGGTAAATTATTTACATATCGGTCATCGTTTGCGCTGTCATTCAAGGGAGTGACAACCAAAAGCTCGTGCGCGCTAGGCTGAACACACAAGAAAAAAAAAAACAAGACCAATAACATCATCTTGTAGGTCTTATGGGAGGTAAAAAGAATTTATTCAAGTTTGACTGCTGTTGTGTGGCAGAGCGATTTCTTGTTTCCTCATTTTTCGCATACTTCTCCATTGACGAGTTTGCTCGATTTGTATAGTAGCTGTGTTTCACTACTAGGTGGTCTATCGGACATTCATCACTGTATTGCGACAGCCATCGGCGACCGCATTCTCGGTGCATTATGTGCCCGCAAGGAAGAACAAGGCAAAGATCACGAGTGGAAAAATTATGCTGACATATCGGGCAACATTGGTTACAGCTGTCCGACGTGTCATACTCTACAAGCGGCAAGCTTGACAACACGTGCGGCGACAGCCTTTTGTTGTTACCGCTGTCCAGTGAAATTAAGACCTCGTAATCTTCCGGATTGATCTCTCGATATTGCATCTCCTCCACGCTGACTGGATCAGAAGCAGGTGAAAACGGCACCGACGAGTTCGCATTTCGGTGTGCGAAAGGATGAGAGGGGTGCGTGTTTGAAGACCTGTAACACTCTGGGCAGAGGAGGACATAGTCGCACAACAAGCATCTGTAGTGATCATCACGGCAGGCACGATGACAGCTCTCGCAACGTAACGACGAGCAATTTCCTTCTATTGACAATTCTGCGGTGCATCGGGGACAGGCATTAATTTGGCATTTTCCGGCCGTCGATGCGAGTTGCAAACAACGTTTATGAAAACGCGTTCCGCACCTTTCACATGGTCCTTCTTCTGTAACAGTTTCGCGACAGAATAGGCATTTTTCTTTCTCGATTCTTCCAGCAATCCATTCACTCAGCTCCAATTCGCTGACGCCTTTCTGCCAAAGAGACGCGTTTGTCGGTGCTACCTTAAAAAACGAGACCAGCGAAAAAAGAACGTGTACGCAGGGCTGTGAGGACGAACAAGAGCAGCGATGCGGATTTCCAACAGTGCACCGGAATCTTTTACCATTACGATCAATTACAATAAACTTTGTGGGGTCATTCTCACTCTCCAACTTTAGACCAGTGCTTGTGCAGGCGGAAATTCGTTTTTGAATGCGGTCCGGGCAAATTTCCGTCCACGACTGCTTTCGTGACGTCATCTGAATGCCCACATATACATGTACAAATGCTTTGTTTTGAGTAGTCGGCAAGAAAGAGAAAGAAAGATTCAGAAGAAAGAGAGTTAATAACGAGGAAAAAAGTGTACTTCGCATGACTACAAATATGGCAAGTTGTGGTTGCTAACCCTTCAATGCAGACTCTAATAATATGCCAGTGCATAAATCAACTTGTCTTCACGTTCAGCCAAACAAGTTGTTTTGCATGCAAAGCTCACATTTGACCGTTAAAACGGCAGTTTTTCAGATATTTTGTCTCACACCGTTTATACAAGCATAATAGTTGATAATCATAACGATCAACTGGCGGACGCGCCTTTTTGGTAAGAATCCATCACAAACGCAAGCCCCTGTTTTACCAGAGCTCTTGTTGTACTCGTTTCCGCCTTCGGTAACTTTGCCGTTACTGTGTGCTCCTTCCTCTTCACGACACCGGTGGCTTCTTTCTTCGTTTCCCCTTTGACGCTGTTCCGCTTCTCTTTCATCTTTGCCCGCGCAAACTCACGACCCTTCTTCTCCAACTGCTTCCGAAAGCCACCTTTGCCGCCACCACGGCAGCGCAGCAGTGCATAAACCGAATCTTGATTTCCAATCTCCGACGTCAAAGCAACTAAGCGTTCATTTTTCTGCACGTACAGAGCAAAGGCTTCCGCCGCACACGCAGTTTGTTTTGAAAGCGCTGTTTGAATTTCAACTAAACAAACTCGAGCGACTGCTAAAGAGATCACCTTGCCAACAGGCAAAACAGTGCATTTGAGCATGTGTAAACGTGCTAACGCCATGGGTGTAAATTTGTACGAATGACTAACTATAACGCACTGAAAGATGTAAACTGTGTTGATTCAAAAAGGAATCGAAAAGATCAAGGTGAGAGAGAGAAAGAAAAGTGAGTAGTGTAATGATTGCAGTTCCTAAAGCCGCATAACTAGTGTTGCATTGTTCCATAGCAACAGTGCGTCATCGTTTACTTTTGTTGATCGCACAAGTAAATTCATAGATACTTTATACGTAGTGACTCCGTCAACACCGCTTGGAAACATTAGATTACACATGCGGCGGTGGCAGTTTCACAGCTCGATGGCCTTTCGGTCATGTTTGTACGCAAAAGTGGTAGCACATATATACTTCCACTTTTAGCTCTATTTCACATATTCATTCGAATACCTGCCTTTCCGGGGCAGGCTTTAAACTGGAAAGCTATTGAGGCGCGTGTAAAGAAGGCATGTTACAGAACCTCCTACGTAATCTGATAAGTGAGCCACGCACCAAGGACGCTACAAACGACTCTTCCATCTTGGAAACGACAATGGAAGTAGATGCCACCTTTTGGAGAGCGCCTTCCAACAACAGGTAGTCATGGAAGCATCTCTCAACCCTCTCCGTCACCGCAGCCTGGCAGACTTTGGGGTGGACTTGTTGTTCTCGCTCCTCCGCAAAACGGTTTGCTGTAACTTCACATTACCCGTTATCGCTCGCCCTTGTCAACATCCTTTCCTGTGCGCGGAGTCGATATCCCCACTCGGCTGCCGCACGCTGGCTGGCAAATGTGGTTTTCTATTCACTGTCCCCCTCCGCTTTTCATTCGTATTCGGCCATTCTTGGCGCAGTTTTGCTCAGACGCACCGAGCAACGCTGAGACACCTCCCTTCCCCAATAAAGCTCAAAAAAGAAGAACTCAAAGCCTTTCAGAAAGAGCGGAGAGCCACTGCCCCTGTTCGACCTCCGCGCGCTCAGGTCGTGAGACCCAACACCCGACCCAGTCTCCGGAGCCGACAGCCAAACCCTGCACCGCGCCAAAAAGGCTAAACGAAAGCCGACCAGCTGAGATAATGGGAAAAGAGCATCAGCGCAGGGTGTAATCGAGGCAATACACATGAAGAGACCGGAGTGACACGGTCGGGCCGCAAAGAAGTCATGCAACCACACCCGCGGAGGCACACGAATCCACATATCGACTCTCTATATCCTCCGCGAACTGGCTCACAGACCAATTCCAACCTCATCGCCTAAGACTCTGCCGCCACAGAGGAAAGTGAACGCGCCCAAGGAATTGTGATCTAGCTATTTCTTCTGCAAAGGGCAGGGGTGACAAATAAGGAGAGACAGTGAACCAACACTCAAGAATAACCAACAACCTCCAAATTACCTCCTTGAAGGTAGAAAACACGCACAGCTCACAAGGATTTGTACGAATTCGTCAAGTAAGAAACAGGTTCACAACCACTCTTCAACACTTTCCTCATGGAATAACCTACACCCTACAAATCATCACCTACCAACAGGTCAAACCTTTACTTGAGAAATACATAAGTTTATCTTTCTTGGTTTTACAACACACTGTAAATATCAATAATTAAATACATGCAAAGAAAACAAACTATTCCACAGACTCTACGAAGTGGGTAGCGCGCCTTACGCTTCCCCGCTGGGTGGGCGGGGGGTTCAGGGTTGGGCGGGTGGGAAAAACTAAAAGATGGAAGAACTGCTGAATTCTAGCAGTTGAGAAAGAGAAAACAGGAAAAGGGGAAAAGAGAGGTAGGATGAATAATTCTTCAGGCTAGGTCATTCTATTCGCAAGCTCAAAAAAAAAATGACCTATTACCATGCATCGTGCCGCATTGAGAGCCATCACGCTCGCTCAATTGTACCAGGAGGTAATGCACCAAAAACCGTGTGAACCATTCAAGGTATCCTTCAGTAGGGGGGAAAAAGGTGAAGTTGCTGGAGCGGTGAGGTTCACCAGGGCGAACGCCACCTACAGGAAATTGTTCAAAACATCCTTGTCCCAGCTCACTCCAGCCCGCAGATAAGTGCAGAGCTGTAGAAACAACTAGAAGCGGCAATTTCGCAGTGCCAGCCGCGACAAAACGCAATCAATACCAGCATTATCAGCTCGACGACAAATTCTACCGTCTCCGCGTAAAAATGACGTACAAAGAAAGTGTCGCAGGTCGCGACCGCCATCTCGGTCGAGGCGCATGGAAACCGAAGAAAGCTGCCTTCACAGAAGAACGTTTCCAGCATCAATTGTTCGGCATCAGTTGCGCTTCTGAACTTTCAGAGGACTAGGTCACGCACGCGACCAGATATCCCCCAGTGTGTGGACGATCTCCTGAACCTCTCTGGAGCAGACTGCTTTGCACACAGTCTAAGCACACAACAGGCACCAGTTCTTAACGCAAAGGATTACCTATCCCAAAACAAGTACACCAAAAGATCTCCAACAATCTCCGAGGATGACATGAACAAACTACAAATGACCGGAATCCTCCGATGAGTTTATAGCACGCACTCCGACACAGCAGCGGGCCCAGGCACGAGGCATCATAATACCGACATTATTATACCGTTTACGGTCACGGGAACAAGGCACAACGCCGTTGAAAGACACTTTATCGTGTGACTGAAAAAGAGCAACGGCTATTCAGATGCACCAGGCTACCGTCCCGATGCGCCACTTCTACACGTTGCGATACATCTTGAAGCAGTGAACGCCGAGAGGGGCAGCGTAAATGACCGAACGTTCAGCCTCTTCCAGGTTGAGCTCCCAGATAGAATGCAACAACGCTCCGTCTTCGCAGATACGAATAGCGGTAAACAGTGGTGCTTGACGCGGCCTCTGATGGGACACTCGGCCTCACCGGAAATCATGCAAATTCTCCCGTTCACCGGGGCAGGCCAGCCGAAGTGTGCGGGCAAAGTATTCGCCGTGAACGGCCCAGCCCTGACCGTAGCCGATGTGTGGATCGACAACATACGGTACACGGGCACATGTCGAGCTGGCCAGACGGTGTCCAAGAGGATGCTGGCCGTGGCGAAAGAGTGTCCAGTCTCTTTTGAGCAGAGATGAGAGGTATACGAGAGAAGTCACTGACTTCAAGTGGGTCTATTTCAACCACGCAGCTCACAAAGTGGCGGTGGCAGATCACACGTTCCAGAAGATTGGTGGTCCGACGCCAAGCATGACGAGCGGCGACTTAGAGTGACGGTACGCACAGCTCCTCCGCAGCTCGTCAATCTCACAGATCCGCACCGCGGAGCTCTATTGGGCGCTGAAGCCCATTAGACGAAGGCTGCCGCAGCTCAGCCGGACACCTCTCCCAGTGAAGGAGCCGGCCTGCTCACCTCCAACGGTGCATGCAGAACTCAAATAACGCTACGACTTGGCACAGAAGAACCGCCCACGAGCGGTAGCGTTGGTCATGGCAACGAGAATGCCGACAGTGACCCTCTACACCGGTGCCTCTGGAGCCGGTCGAGGGGCGCTCTTGATGCGGCACGAGTACCAAGAAATTGTGAGCGTTGGTGAAGCATGCTCAGCAGCACAGCAGCGCCACATAAACACGCTGGAAGCGAACACCGTGGTTCTGGCAGTGGATCACTTGCGACAAGGGATTCCCGCGGAGTCGAGCCTTTGTACAAATATTGAGAGCACGACGGCCTTAGCCACTCACAAGAAAAGATCCGGGTCGACAAAAGCGCTCAAGGACATTGCACTTCGCATGGAGAAGCTCTCGCAAAGAAAATTCAGTTTCTCTTCAGTGGAACAGGTTGTGTCAAAATAGAACTTGGCTGGTGCATCTTCACGCATCTTTTTCATGAAAAGCATCCAATAAAGTTGTCGTGTTGGTACTAGCCAAATGAGTTCCAGAAATGTCAGGCGGGGAAGGCTCCCGTCAAAACAGTACAGGATTCTTTTTTTCTCTTCCCCGCTAGGGGGCTGCATCGGGGGCGTTCAGCTGGCTGGGTCCCCGGCCGTTCATGCAAAATGCCCTCACCCGCAACCGTTCTTTTCCGGCAGAGGGCCCGCCGTCCTCTCACCGGCATCTTTCCGGTATAATGCAGCGCAGCTTTTGTGTTTTGACTAGCGCTAAGGTATGCCTTGTTGTTGTTCACGCTTGTGGTCGTTCAGGCGCGCAGGCGGTATCGGGGGCTGTCGGCGGCGCGAGTCGTTTTTGGTCGTGCGGGGCTTGGGGTGTCTGCCGGGTGTGGTGTTCTCTCCCGGGGAGGGGGGGGGCGGCCCGAGGCCCGCCCACGTGTTTTCGCCTCGCCCGCAGAGACGGAGGAGCACCGCGCGCCGAGAAGTATTGAAGCCGTGTGAAAAAGATTTTCTTCTTTGGTTGCCGATGAACAAGGAAAATGAGTGTTTGGAAAGTAGAGCTGGGTGTCTTCCTGACGGCTCTGCTGCCGAAGAAATGCTTGGAAGCGAGTTGGCTTGTTGAAAGAGTGGGGCAAGCGCTGTGTCAGGAAGGCTTGTTTGTTGTTTACGCGTTTCTTTCCTAAGAAAGCGGCAAGCTTGCCTGATGTGGGTTCAGCAAGCGTGACGAAAATAAACGAGGACGCTTCTGCTCACATGCGTAACTGTCCACTAGCTGTCATGTAGCTATGTGGCACTCTTATTTTTACGGTTCGCAGCCGTTGTTTTGTGCACAGTTCACGACGGTTTTTTTCTCAGAGAGAAAAAAACGTTCAGCCATCCTCCATAGTACGGAGTTCCAACGAAGAAAACGATTGCCTTCACGTGCCTCAACGTGTTTCGTCGATGCTGAAGTAATGAGTTAGTGTAAACAGCCAAACATCTTGTAACGCAAAAGGGAAAAGGACATAGCTTGTTGAAAAAAGCGGTTTGATGCTCTTAAGCTAAGTCTCTCTGATCTCGATCGTCCTCTTCTTCTTTTTCGGTCGGTTCTACTCTCTTATCAGTGTAGTGTATTGTAAGGGTTTCGTTGACATGCGTCGAACTCCGTTGCGTCCAGCCGGCGCGCGTCAAGGCGCGAGTCTTTCGTCGCCGCGCGAAAACACTTATCGAAAACCACCCAATGACGGTAACGCCAAAAAACACTCCGGACGAAGAACAGCTCGAAACACGTATGCTGATCTCGATCAGATGTATCTTCTGCCTGAAAACTCCACAGCCCACACCAAGATTTCCGACGAAACTCCTAAACCGCGGACCCGTCACCTGCCTGAGGAGTTCTTCACGGAAGACAACTCCAATATCGCGGTAAAAAATCTTCCCAAGACGGCACAGCCTGAAACATCGGCTGCGGAAGAGTCTATTCTTAAAAAATGGGAGGCTTGGAGCACGCAGATGAGCACCCAGCTGGCTCTGGAAAATGCGGTGTCGGCAACCCCGTTGGCTCGAAGCTCTCCTAGGAATGGGTCCTTTCACAACGTTTCGCAGTCGTCCATCCACAGTATTTCGAAGCTTCGACCTGCAAGCGCCAGGAGTTTGTCGCCTGCGATTGAAAGCGGGCGGCGGTCTGCGTCGCGGTGCTCGTCGCGTTCGCGACAGAGCAGTCTGGTGAGTACAGTTGTCGAGCCATTCAAGGTTGGTGATCGTATGACTGCAAGCGCTGAACGGAAGCGTCATCGGCCTCAATCAACGAAAGGAAGCAGAGAGCTACTCTTCAGAAGGGCGTTAGGGTTAGAAGATGACAAGAGCGACATTCAAAATGTGTCTACATCTGTCCAGTCGAGACGCGCGGCTCCTGCTCCAAGTCCTTTAATCACCTTATCGACGGCGAGTTCTTCACCCAGACAACCTGCGGAGTTACACCGTTCATTGCCGTCAGAAGTGAACAAGGAAAATGTTGATCCGGATCATTCCCAGCAGGCAACAAAAGACTCAAGGCGAGAGCTGGAGAAGCCGGGGACAAAAGGCTCAACTGAGGCAGCTGCATCAAGCACAGTGCTTCATAAGGATCTGGCCACGCAGGAAGCGAGTTTACTGAGGCTGAGTGAATTGCGAGAAACTGAGAATCAAAGAGAAGAATGGGTGAAAAAGTCAATTGCGCTTCTAGAATCAAACGACCAACATTTTGCGGAAAGCGTTGAAGGGCAAACTGTACCCACGAAAGCTGAATCTCACGAAGCTCCTTCTCCTGTAACAAGGCAACTAGTGCCAGAATTGATGGAAGATAAGTGGCATCTTCCTGTTGGGAAAGCTGCGCAAATGATATGTGGTCGCGTTGTAGTTCAAACTATCGACAACTGTCCTGTTCCCTCAATCGGCTATCGTGAAAGCAGAAAGAGACACGTTGCTGACGAAGGTGACGGTAACTCACCAAATGACGATACAGCTCACCATTGGGTTGAATGGCCCATAGATCGAGCTTCGGTAACGGTATTGTTCGTCGACCACCACGTAGATGACGACCAATTGTCAGCGTACGGCGTCGAAGTTTCGTCTCGTGATGAGTGCGCCTCGGAGGTACTACCAGACTGGAACGAGTCACGGAGACGGTTTGCACCAGCTCCTTTGGAGGACTCAATATGTCCTCAGTAGAATTCAAAAATACTTTTCTTAAAGTTTTTTTTTAAATACGAATCAAACGCATGTGGTGAAATTTGTTATTAATAGCTACGCCATATTTGAGCTCACCACGATATAGCATAAAAGAGTCTACTGGCGGTGATTTTATTAGCTGACTCTTTTAGGTTTTCTCTTTGATATTCACTTTCTGTTCTCACAAACGAGCGTTTTTTTTCTCTTCCGACTTTCCTTTTTATTGACGTCTGTTTATTCTTTTCTTTTGGCGTACAATAACCCACAATTTATCAATCTGGAAAGGCCTGCCTTCTTTCTACTCCCATTTTTATCATTGTTACAGCAAAACATAATTTCGTGCTTAACGAAGTTGTGAAGTTTTCCTGCTACTTCACAAAGAGTAGAAAAAGACCCCTTTAGATCGTTCGCGTTCCACGAAGGTAGAAATACTTACAAAAGAGCACTTGACTTTTATCTTCTCTCTTCCGACCTCTTTGTTTTTAAATACAATATGACCACCACCTGAAAGTAGTTAGCAAGGAAGAAGAAGTAGGGAAAATGATGGGGACGTCTGACTCTTCTGTCCTCACATCCGTTGTTTCAGATGTCACCGCTATCATTTCTGACATCGATGGCACACTTGCTCATTATGCAAAAACACTCGTAAAGCTCGGGTACGAAAGACTTGAATCTGAGCCGCCGTATTGGAGACAAGACGATAAAAGGAATGAAGACGAGATTGACAGACTTTTGTGGGAATGCTATCCTCAGTCTTATCGTAACGAACGGTTTTCCTCCATTCCGTACCAGTATTGGCGGCACAAAGAGTCCTGCCACGTAGTCAAAACATACGAGCTTTACAATCTCTCTTTGACCGGCGCCATCATTTCGGAGAACACTGTTTTACTCATGGAACTCCTGCAGTGCAAGTCGCTACTCTATTGGGGCCTGGAAGTATCCACGCTGCACATGCAGTCGAGTAACGCGACGGCACGTAAGCCTGTTGTGTGCTGCTTAATTACGGGAGCTCGTACCTCAACTTTTATCCGCCGCCGCCACGGAGGCTCGCTGCCGCAAACTGTATTTGAATCATGTGAAGGCGGGTCCAAACTCTGGGACCGCCTTGTGAACACTTCTGAATGGTTTAAAGACGAAACAAAAGAGCTTCCGGATAATGCAAAAACGGGCAATAAGCTGCCTTTTTACCCTCCGGACTCTAATGATGTACCAATGGACGTTGAGTGGACAAACAACTTCAGCGGAGTTACCGGCTTTCACGCAGACAGGTCCGGTGAAGAGAACCAACGCCTGAGCGAGGGAAAAACAACCATTTGGAGCCTGGAGGCAGAACTCATCGAAGCGGGGTTCGCCACAGACCACGATCATTACGATACTTCTTTTCTCATTGACATTCGCAACAGCCCTTGTGTTCGATCTTCTCCATCCTATGAGCCCTCTACCGCCACGCAGTTTCCGATGCTCTTTGACGACACAGAAGAGGCAGAAAAATACGTGATGGCTAAGTTTAGGGAAACATACAACGACCTTTTCGATGTCGAGCTTTTCATGAACCTTGGAAAAGGCCAAGTGAACGCTAGAGGAGGCGGAAAGCGCGGGGTGATGCTGCACGTGCTAGAAAAGGCGGCCTTGATGGACTGTGAAGCAAATGGTAGGTCTGAAGCCAACGAGAAACGATTTTCGGTAGAGCACACCGTTGCCCTCTTCGATGACGAAAATGACCTGCAGTTTGCAGAGCTGTGCGGAGCTGGTATTCTTCCTTCCGTTGCTCACGAGGAGGTGTTGTCACACAAGCAGTGGCGCTGCGATCCGAGAGAACGCAGATGGTTCCGTCCCCCAGTCGAAGGTCCGTTAGGTTCCGAGTGGGCGTTGAAACAAATTGTTTTGTTTAAGCGCCAAGGAGCTGTATCTTAGTAATAAACTTACGATTCGACATTGTGCCGTTCTTTTTTTTCATTCGCTTTTTTTTTGACATCTTCTCGAAACCTATGTAACAAAGATATGGCACCTTGTTTTTGGACAACGCTACGATCCTCGAGCAATAGCCTAAATCGGTGTTCTTTTCTTTTTTTGCTGCTAGTGCTCTTCGCGCTGTTGTCTTCTAATGAACATTCTTTGAAAGCAGTCAGATCATCTTACATTTGTCTCCAAACAAGCCAAAAAGCTCCAATTTCTGTCTGCCACCACCGACAACGCTTCCCTCTCCATCACCTCCTTTAAAAAAGTTCTACAGTCACCAAAGCAGCTTTACTGCATTCAGTCAATGCCGCCGTCGCGCTTTTCTCGACCGAAGCTCAGTGGTACAGTCACCGTGCGCCGTTTTCAACAACCACAGCTAGAGACAGTGGTGAAGATAAGCAAAGGGGAGTTGTCAGAGGGTTTGGAGGCGATAGCCTCTCGGGTAGGATTGGGCAGTTCGAGCAGCACGGATGAACATACAATAGACTTGTGCCTCGTCGATGAGCAAGAGCTGGCGCTGATGGGGAAATTGGTTGACAAAGGCGTGTATTACCTTTCCGGAGGTGTGCTTTTACCCACTCACGAGTCTGTTGCTGTGTGTCATAGTGCCTCCAACATCGGAGGCAGCGGCGCGTCCTCGGGTCGCGTGCTCGCACCTGACTGTGCTGTATTATGGGCTTTTGATCCCCGCATGCTTCTCCATCGCCCCCTTAATAACCGGTCACCCGAAACACCCTACCGTCTCCAATGCGCTGTAAAGGCGCTCCAACAGTGTGAGCGTGCAAACGACATACTTCCCGCAGAACTACTTGGTCCTTTGTCTTTGAACATGGATGGCAGCATGCAGCGCGATCTGCAACCTGACCCAGCAAAGGTTAGCAGCAAAAACCGTGCGCGATGGATTCCGGCAAGATGTGCGAGAGCTGACGAGGTGTATTCCTTCCACGCTCCTGAATCTTATCGTGACTTTATTGAGCGGGGTGTGGCGTTGACCTCCTTGAAAAGCGATGTTTATTGCAACGAGGAGACAAGCAGTGTAGCAGCACGGCTTTCCGTCGGCGCCGTAGTCGATGCCAGTGTCAAGGTGCTGCAGGGTGTAGGCTGTTTACGTCGTGACAGCACAGTTTCACACACGGACGTTCCTCTTTTTGCGTATTGTCTTGTTCGGCCTCCTGGGCACCACTGCACATCTTCTCAGCCAAGCGGATTTTGTCTTTTGAACAACGTCGCGGTTGCAGCGGCGCAACTGCGTCAACAGCGCTCTGTGACGTCCACTTCCGGAATGCCACGGATTGCTATTCTTGACTTAGATGTGCACTTTGGCGAAGGGAGTGCGTCCTTCGTCGAAGGTATTGGCGATCCTCAGACTCTTTTGTATCTCTCTCTTCACCGTTACGATAAGCAGAAGTTCTACCCTTTTGATCAGCGCGGTGACTCCGCCTATGTCGGCAGAGTCAACAATTCTGAGTCACCGCCTAAGGGATGCATTTGCAACGTTGCAGTGCACACAAACGCGAATAATCCGACTCTTTGCGAACACGTCATTTCTGACCACTTGATGAACGGCGTGCTGGAAGAGATCTTTCTTCCGCGGCTAGAAGCATTTCAACCAGATGTGGTACTGGTCTCATTGGGCTTTGATGCCGCTTACGGGGATCCGTTGGGCAAGATGGCGGTAGAAAACGGGTTTGCCTCCGTCATAGCTCGATTGAAGCATTGGTGCATCGAAGAGGGCCGCATTGTGGGACTTGTCGTCGTGTTGGAAGGCGGCTATAATCCCACATCGGTCGCGCAAGGTGCCGTGACGGTCGGCCTCGCGCTCTCGCTACCGCAGACTGATTCCACAGTGCAGCCGTTCCTTCAAGAGCACCTGCCGCGTGTCTGGGCGGACCTGCGCCAGCGACAGATGCGTCAGCTGCGAGACTGGCGACAGGCACAGAAGGAGCGCGTAGAGGAGGTTGCAACTGAGACAGCGGCAGCACCCACGGAGGATGGCATTTCGAGAGTTGCTCTTCCGCCTGAACAGGTTGCAGATGATGCAGAGCTGCTTGGGCGTCACAGACGTTGGTGCGCGTCTTTGATTTCGCGGGTTCTACAAACTCACCGCGAAGCGTTGAATGCGGTGGCGTAGCCTAGTGAGACGCGTAGAAGAGGGAACTTTTTTTTCGTTCTTTCAAATTCATTCGTTATGAAACAGTTCTTCGGCTCACCTTTTCCTCCCATGGGACCAGAACAGTTGCCAAAAATGCGGCAACGGTTTCCGACGCCATAGAACCGCTTCACGTACTGCAGAACCGTGTAACGAGTGCTGCAACTACAAAGTGCAGACGACTTGTGAGTCTTTCGCTTCATCTTACCTGTTGATCATTTTACATCCCCTCCTTGTCATCCTACGTTGCAGTTCTCAAGACCGATGCGCATGCGCTGCTCTCGTGACGGCGGAAAACGTCTCTGCCTCCGCTGTCGCATTCGAGGAAATGAGAACGCCATCGCGGTGTTATTATTCACCCACTTTTCCTGTCTCCTCCTTTCCTTGTCAGCTCTTCATCTCTCCATTTCTGAATTGTCCTCGCCTTGTTCTACGCCACCCAGATTAAGTTTTCCATATCGTGTCGCTCATTCTTGTTACAGCTTTCTTGGTCCCATTTCTGTCTTTCACTCTCCTACCCAGTTTATTTCGGTACCACGTGTCGTGCCACCGTTCTTTCTGCCGCCTTCGCCCAGCTTGAGTACCCAGCACCGCACTCGTCCCCCCGATGACGGCGCCGAAGCTGCTTGTCGCTGTGGTGGCTGTTGCGTGCGTGGTGCTTGCCGCCGCCGCTGTGCCCGCGCACGCCCTGCACGCCACGTCGTCCGCTGCTGCCCTGTTTGCGGAGTTCAAGCAGACGTACGGCCGCGCGTACGCGACGCAGGCCGAGGAGGCTCGGCGGCTGCGCAACTTCGTGCACAACCTGGAGGCGACGAAGGTGCACCAGGCCCGCAACCCGCACGCGACGTTCGGCGTGACCAAGTTCTTCGACCTCTCGGAGGCCGAGTTCCGCCGGCACTACCTGAACGGCGCGTCGCACTTCAAGTCCGCGATGAAGCTCGCGGCGACGCTGCCGGTTGTGAGCGCGGACGTGTCGGCTGCTCCTGCGACGAAGGACTGGCGCGACGAGGGCGCCGTGACTCCCGTGAAGGACCAAGGCCAGTGCGGCTCCTGCTGGGCGTTCTCTGCGGTGGGCAACATCGAGAGCCAGTGGAAGGTTGCGGGCCACCCGCTGGTGCGTCTGTCTGAGCAGCAGCTGGTGAGCTGTGACGACGTCGATATGGGCTGCAACGGCGGAATCATGGACCAGGCCTACGATTGGCTGATTAACAACGCGAACGGTAACATGTACACGGAGGAGAGCTACCCCTACGTCTCGGGCAGCGGCCTTGAGCCGCACTGCAATGATTCCAGCGACCTCGTCATCGGTGCCTCAATTGAGGGCCACGTCTCTATCAAACAGGATGAGGATGTGATGGCTGCGTGGCTGGCGGAGCACGGGCCTATTGCGATTGCTGTTGATGCGAATGCCTTCCAGTCATACCGCAGTGGAATCCTTACGGACTGCAACGGAGGGCGTTTGAACCACGGTGTGCTGCTGGTTGGGTACAACACGACGAACGAGATCCCATACTGGGTGATCAAGAACTCGTGGGGTGCAGACTGGGGCGAGGGTGGGTACATCCGCGTGCGCAAGGGCACGAACGAGTGCCTGATCACGGAGTACCCCGTGTCCGCCACGGTGTCTGGCAACGCGACCACCACCACCACGAAGGCGCCTCAGCCGATGGTTGTGGAGTACACGGCGTGCCAAGACCGCCATTGCCACAAGAACTGCACAACGAAGCGTTTGCCTGTCGGTGAGTGCCTCAAGGGACACAACACTTCGTCCATCTTGTTGTGCGGTCGTGACCAGGTGGTGGAGGCCAGCTACGCTTCCAGCGACTGCAGCGGGTTGGCGCGGTACGAAATGGCGAACGCCAACGAGTGCGTGAAAGAGAAGCAGACCTACTTCAAAGCGGCGTGTGTGTCCGCGTAGGGATGAAAGAGCGTGCACGGCGTCGCGCGAGAGGGCGGCCGAGCGCAGTTGCCTCGGATAATGTAGGCGGCGCCACAACGGAAGGGGGGTCGTGGAAGGGGAGAACAAATGACCCCGCCGACTGCATGTACGGGGGCGGCGGGCACGATGCTGTCTCCGCAGCGGCCATGCACGTGCGCCCCCCCCCCTCTACGTCGCTTCTCCCTCTGCGGTAGCGAAAAGAACGAAGAGATGTGGGCGGCCCACTTTTGCATGCCGCTACCTTTGTCTGGGCTGACTGTAGTGAGGCCGCGCTGTGGTAGCGCTGAGTGGGAGACACAGCAGCTGGTCAGGTCCTTGCTTTAGTGTTTTAGCCACAAGAGGACTGTTTTGTGGCGGTGTCCCTCGCTCGCCGCCGTGTCCCCACACGCGTTACGACTTTGTCGCAAGATCATCCCCGAGGCTGAGCAAGTTACTGCGACGAGGACGTGCACCACGGCTCTTTTCGTGACTGTTCGGAGATATAAGTAAGAAAGCTCGTCGTTTTTCCAAGGCCAACTTTAAGCGAGGACGCAAATCTAACTATTATTACCTTCTTTTCTATTTCCATTTTCATTGTCTCTTGTGCATGCACTGCACATGATTGACGGTGTATGGAATTTCTTTCCTATTTGTTCTCTATTTGTCATTAGCTAGTCAAACGAAGCTGCACTTCTCACACACAACACGCTGCCGCCCACCGTGCCTCTGCCGTTGCAGTGGAAGACGTGCCGCCCCAACCCACGCCTCCTGGGTGCGCGCGCTGCGGACCACCTCAGAATAGCGCCGCGCACGTACTCGCAGACTCGCACTTGTGTGGCGTGAAGGCCGTGGCCTTTACAGCGCTTTTTCTGCCTCCGCATCGCCGTTCCTTCACTCTCCCTCCACCTGCTCTCTCTCCTCTTTGATTTCCGTGCCGCGGCAGTCGACAGATTGCTTCGCTTTGTCTTTCGCTTTTGCTCCTCAACACCCTCTCTGCTTTCTCGTGTCGTGCCACCGTTCTTTCTGCCGCCTTCTCCCAGCTTGAGTACCCAGCACCGCACTCGTCCCCCCGATGACGGCGCCGAAGCTGCTTGTCGCTGTGGTGGCTGTTGCGTGCGTGGTGCTTGCCGCCGCCGCTGTGCCCGCGCACGCCCTGCACGCCACGTCGTCCGCTGCTGCCCTGTTTGCGGAGTTCAAGCAGACGTACGGCCGCGCGTACGCGACGCAGGCCGAGGAGGCTCGGCGGCTGCGCAACTTCGTGCACAACCTGGAGGCGACGAAGGTGCACCAGGCCCGCAACCCGCACGCGACGTTCGGCGTGACCAAGTTCTTCGACCTCTCGGAGGCCGAGTTCCGCCGGCACTACCTGAACGGCGCGTCGCACTTCAAGTCCGCGATGAAGCTCGCGGCGACGCTGCCGGTTGTGAGCGCGGACGTGTCGGCTGCTCCTGCGACGAAGGACTGGCGCGACGAGGGCGCCGTGACTCCCGTGAAGGACCAAGGCCAGTGCGGCTCCTGCTGGGCGTTCTCTGCGGTGGGCAACATCGAGAGCCAGTGGAAGGTTGCGGGCCACCCGCTGGTGCGTCTGTCTGAGCAGCAGCTGGTGAGCTGTGACGACGTCGATATGGGCTGCAACGGCGGAATCATGGACCAGGCCTACGATTGGCTGATTAACAACGCGAACGGTAACATGTACACGGAGGAGAGCTACCCCTACGTCTCGGGCAGCGGCCTTGAGCCGCACTGCAATGATTCCAGCGACCTCGTCATCGGTGCCTCAATTGAGGGCCACGTCTCTATCAAACAGGATGAGGATGTGATGGCTGCGTGGCTGGCGGAGCACGGGCCTATTGCGATTGCTGTTGATGCGAATGCCTTCCAGTCATACCGCAGTGGAATCCTTACGGACTGCAACGGAGGGCGTTTGAACCACGGTGTGCTGCTGGTTGGGTACAACACGACGAACGAGATCCCATACTGGGTGATCAAGAACTCGTGGGGTGCAGACTGGGGCGAGGGTGGGTACATCCGCGTGCGCAAGGGCACGAACGAGTGCCTGATCACGGAGTACCCCGTGTCCGCCACGGTGTCTGGCAACGCGACCACCACCACCACGAAGGCGCCTCAGCCGATGGTTGTGGAGTACACGGCGTGCCAAGACCGCCATTGCCACAAGAACTGCACAACGAAGCGTTTGCCTGTCGGTGAGTGCCTCAAGGGACACAACACTTCGTCCATCTTGTTGTGCGGTCGTGACCAGGTGGTGGAGGCCAGCTACGCTTCCAGCGACTGCAGCGGGTTGGCGCGGTACGAAATGGCGAACGCCAACGAGTGCGTGAAAGAGAAGCAGACCTACTTCAAAGCGGCGTGTGTGTCCGCGTAGGGATGAAAGAGCGTGCACGGCGTCGCGCGAGAGGGCGGCCGAGCGCAGTTGCCTCGGATAATGTAGGCGGCGCCACAACGGAAGGGGGGTCGTGGAAGGGGAGAACAAATGACCCCGCCGACTGCATGTACGGGGGCGGCGGGCACGATGCTGTCTCCGCAGCGGCCATGCACGTGCGCCCCCCCCCCTCTACGTCGCTTCTCCCTCTGCGGTAGCGAAAAGAACGAAGAGATGTGGGCGGCCCACTTTTGCATGCCGCTACCTTTGTCTGGGCTGACTGTAGTGAGGCCGCGCTGTGGTAGCGCTGAGTGGGAGACACAGCAGCTGGTCAGGTCCTTGCTTTAGTGTTTTAGCCACAAGAGGACTGTTTTGTGGCGGTGTCCCTCGCTCGCCGCCGTGTCCCCACACGCGTTACGACTTTGTCGCAAGATCATCCCCGAGGCTGAGCAAGTTACTGCGACGAGGACGTGCACCACGGCTCTTTTCGTGACTGTTCGGAGATATAAGTAAGAAAGCTCGTCGTTTTTCCAAGGCCAACTTTAAGCGAGGACGCAAATCTAACTATTATTACCTTCTTTTCTATTTCCATTTTCATTGTCTCTTGTGCATGCACTGCACATGATTGACGGTGTATGGAATTTCTTTCCTATTTGTTCTCTATTTGTCATTAGCTAGTCAAACGAAGCTGCACTTCTCACACACAACACGCTGCCGCCCACCGTGCCTCTGCCGTTGCAGTGGAAGACGTGCCGCCCCAACCCACGCCTCCTGGGTGCGCGCGCTGCGGACCACCTCAGAATAGCGCCGCGCACGTACTCGCAGACTCGCACTTGTGTGGCGTGAAGGCCGTGGCCTTTACAGCGCTTTTTCTGCCTCCGCATCGCCGTTCCTTCACTCTCCCTCCACCTGCTCTCTCTCCTCTTTGATTTCCGTGCCGCGGCAGTCGACAGATTGCTTCGCTTTGTCTTTCGCTTTTGCTCCTCAACACCCTCTCTGCTTTCTCGTGTCGTGCCACCGTTCTTTCTGCCGCCTTCTCCCAGCTTGAGTACCCAGCACCGCACTCGTCCCCCCGATGACGGCGCCGAAGCTGCTTGTCGCTGTGGTGGCTGTTGCGTGCGTGGTGCTTGCCGCCGCCGCTGTGCCCGCGCACGCCCTGCACGCCACGTCGTCCGCTGCTGCCCTGTTTGCGGAGTTCAAGCAGACGTACGGCCGCGCGTACGCGACGCAGGCCGAGGAGGCTCGGCGGCTGCGCAACTTCGTGCACAACCTGGAGGCGACGAAGGTGCACCAGGCCCGCAACCCGCACGCGACGTTCGGCGTGACCAAGTTCTTCGACCTCTCGGAGGCCGAGTTCCGCCGGCACTACCTGAACGGCGCGTCGCACTTCAAGTCCGCGATGAAGCTCGCGGCGACGCTGCCGGTTGTGAGCGCGGACGTGTCGGCTGCTCCTGCGACGAAGGACTGGCGCGACGAGGGCGCCGTGACTCCCGTGAAGGACCAAGGCTACTGCGGCTCCTGCTGGGCGTTCTCTGCGGTGGGCAACATCGAGAGCCAGTGGAAGGTTGCGGGCCACCCGCTGGTGCGTCTGTCTGAGCAGCAGCTGGTGAGCTGTGACGACGTCGATATGGGCTGCAACGGCGGAATCATGGACCAAGCCTACGATTGGCTGATTAACAGCGCGAACGGCAGCGTGTACACGGAGGAGAGCTACCCCTACGTCTCGGGCAGCGGCCTTGAGCCGCACTGCAATGATTCCAGCGACCTCGTCATCGGTGCCTCAATTGAGGGCCACGTCTCTATCAAACAGGATGAGGATGTGATGGCTGCGTGGCTGGCGGAGCACGGGCCTATTGCGATTGCTGTTGATGCGAATGCCTTCCAGTCATACCGCAGTGGAATCCTTACGGACTGCAGAGGAGCGCAGCTGAACCACGGTGTGCTGCTGGTTGGGTACAACACGACGAACGAGATCCCGTACTGGGTGATCAAGAACTCGTGGGGTGCAGACTGGGGCGAGGGTGGGTACATCCGCGTGCGCAAGGGCACGAACGAGTGCCTGATCACGGAGTACCCCGTGTCCGCCACGGTGTCTGGCAAGACGCATGCCCCCGTCACGACATCCACCGTTGCCCCGGGCGCGACGGTGGTGGAGCAGACGACATGCAGGGATCACATGTGTACCCTGAGCTGCAGGACTGCCCGAGTTCCGGTCGATGAGTGCCGCAAGGACAGCGACAGCGGCTCCTTCAAGGTGCAATGCGGTCTCGACCAGGTGATCGAGCGCCGCTACGCCTCCAACGACTGCAGTGGTGTGCCGACGTTCACGGTGACCCCTACGGACATGTGTATGATCCAGCCCACGAGTTCGTACAGGAACGTATGCATGGAGGCATAAGCTCTTGCTTTGTGGTGTCGAGGGTGCGGTAGAGATGAAAGTGCGGTAGGGAGTCTGGTGTGCTGGGCGCGCGTGCTGCCTCTGTGGAAGGAAGGAGCGCTTTGCTTACGCTTTAGCTCTTCCTCCTCGCACCTGTTGTTAGCGTCGACTGCTGCATTTTGCGTACCGACCGTACATACTGCTACGTTGCGCTACAAGTGAAACATGGAGCAAACGCGATTGAATCTGGCGCAGGTTTTTTTTCTCTACTACGTATGCGCACTGCGGTGCGCATTGGAGTTTGCACCTCTCCCCTACCCCCGCCACACACACACAGAGGCCGACACACTAGTATGCATCCCTTGCTGGAGGTTTCTGCGCAAGTACGTGACGCCCTCCCTCTCCCCACTCTTGTTTTCTCGGTACATCTCGTGTCTTCTGCGCGTTCTTTCGTTTCTTTCTTGAAACATGTACACCTCCTGTTTTTACGTTTCTTCGCCTTTGTATTGGATTGCTTTGCGCTTCCATACATGCAAGTGTGCGCCTATCTCGTTGTCTTTTTTTTTTTCTCAAGAGACAGCGAACCGATACCAAAGCGGTTCTGCTCTATCGGTGTGATGTCGTTGATGTGCGCATGTACTTCCGTTTTATTGGTCTCTCTCTTTTTCTTCTTATTCGGCTATGAACGTTTCGTGTTGATTGCCTTTATTATATATATATATATAGCGATGTGTGCACCTCCTCTCTCTCTCCGGTTATGGTGCCGCGTGGGCTGCGCGGTTGACGGCGCACGTTCGCGGTTCGCTGCCACACCCGCATAAAAAGGGGGGGGGGGGGAGGGCGTAGAGGCTGCTTGACGGCCCGGCAGGATGGCGGCTTTCTTTTTGTTTACGTTGGCAGCGTGTTTCGCTTCTCGTGTTTGTTTGTGTTTGAAGGACGGTGTGGCTTCGCTGCCGCATTATTTTCTGCCGCACGTAGAGTTTGGAGGACGAAGAGGGAAGTTGGGAGAGAGAGGGGGAGGGAGGGGAGGGAGAGCCATCGGGAGACACCGGTCGAACAAATGACGCGCCTCGAGCAAAGCAGCACGCATCACCAATCCCTATTTTTATCTTCAATTAGTATTTTGCTTATTGCGTCTTTCATTCTTGAAGGACGAGCCGAAAGGCGAGAGAACAAAAGTCACCTTCGGAAAAAGGAGGAGGAGGTTAAAAAACAGACAAACAGATATAAGAACAACCACCACCAACGAAACCGACAATAACCGTAAAAATAAGCCAAAGCGGACAGACTCCTTTCAACCGAGCTTTCTGTTTTAGCTTCTCCTTCTTTTCATTACTCGCCAACGTGTTCGTGTCGGGACCTTGAGCTCTTGCTGCGGCGACAGACAGAAAAGGAACACGTAAAGACGCTGGAAGGTCGGCATTTTGTTTATCTTTAGCGCAACACAGTGAAAAAGTGAAAATGCAGTGTTTTTCTTGGAGAAAAAAATACTAAGAAGCTCGCCTAACACACGCACATACAAAGGGTAGCAGCGCGCTTTTAGCGACCGGCTCCCTGTCGTGGACCTTCACACGTTCTTGACTCTGTGGGCTGGTACCCACATCACTGCCGTGGCTGCAGAGGAGGCGGGACAGCAAAGCGTAGTGATCCGCGATTCTACGCAGTAAAACCTGTCCCCTTTACGCCACGAGGAGCTCGCCTGAACGCGGTGTAGCAAAAGGAAAAGGAAAAATATATACTCCCTTTATGGTCGTACTTGTCTAACACGATGATGAGCACCTCACTTAAGACTGTCACGTGGATAGAGGCGGCAATGGACTTCCTTGACAGGCGAGTCACTGTAAAAGCACCTCCTCTTCCCCCTCCTCTCTCTTCTCCGCTGGCGTCTTTTTTTAAGTCGCCTTTTCAATCAACCCCCCAAAAAGTCCGTTCATCTCCAACGTCTTCCTAACGTTTCCGTTTTCTCTATTCTTGTTCGTGTTTCAGCTGCTCGTTGCTCTCGGCTATATATATATTTATTCTCTTACTTTGTTTGGTAGCAAGTTAAGAGAACAATCTCCATCGACCACGCATCTTTTCAGGCTGCGTTGTGGCTTCTATGAGAGGGGGCTTTAATCCGGGCTCCCTTTTTTTTGAATGCCGGTGAGAAAAGGGATAGTTCTCCTCTCGTAAGGTGCAAACGGTGTAGCAACAGAGTTCGTTGCTGAAGTTTAACGTCGGCGAACCCAAGTCACACACGAAGACTCGGCAGCGTCTGCGTGCATCTCTTCCTTTTATCTATACATGTTATTCCAATAGCCTCATTCTTTTCTGTTTTACCGCGAACGCACGCCCACATTCTCAAAGTCTTATCAGCAAGGGATACTTCTTTTCAGACTATTTTTCCGCAGGCGCAGTCACCGTTATCGCTTCGATAGGCATTCCTCACGGCGAGTCGGCTAGCGAGTTGGGGGTCCGTTGGTTGCATCTCGCGTACTTCGGCACGACTTTCGGCGCGCCTTCCATGTTGCGTCGACGCCTTCTGCACTTCCCCGCCGCGCCGCCCGCCCATCAGCTGCTCACGCCTGCCCTCTACTACTCGCCCTTTGCCGCGCATCGTTGCGCAAACACCGGGCGGCCTTTCCGCGTCGTTCCTGCCGCATTTGAGGCGTGGGCACCCACCGTTGGCACCCACGCCCACACGCGTCGATTTTATCGCACCTCAGCCCCATTCGGTACGTCAAAGGCCCTGCGCTCCTCCCACTCTCCCCCGTTCGACGGGCGCACGAATTCTGTTGGAGGTGAGCCTCCTTCGACGCGTCAGGCGCCTCGTACAGGGCGTACCATGTCGCACGATGGTGTGGAAGTCCCATGCAGCGCGCAGCTGACGATCGGCGATGTCGTCGTCCCAGTGCCCGACTACGCCGTCCACCCGGAGCGCGTGACCTGGGCGGCTCCCGGCGTCGATCACACCGCACCGTACCTGCGCCACGCGGAAACACATGCTGCGGGCATCGTCGAAAACGCCGCGCGCGGCGGACGTGCTGCCCTCCCCCCCTTGCAAGGCGGTGAGCCGGGGGAGGAGAACCCGTTCTTCTCCGTCCTGGACCCCCTCACCCGCAGCCATCTCCGCTGGATCGCACAGAAGGAGCAGCTGGGGCAGGATATGTGCCTTATCGGGGACCCCGGGCCGGCGATGCGGTGGCTTGTCATGCTCTACAGCCATCTCACACGGCGTGAGATTCGAGTGGTTTACCTGAACAGCGACATCACGGAGAGCGACCTCAAGCAACGCCGCGAGATTCGCAACGGGCGTCTCATCTACGACGATCAGAGTGCCGTGTCGGCGGCCGTGGAGGGCCAGCTGCTCGTGCTGGAAGGCCTCGAGAGGGTAGAGCGCAACGTGCTGCCGGTGGTGAACAACTTGCTGGAGAACCGTGAGATGCACCTGGACAACGGCTCCGTGCTTATCCACCCCGCCCGCTACGACTCTCTTCTGCAGAAGCTGTACGAGTCAAAGCAGCAGCAGCGGCGGCGGCACGGTGGCGGTGCCGACGGGGGCGAACTTGCGGTGGCGCAGCGCGCGGAGCTCATCGGGGAGGCGAAGCACGAGCTTGCCCAGATGGGGCTCGTCCGCGTCTCGGAGAAGTTCCGAGTGATTGGCATCACCGTGCCCGTGCCGCCCTTTGAGGGCAACCCGCTCGATCCCCCGCTCCGCTCGCGCTTTCAATGCCTGTACGTGCGCACCCCCCTACCGGTCGTCGCACCGTCGTCGTCGGTGGTCGACGCATTGGGGTCACCGCCGGGGACGCACGCGCGTCGGAAGCGCACGAAGCAGGTCGAAGAGCTGCAAGAACGTCAGTCCGCGCGCTTTGCGCAGGTGGCCCAGCTGCGCGCGGCGATCGCCGCCATCAACGACGTGACGCGCGACTTCCAGCTGAGTAAACCGGGCAAAAAGAAGGCGGCGGCGCAGACCACCGCACCGCCGGGCAGCAGCTGGAGCTCAAGTGGGCAGAGCCGAAGTGGGCGGTATCGCAGCATGTATGACAGCAACGATGTCGTCGCGGAGATGTTCCGCGATGAGGAGGTCATCAACCGCGGCGGCGCGGAGGGGGACGAGGGGGCGGGGACGCAGAGTGAGAGCGCAGCTTCTTCCTCTAGCAGCAACAACAGCAATGGCAACAGCCCTCTGCAGACAGTCGGCCACTGGGCCCTCGCGACCATCGCCCAGCAGCTCGCCCTCTTCCCTGACCTCCCTGTCGGCGAGGCCGTCGTGCGTGGGTTTCCCTGGCCTTACTACGCACGTCAGCTGACCAGCAGCGGGGCAGGCGGGGCGGCAACGGGGTACGCCAGCGTGGAGGAGTACCACCGCCGACTGGGCCAATACGCGGAGGTGCTCCAGCGCTGTCACGTGTACCCACCGCTACTGTTAGCAGCGGATCTCTCGAGCAACGACGGCCGGGGCAGCCGCAGCCCCAGTCCTGTGTCCTCCGCGGCGACGGCGCCGGCAGCGAAGTCATCGCGTGTCAGCGCCCGTCTGCGCACGGTGGTGCAGGGGCAGGGCGTGGAGGCGGGAGGTGGTGAGGCACCAGGCGCCGCCGCCGCGCGTGCGTACATCCGCTCTGCGCGGCTGGTCTCCACCTTTCTTTCTTCTTCCTCCTCGTCGTCGCCTCCTGCAAAACAGGCGCGTACCTCGTCAGCCGTGCCGCCAACTGTTCAGCAGGCCTGCAACTATCTTCTGAAGCTTCGCAATATCAGCTCGACGGCGGTGTTTTCCGGGGTGCCGGTCGTGGTGGCAGAGGCAGTCATCGCCACGGCAGCCCACGACACGGCGCACCCTGGTGAGGCAGGGACCTACGTGCTGCCTGTGTTTCTCGGTGCGGCTGCCCTGCCGGCGGACGAGGCCGCGCAGGCTGCGTGGGAGCGCCCGGTGGAGGGCTACCTGACCACCACCGCTGCCCCTGCTACGGTCTTCACGACGGAGCACTTCCACGTGTTGCAGATGATGCTGCACATACACGCGAGTCGACAGCACATGTGCCTGCTCGGCCCCACGGGCTGCGGCAAGACGGCGATGGTGCGTGCCTTTGGCCGACTGCTGGGCTACGAGACAATGCGCACGATGCACCTGTATGCGGACATGACGAACAAGGATCTCTTCCAACAGCGCACGACGGACCCGTTGACTGGCAACACCACCTGGCAGGACTCCCCGCTGCTGCACGCGGCGATCTACGGAAAATTGGTGGTGCTCGATGGAATGGACAAGCTGCCGAGTGGGATGCTATCCTCTCTGCAGCAGCTCCTCGTGGACCAGAGCGCCGTTCTTGCCGACGGCACCATCTTGAAGCCACCGACCGAGTACACCCTTTTAAAGGAGCAGCTGCAGCAACGGGACGCGCAGACGGGCGAGGTCATCTGGCGGCCAACGGATGCAGATATGCGGGAGCGCAAGATTTTTCCTGTCCACCCCGCTTTTCGGGTAGTGGCGACGGCGCGTCCTCCGCAGCCGGTGAGCGGCGGCGGCGGTAGCGGCGGGGCGAAAGGCGGCAAGGACTTCTTCGTCACGCACGATCTCACCACGCTGTTCCGCACGGTGGGGATGCCAGACGCGGGCGAGGACGCCCTCGGACCCGTTCTGCGACAGGTGGCCGCAGCCGAGATTCAAGTCCTGCAGGCGGAGACGTGGCGGGCTGCGGAGGAGTCCCCTGCGGCGATGTGGCAGCGCAGTGAGACGGTGGTGGCGCAGCTGCTAGAACTGCGCGGCGAGCTCGAGGCACTGCACGCAGCGGACGGCAAGATGCCGCAGCTCAGTCTTCGGCAGCTACGCCAGCTCGTGCGGTCTGCCGTGCGGTACCCGACACGGGTGGAGGAGAGTGTGCGGAACACGCTGCTCCTGCCGCTGATGACGGGTGTGGCGGCAACCAAAGTTCGCCACGCGCTGGAGAGCTGCGGACTAGCAGGGGCCGACACCGCCACAGGCGGCAAACGTGGGGAGGCAACGGCGCCACGCGCCGACGGCGATGACGAGGTGCTCTCGCAGGAGCCGACCGACGTTTCGACGACGACCGGCACATCGCGTGTGCCAGCGACGGTGCACGCGGGTCGGGTGTGGTGGGTAAACGGCGCGCGGGTGCTGCGGCTCTCCCGCGTCTACACGCAGCAAGAGCGGGCCCTCGTCCCCTTTGTCACCGGCTTCCACGCCAACCGCGTGCACGAGTCGATCCTCGCCTGGCTCGCGAAGCAGTACGCGATGCGGAGCAGCATCCTTCTCATCGGCAACCAAGGCGTGGGCAAGAACAAGGTGGTCGACGCATTTCTTTCGCGCCTGGGGATTCCTCGGCACTACATCCAACTCCACCGCGACACCACCGTCGGCAGCTTGACGATCAACCCCACGGTCGAGGCCGGTCGCGTTGTGTGGGAGGACTCGCCGCTCGTGAAGGCGGTGCAGCAGGGGCATTGCCTTGTGGTGGACGAGATCGATAAGGCGCCGGTGGAGGTGGTGCAGGTGCTGAAGGGCCTTATTGAGGATCGTGAGATGCGTCTTGGGGACGGACGGCTGATCTACGATCCCGCCGTGGAGCACCATCCACAGCAGAACTCACAGGAGCCACAGCACACGAACGAGGCGACGACGCAGCGAATAGCTATCCACGCTGACTTCCGCATTATCGTTCTGGCGAACCCGCCGGGCTTCCCGTTTCACGGCAACGACTTCTTTCGCGAGTGCGGCGACCTCTTCGCCGCCTACGTCATGGACAACCCCGATGCCGAGTCGCAGCTGCGCGTGTTGACCGCCTACGCCCCGACGCTGCCGCGCGCACTGCTGGAGCGCTTGGTGACCGTCTTCATTGCGCTGCAGCACGCCTTCACGCAGGGGAACCTGACCTACCCCTTCTCGCTGCGTGAGTTAATAGCCGTGGTGAAGCACATGTCTCGCTACCCGCAGGACGGCGTCTACGGTGCGCTGAACAACGTGTTTAACTTCGACGCCCGCGACGAGAACACGCTGCGGCTGGTGCGGCAGGTGCTGGCCTATTACTTACAGCCGATGGTGGAGCAGGGCGGGCTGCAGCGGCTACGTCCTTTTCGCGCCGGCCAGCCCGTGCCGTTGATGCCTTTCCACTCGTTGGTGCAGCTTCCTCTTCTCACCCCGGCATCTGGCAGCAGCACCTCTGCCGACCGTGCAGCTTCCCAAAGCGGCCACTTTCAGGGCCTTGCGACGCTGCCAGCGGAGGTGACGGCAGACGCGGGTGACGTACTGGCGAGCATTGTCGCAATCGAAAAAGCACGCGGCTACCCAGTCCCGCCATCGTGGAGCGCGACGTACCCAACGGAGGCATTTTCTCCCGCTTCTTCCGCTGCGCAGCCGCCGCTCTCGGAGGCCTTCACCGAGTGGGTCAGCCAGTGCACGCTACCGTTTGTGGATCCGCAGACGGACATGGTGCTTGCTATGGCGTCCATCAACGCCTTGGGCGGCGCTGACGCGGCTGGATCGGAGTCGACGCTGCCATTGATGTCGGTGTTGCTGCTGCGCACCTCGTCCAATGCGAATACCAACGCGTCGGAATCCGCTTCGACCTCGCTCTCTCCCTCGGCTGCACCTGCGAAGTCCTCCGCTGCACGCTGTCAGCTGATGGTGGCGACGGTGCGGCTGCCGCCGTCGTTGCTGGACACCCGCCACCTCGTCGCGGATGCCGCGGAGGAACTCGCCACCCTCTGGCCGGTCGGACACGCGCGCTTTGTCGACGTCTCTACCTACTACGCCGCAGACCTTGCCAGTGACGCCGCCTTGCGCTTCACCTTCGCGAGCCTGCGGATGAGCGCACAGCGCCTTCCCTGGACAGTAACGGCGACGACGGTCAGCCCTCCGCACCCCGACAGGTCAGAGGGGGCCCTTAGCGAGGTTGAAGACGAGGGCGTCGCCTGGCCACCTTCGCTTACCGCCTGCTCCGCTTCGCCCGTCGAGTGTCCGCCGCAGCAGAAGCGTCGTTCACTCTTTCAGCAGTCGGACAGCGCGCGTTCCATGAGCGAGCGGGCCCCCCAGGCTATCCTTCTGCTATCTTCGAAAGACACTGGTTTTACGGTGCTGCTGGATGTTCTTGCAGGAGCTGCATCGGACCTTTTTCTGTCTCGTATGGGCCTCGACAGCCGGCGGGCGGCTTCCCGCAGCGTCCCAGACACCGCGTCCAACGCACAGCAGAACGAGGAGACTTACCCGAGCGCGGGACCCCGGCTCGGGCCGGTGTTACCCCTCCACCTCGATCAACTTCTTCGCTTAGAGGCGGAGCGCGAGGGCGGAGGGAGAGCAGCCGTTGCCGCTGCTGCTTCTGCTGTTTCTTCTCCTACGCGCGTGCTGGACGTGCGGGCCTCGCAGGGGATCATCGCCTTCGCACCCGCCTCACCCTCTCCGTTGTGCTGCTTCCTTCTTGGCGGACACGTCGTCAAGGTCACGCTCCCGCAGCCTGTGGTGTCGCTGCGCTTTGTTGGCGAGCAAATTGCGGTCGTCGAGATGAACGACGCAGCCGCCGCGAACAGTGTGGGAGGCAAGAAGGGCATTCTCAAAGTTGCGCTCACGGCGGAAGGCACGGCGCAGGCGTCGTTCTTGAACCTGCCGAGGGGTGCGCAGCAGCTGGAGCTGGTCGAGCTGGGCGAGACAGCAGCGACGATGAACACAACGGTGGCGAACACGCCTGCCTCTCTCCTCACGCCGAATGACCTCGCCGATTCCGTCTGGCGCGTCGTGGCTAATGGTTCGGCTGTGCAGCCGTCCGCGCCGCCGTCAGCCAAAGACGGCAGTGGCTCGGCCGCCGCCGCCGCATCCGCGACAGACGACCCGACGGCGCGCAACGTTGTTTACGCCCGCGCGGAAGGCGTGACGGAGGACGGGCTTCAACTGCGCTACTACAAGCATACGAGTGCTTCTACGTCCACGCAGCTCCCGTCTCCCGACGCCGACGTGGTCGTCGATGACGCGCGGCATCAACTTTTGCAGGTGCAGCCCGACAGGCGAACCGTGACGGCAGTCGACACCCTGCACGGCACCGTGCGGTCCTTCGCTCCTCTGTCCACGGTGTCATCTTCCCCTGGCGCGTCAGCAGGTCCACCGCGGCCGTTAAGCGTGGACAACAGCAGTGGGACCGCCTACACATGGGACGGCGCGGCGCGGCAGCTGGCGATCGCGGACGTCGACGCAGAGCGGGTGCGACAGCGCTACTCCGAGTGGTCCTCGCTCCTCTCTGGCAACGCCGCCAACGTCGGTGACGCCGCCACCGTGGATGAGGATGAAGAGGACGTGAAGGACTTTAAAATGAAGTACAGCACTCCGCGCAAGCAGCCCTCCGGCACACTGAAGCACGGCGAGGTAGATGACAAGGAGCACCACGGCGGCAACACATGGGCCGGTGGCACCGGCGGCACGGACACGGCTGGCCTCGGCGGTATGGTGGGTCCGTACCGGCTGGACAAGGGCAACGTGGTCCATCAGGTCTCGCCGGAGGAGAAGCGGAAGGTGCCGAAGCACCTCTTGGAGGAGGCCCGACGCATGGGCCGTGAAGCTTTGAAAGAGCGTCTGCAGTCGATTGGCATGACGGAGGCCGAGTATGAGGAGTACAAGAGGCTGCAGGAGCGGGTGCGACCTGCCGTGGCGCAGCTACGCACGTTGCTGATGGGCTTGAAGGCTGCCGAGGGCGAGCGGGTGTGGGTAACCGGGCAGACCGACGGTGTGTGGGACGATAAGAAGCTCGTGGAGGGCATCGTGGGCGACAAGAACGTGTACAAGCGCCGCGTCGACTCGAAGGACACGAACCCCTTTCAGCAGAGATACAAGAAACGCCTCGTTTTCGTGCTGGACGTGAGCGCGAGCATGTACCGCTTTAACGGCATGGATCAGCGCCTGACCAAGCTGCTAGAGACCACCGTCATGATTATGGAGGCTTTCGCCGGCTTCGAGGCGAAGCTGGACTACGCCATGATCGGACACAACGGGGACAGCGACAGCATCCCGCTCGTCAACTTTGGCGCGCCGCCGGCGAACCAGAAGGAGCGGATGCTCATCTGCCAGCAGATGGTCGCCTACGCGCAGTACTGCTGGTCCGGCGACAACACCGTCGAGGCGATGCGGTGCAGCGTCGAGCTCGTCACGAAGGAGAAGGGAGACTCGTACTTTGTGTTTGTCGTGAGCGACGCAAACCTGCAGCGCTACGGCATTACGCCGCGGGAGCTGACGGAGATCATCCAGAGCAAGCCGGAGGTGAAGATGTTCTGCATTTTCATCGCCACGCTCGGTGCACAGGCCTCGCACCTGCAGCAGCAGCTGCCGGCGGGACACGGGTTTGAGTGCTTGCGCACGGACGCGCTGCCGCAGGTGATGCGGCAAATTTTCACTTCCGCGAACGTGTTTTAGGCGCCTTCTTTTCTGGTTTTTTCTCTCTCTCTGTGTGTGTGTGTGTAGAAGAATGAGACATGAGCGGAGAAGGTGTATATACCTGTGCATGCAGATTTGGGGAAAGGCTAAGAAAGTGCAAGGCAGTTATCTGCACGGCAACGTTTGACATGGAGCAATCTCAATTGTATTCGCTTTTCGTTCCTTTTCTTTTTCTCCTCTCTTCATGTCACTCCATGCTATCGACATTTTTTTGTTATTATTATTATCCTTAAACTCAAATGCAGTGTGAAGGGAGACCGTTAAAACAAAATCAGAAAGAATGAAATAAAACGTAAAGAGGCGAAGCACGCCGTCAAAGAAGCTGATGGCGCTGCAATGGAGGACGGCGGCGTGCTGTCGGCTTCGTCGGTGTCGCCTCGTCGTGGTGCAAAGACAAGCTCCCCCTATTTTTCGATGAGGCACACAGGAGACAACAAACGGCGTTTTCCTTGTGTCTCTCCAACTGTCTCTTGCACCAACGTCAATGTTGATCTCGCTGCGGTGCGCGTGTCTCACGACGTTGACCCACAAGGCCGCCTTTCCTCCGTCCTCCCTCCTCCCCACCCCTCCCATCTTCTTTCTTCCTCGCTCAGCTAGTTCCTTCCGCGCTGCCGTACTCCGCCTGCGAGAAGTGAACCTTCGCGCAAGGCCCTTGCCGGACGGAAAAGGGACGCCAGCGTCACAGACGCGTTAGTTCTCATCTAGTTGTTCTCTCTATATATTTTTTCTTCAGGGTTTTCGAAGTACAGCGATGAGCGAGTCGCAGCAGGCAGCTGAAATAGCGCGCATCTTAGCGTGCGTGGCGAAGAAGGCGAGCCCGTTAGATGTGCTGCAGCTCGACCTCGCCACCTGCGAACTCAGCGACGTGCACCGGCACTACCGCAAAATCGCCCTCCTTCTCCACCCCGACAAGTGCAGTCTGCCAAACGCCAGCGAAGCTTTTCATGCGGCCGAGAAGGTCCACAAGTCCCTCAGTCAGGAGCCGATTTTCTACCAGCTCAAACGCGCCTTTCAGAAGCAGCAGGACCGACTCGCAGAGGAGGGAAAGGCGAACGAGAAGGTAGGCGGTGGCGTCGCCGGCGGGGCGGCGGGTGCGTCGTCATCGGCGTCTTCATCGTCTTTCAGCGCCGCTGGGCAGAAGCGTGGGCGGGAGACCGCGACCGACTTGCCGCCCATCGCCTTCGGCTCTCTGACGCACCTCGCCCCCAGCGGGCTGTCGAGCGACGCCCAGAAAGCAGCGGAGATCCGCCGCGTCCTGCAGTGCAAGCCGACGGACTACTTTCTCATCTTAGATGTCGACCCTGCGTCGTGCACCGTCGCCGAGGTCGACCGGCGGTACCGCAAGATGGCGCAGGCTCTGCACCCCGATAAGTGCCAGCTGCCTCATGTGGACAGCGCCTTTACCGTGTTTGAGAAGGCGCACAAGGAGCTCGCGGATGAGAGGAAGCTGGTGCGCTTCAAGGTTGCCTTTGAGCAGCAGCGGAAGAAGGCGGCGGCGCTGGCGCAAAGCGCACACCGGCGGGGTCGGCAGCAACGACAGCAATACTATCGGTGGTGGCCACGCATCCGCCAGCACAACCGCGGAGGAGCGACTGCAGCAGCGCAAAATGGAAGCGCTGCGCAGTCAGCAGTTTGAGGCGATGCGTCTGGGCGAGGAGGCGGAGAGACGGCGCCGAGCGAAGGAGGAGAAGGAAAAGGCGGACGCGGAGCTCGCAACGGCGCTCGAGCGACAGCGGAAGGAATGGAACGACTTACAGCTCTTTTAGCTCGGGTGGGAAGGACTTTGGGTAGTCGAACAGGTGTGGTTTTTTCGGCTGTTGGTGCACCTCTTGTCTCCTTTTCGAAGTGTTTGCTTTGTCACTAACTAACTCTGTTTATGTCATGAAAACGCTGCTGTGAAGCGCACTGCGACGCCAATTACTGGGCGAAGTTATCCTCGTCTCCGAGGAATCAACCACGAAGAAAAAAATAGGGAGGTAGACACCAACAACTTATCGAGCTCTCTGCGACGCGAACCACGTTCCGCTTTCTTCTACTCGGCAGGTTGGAACGCTCCGGGGGACGCCATGTCGAATGCCTTGGCGTTCTTCACTTGGTTTGCTTCGAGGGGGTGAGGAAGAAGAAAGAGAAAGAAAGAGAAAAAGAGGCCGAGTTGTTTTATCGTCAACGTCTCTTGTTGCGGCCGACCGCTGTTCTCCAGAAGAATGCGCTGTCATTTCTCTGAACGAAATAAAGTATTTCTCCTTCTCGACGCCTCCCCCTCTTTTTCTTCTACTTTCAACCGCCTGAGCAGTTCTACCACCAACTAAAGCGGAGAAGCACACGATTTTGGCGTGCCTGTCCCACATTCAATATATTTTCTTTCTTCTCTTTTTTCTCCTTTTGCTCCTCTTCTTCTTCTGAGTGTTGTGCATGGCGTGCACACCATCTTGTGCAGCTCGTGTGTTCTTTTCTTTGTTATTATTATTGTTCTATAGGGCCTGCTACTCGATCAACGTACTCGATTTCCATTACTGTTTCTAATTTTTGTTTTATACCAATTTCTTTTTTTTAAAGATTTATTTTTACTCCTGTGTCAATTACTTCGCCCACTCCCCTCTCCCCAGTTTTCTTTCGCTTCATTGCGTTCTTACTAACAGGCGGACGAGTGTGTGTGTGTGTACCTGTTGTGCGTACATCTCTCTCTCTATATATATATCTTTTGCATGTGCATGTCTTCATTAATCGCTTCCTCTTCTTTCCAGTCCCATTTTTGTTTTGGTGCATTTCTCTCTCTCTCTCTCTCTCACGGTGTGTGTGTGTGTGTGTGAGTGTGCGCTGACGCTGTCAACGCGGTTCCTGTGGTCGTCTGGATTTTTGTTTTTCCCTTTTACTACTCGTCATTGCTACACCCCAACAAAGGACGCCGAATCTTGTCACGGGCATCTCTCGGCGCCGCTCACTCACTCCACTCACGACACCTCTGCGTTTTCTTTTTCCCCCTTTTTTAAAGTTAAAAAGCGCCTTTCCAGCTACGACTTTGTTTTTCTCCTTTGGTATCCACCGGTGAAGGAGCATCGCACATCAACGGCGCGTAGGTTTTTCCTTTCTTCTCTAAGCTGCTGCTGCCCTTCTCGTTTTTTTGTTTGTTTTACTTCCTCACGCATTCTTCATTTCCGTACTCAGGTGCAGTGCGCTCAACACCTCCTGCACCTTTTCTTTCTACTTAGCGCGCGAGCACGCAAGAAGCGAAGCAACAAATACGTAGTTATCCATACACACCCACACACAGACACGCATATACACATATACGCTCGCGCCGAAGCACCGGCTCATGCAGCCGATCCAGCCTGCGCAGCGAGTGGAGCGCCCACCACGGCCCACCTCGCCCGCCGCAGACGCTGACAGTCTCGGTGATGACGACGACAGCGACACGACGACGGAGTCGAGCTACCTGATGAGTGAGCGATTCCAAACGTTGCCGTGGCCTAGCCCCGCTACACCGCGCTCCGGTCGCGAGTCGCCTATCCCGTTGATGCGGGGCATGTCTCCGGCTTCGAGTCAGCAGCCGACGCACACGCCGGAGTCGTCGCTGACGGCTTGGTCGGGGGCCGTCATTCTGCACAACTTAGGCCATGGCCTCAGCAACAACAATAACAGTACTACTGTGATTGGTGCTAGCGGTGGCGCTGGTGCGAGCCGGACCTCTCTCTCACGTGATATCACCACCTTTAATCTACTCCGCGCAAACTCGGGACGGCTGAATGCGAACGTCGACAACAACGCCGCCCTGACGGAGGCGAACATTGCGTTGCTGCGCTGCGCACCGTCTGGCGGATTCAGCCGCCGAGACGCACGCCGGCTGCCACAACAGAACAGCGGGCGACCGCCGAAGACCCATCACACCTCGCAATCCCCAACCCGTGCGGGGGGTCCCACCGGGTACGTCGCAGCGATCAATAAGCGCTGGACGAATTGCCAACCTCGCCACTCGCCGCAGCACGGACCTTTGAATGAGTCGCCTGTGCGCATTGGTGACCGAGACGAGGGGTTTATCGGCGCCACGGCGGCGGCGGCAGAGGGTGGGGGGCACGTAACGGCTCCCCACACCAATGACAAGGAGAACATTGCCATCGCGGACAAGAACAACTGTAATGGCTACACAGCGGCGATCCCTACGCCCAGGGAAGTTGGTCCCAGCCTGGGCGGCAAGATAGCGGTCGTTACCCCTCTTCTCTCTCCTCTCGCGCTTTCGCAGGAAGCGGATGCGCTGGCGCAGCCGGCACCGCGGCAAGAACGGGCAGCCAGCGGACGACCTCGCCGAGCGTCATCGCGACATCAGGCGCAGGTGCTGCCAGGGGATGTGGGTACGACGGACACGGCCGGCATAGCACCTGCGGCACCTGCACCGCCACCCTCCTTGCCGCCGGTGCCGTCGCCTACTGTCGCTGCCGCCGCCGCCGGCGCACCTCAACGACGTGCCAGAGTTTCTGGTCCAGCACCGACGGTGGCATGCATCCCTGTTAGCTCCACTTCCACCGCCACCACCACCGCCACTATTACTACTACCGCCGCAACAGCAGCAGTCGGGGCATTGAATCCTGCGCCGACCACCACGGCGGTGAAGATCAGCTCCGCGCCTGCCCCTGCGGAGCGTGCCGCACGGGCCTTGCCGAAGGCGGTTCCGCAGGCCCCGTCGCAGTACCTCTCGGGTGGCCGTCTAGTACAGGCGGCGCGCCGAATGCCGGTAGGGGTGGTGGCCGCGCCGGCTCCGGCGCCATCCGCGGCCCCTCCGTCGAAGACGCCGATCAGCGCGGCACCGAAGGCAAGTGGGCAGAAGTCTCCGCTGACCCATGAGCCGCCTCAGACGCAGCAGGACCAGATGAAGAGCCCGATCCTTCCTGTCGCAGCCGCGGCGGCACATCCGTCGGACGCACAGGAGGAAAATGCCCCTGCAACTGTTTCCGCTACCGCCGCTGCGAATGGCAACACCAACGCAAGTGCTGATGCCAGCAGCAGCGACGATCCTAGGAGCCAAACAGACCCGGCCGTGCCGGACACCGACTCGTTGGAGTTCTGCAGCGTGCACACGATGTCGCCCGCGCAGGCTCGTCAGCGACGCGTCTCGCAGCAGCCTCCGGTGACGGCGGAGTCTGCGAGGACCCAACCAAGCACACCTGCGAGCGATGTCGCAGCAGAGCAGACGCCCCCTAGCGATCTCCATCGTATTGACGCTGCCTCGCGAAAAGAAGCGCCGACGAGTCCTTCCAATGCAACTGTGAAGAAGAGCGGCCCAACAGCCGCAATAAATACAAACAAGAGCGACGAGGACACAAATGTGAACGCAGAGGCGCAGAAGGACGGCCGAATAACCCGGTTGCTGACGGTGGAGGTTGCGCGGTTGGTTGTCGTGCCACTGAGCAGGACGCCCAAGTCAGCGAAGCGCACAACGCGGTCGCCTGCCGCTGCTGCGGCGATACGGCCTGTACCGCCGTCCCCGCCTCTTGTCTCGAGTACACCGACCGCCCCTGACACCCTGGCGCTCCAACAGCAGCCGCCGTCCGCGGTGCTCTCCCCCGCAGCTGCCACGGCCGCCTTCAATGTGGACGAGGCACCGAAGCGCACGCCAGCGACGGTGCTATCGGGCCCTCCACACGACGACGCGGACCCTCTCGCGAGCCCGCCGTTGGCTATCCGAGCGCTCCGCAGTGCCGGGCAGCCGCGGCACACCGTCGCGGACAGTCACTCCTTCCACTCCACCTTGCATGCGTGGAGCGTGGACACCTTGGCGGACTGCAGACTCAGCATGGCGAGCACGCAGCCGCCGCTGTCGGTGCAGTTCACACCGTCCGTGAAGGAGCGCAGCTCCAGCGTCGTCACGTCCGACCACGGCGAACGGGGAAGCTCCTTCACCTCCACCGCGTCTCCCTCGGCGGACGACAGCACGACGGAAATGCTGGCCAAAGTCACCACCACCGCGGCGCCCCAACCACCACTGCTTCTGAGTCCACCGACCAGCCTGCCGCCGAGCGTGGCACTGCGCGCACGGCGCAGCTCGCGCGCCGTCAGCGGCAGCGCAGAGCGCATGGCACTCACCGAACGCCGGGGGTCTGCGCCGGCGCAGATGGAGCGACAACGAGACACCACCACCGCTGGAGCTACGACCGCTGCCCCGTCGTCCGTGGCGGGCGGCAACAACAAGTCCACCGCACCGGCACGGCACGGCCGACCACGCGAACTCGCAAACGTCGGCAGCGCGGACTACAAGCCTGTCAAGCCGGGCGCCGCTGCGGCTTCCGGCAGAAAGGGCTCGACAACGATGGTTGTTGGAGGGCGGCAGCTGCCCCGCATGTTCCCCTCCGCTGACGACGATGGCGCGAACAAGTCCGCGTCTTCCGAGGAAGCGGCGGTGACGGCGGCGGAGGCGGACGGCACAGATGACGCCGTTGAGCACACGCGTCGCCGTGCGCTGAGTTTGCCGGCGTCGTCGCTGGGCCACGGCACCGGCAGGAACCCGTTTGCGCCAGCGACTCTGAGTGCTACGACGACGACCGAACACGGTGTGGATCGTGCGGGCCATCCGCCTCCCTCTTCTCCTGTGGTTGGCAAAAGGATGAATGCGGTTCGGCGCACGGAGGCACACGACGGGGGCGAGAACGGATGCGCCAAACGGCCTTCATTGCACACGCAAGGGGCCGGCAACGACGCCGAGCCTCGCCGAGCTCGCCAGCCTCCGCTTCAACGCACTGAGGAGGCGAGGGAGAAGAGCGGTGCGCCTGCATTGACGACATCCCCTGTGTTGTCGGCCGGCGGCCAAGCAGAGATCGCGGAGACGGCCTTTCAGGCTTCGCCGCTGCGTCTTCCGTCGCTCATGCGCCTTCCACGGACGCCGACCACGGCCATCTCAGCGGACACGAGCCCGACGACTCTGCAGGTGCACCCTCACTTCGCCAGCAGCACGAATGATGCGGACCAAAACGGCAGCAGCGGCAGCGGGCACGAGACCGCAAAGGACAGCAACGCGGCGACGCTGAGCGGTCGGCACCGGCCAATGTGTCCCTTGCCAAACGGTGGCGCCAGCAGCGACGGCCACAGCAACACGAGCAGCCCCAACAGCGGCGTTGACGGCACGCACTCGGCAGGCAGCGCCGGTGCTGGTGGTGGCGAGGCGGCGTCCGACACCGTCCAGGGCATGGCGAAGTCGTTTCACAAGAAGGCGCCGCGGTCTCGTCAGCGGGCGCCGTCGGTGGATTTTTTCTAACACAGAAGGGCAAACGAAGTGGGCGCCGCAACGCCCCACTGGAGGAAAACGACGTCGGTGGAAGAGGCAATCAACCGTGGCGCCTGTTTGTGGCACAAAAAAACCGGCGCCACCGTCAGCTCTGGTGCCTTCCTCCCCCCTCTCTCTTTCCATCCCGACTGGAGTGCAGCAAATTCTTGTGCTGTGTTTTCGCTGTTGGAGGCAAAGGCGCATTTCCCTTTCAGTTTCTTGTTGGATGCGGTACGCAAAGATACTTGACGGCGCTGCGCAGTCTCTTTTACATACATGCTTATATACAGGTTTATTTATGTGTCTATGCGTGCATGTGCATGGCGCGCGCGTGCGTGCGTGCGTTATGGGCGACCATTTGCTCTCACAAAGAAAAAAAAGTAAAGCAGCAGCAGCGCAGCGCGGCTGCCATGAAAGTGCGGTCTTCCATAACAATACTATTATTATGAAGCCAGGGGATGTGCTCGTTGCTGTTTACGCTCACCAAACGAAAGGCCCTTGTGCTCTCGCGTTCTCTCCTTAAAAAAGAAAAAATTTGGAAATGCAGCTCCAACAAGAATGAGTTTTATGTTCGCCTTTTCACCTTGTGATCTTTTTACTATTAACATGTGTTTTTCTTTTGAACCCTTTGTTTGGCATCCGCGCTGAGTAGAGAGTTGCGGGGGCAGAGTCCTCGAACCAAAACCTCTGGCCATGCGCGCTGCAAGAGAAGAGAAGCAGCGCAACATCTAAGAAACTAAGAAACTAAAAATAATAATCTTTTTTTTTTAGCTTTTACTTTTATCGGATGAGCTGACTTGTATGCATGTTGAGTATGGTCTGCTCACGTAAACGCAACCAAGCGAGCGCTTCTCTGTTTCCCGGCTGCCTTTCATGCTCCCAATCTTTTACGTGGTCTCAGCATCTTTTGTGTGTTTTTTAAACCTCTCTTTTCTCCTTTTCCCCGCTGTTGTTTTTTGTTTGTATTTTACGTTTTCCCATTCATTTGCTTTCCATGGTGTAAGTGTTGTATGCGTGATCGATGGACCTGTGTACGTGCGCTGACCCCGGTTCATCAAATACGAAGGCGGAGGCACTACACGGGATTGTGGTTTCTCCCAATGCGTGGCGTACTTCTCTCCCCTTTACATATAAATTTAGCCGATGCTCTCTGTCGGCGTCCGCGTGGCAGCTACTGGCTGCTCGTTTCGCCATTCCATTCTCAAACCTTTTCTTTTGTACTCTCAGTTCTTTTCCCTGTTACTCGCTTCTACCGCAAATTGAGCCGTTTTTTTCCCTTTCTTTGGCGTTTTCTTCCTCCTTTGTTATTCAGTATAAAGGTGCTTAATCCGTTGCCATATAGAGATGTGTGCATCCTGATCCACTGTACCTCGTCACGACGACCCACCGAATTTAAAAAAAAGTAAAGAAAACTGTGTCTTCTTCAATTTCGTCATCACGCACCACTGCGTGTGTGCCTGCGTGTGTGCTTCTGTGTGTCTTGAAGCTGTAACTCCGACCCTCTGTCTTAAAAAGAATCCCCCCCCCTCCCCCAAAGCTGCTCCCTCAAACAATGCGTTTTTCATCCCTTTTCTTTTTCAATTTCTGTTTTCGTTGAATTCCGCCATCGATTCTTCCTGCCTGCATGACTCGCGCTGGCGTTGAAGGGAGCAGCTGCCGTATCTCTCCCTTGTTTGTTCTCTCTGTCTCTGTCTCTCTGTGTGTGCGTGTGTGTGTGTGTGTGCTGCTGTTGCTGTGGCGGCGGTGGCGATCCCTTCTTGTTTTAACCGTTCTTAACCGTTTTCTCCGTTTCTCTCTTCCTCTCCGTCTCATCGTTCTCTCCGTGCATTTTCTGTATTATCTTGTCTTTTTTCGGTGCCTTCGGCGTCCTCGGCGGGGGACGGAAGGAGGAAGCCCAGGGCACCTCCCACACAGGCACAGACACCGACCACGTCGATGATGTATGTGTCTTCCCCCAATACACAGACCTGCCGATGTTTATAGTTATTACGCGGAAAAAGGAAAACTACTCGCGCTAAGTTTTTCGCGCGGAAGCACGCGCTTACTTGTGCGTTTTTCGAGTCCTTCGCATCACCTCGGCCTTGTCAGCCGTTCCCGTTTTACCTTATAATAAGTATTTCATTTCCTTTTAGACGCTCGCTTGCTTGTACCTCGCGATGCCGTGAAAGCTGGCGCTGCTGGCCAGCGATGAAACCCCAATTCTCTTTTTCCCTGTTGTCGCGTAACACACCCACCACGCGGGAAACCCAAATACATTGAACATTGACGCGAAGAATGATAGAGCAGTGTGCGTGTGTGTGTGTGTGTGAGACATCGCGTGCGCAAACTTCGTTCTGCTGAGGGATCACTTCAAAGCGTTATCATGCCGCACATTGCAAAGCGATCGGAGAGAAGACGGCTTTGGAGCTGCGTCATCCGCTGCTTTAAGAAAATGTTCTTTTTTTTTTCAAAATATTATTTCACTTCAAATACACGCTCCTGCCCAACTCCTGTGTTCTTCTTCTCTGCGTTACATCGCCGCTTTGAACCTACGCAATCCCCGGCATGTTTCATCGAAAACTTCGGTGACTGCTGTACTCTCCCCCTCGCTCTCCGGCACACATCTCCTCAGTATTCATACACACATATATTATTTTCTTGCTCCGTTCTTCTCTCTTGCTGCTTTACACTTTCGAAAACAATTTATTTGCCTTTTCCACTCCTCTCTCTATGTGCCTGTAGCGTAAGAGCTGAAGCTGGACGTAGCACGCCTGCGTTCATGGTTGCCTGTGCCACTCCGCTCCCCTCTGAGAAGGAACTGCCTGAGGCGCTACGTGGGTGCTTGAATTCGCATCGGTATTTACTTGCTTCCACCATCATCATCTCTGTAGTCGTTTTTATCTTTTCTTTTTTTGATAGTAGAGGAGAAGTTGCATAGAAACAAAGCATCGAAGGTTAAAAGAGAATAAGACGCAGTGGCTCACGCTTCCACGCACACCTCTCGCCTCAAGACATCTACTGCTCGTTCATATTCAGCCTATACAAGCGCACAGACTGCTGCGCGGTAAAAGCCTCTATCAGCATCACCATCGCATAGAAGCATAGCAAATACGAGGAAGCTGCAAACACCACGAACAAATCATAGAAAGCGGAGACACCTATCGCATTAATCCTCCCCTCCCCCTCCCTTCCACCTCCCTTTCAAAGGATGCGACGACGCGAATGTCTCCCCGCCCAGAGGGCGTGCTCGCTAGTGGCTGTCTGGACAGCCGCACATACCAGAGGATACCGGCACCTTACCACCCCCGCCCCCGCAGTGAACTGTGCAGCAACGATACCCGCCAAAACGGCACCAGGAAACGCGTCAGCACCGGGCGAAGGAGGCGACGGCGGCGGGAGCACTACCGCAACGACGGGGACGGCCATTCGCACGCCTTCTGTCACAGCGGCAGTGGAGAGTCCCGGCAAAGGTAACATGGACGGTAACCTCAAGAAGGCGTTATCCACCATCATCACGTCCACCACCGCCGCCACCGCCGCCGCCGCGGCGACGGACGATGAGGCGGTGGCGGCGGCAACGGAGCGCTTGCGAGCCGCACTGCGTGTGTTTTCCGTAATAGAGCAAGCCAAGTCAGATGAGCGGAAGCTGAACCTCTCGAATTTGATGGAGGAGGTGAGTCCGATCGACGTTGAACCAGATGGCGACGAGTCACCCTTGCCAGAGCACACGGACGGTTTAAAAGGATTTACTACGACGATGCCACCGCCGTCAGCCGCAGACGTCGCCACTGCCGGGGGCTCAAGCGGGAGCGACCGCCGTCGCAACACCACGGCGGCGCCGCTCGCGTCATCGATCTCGTGGGCGTCGGCCACGTCGTCGTGGATTCGCAATAAACGGCCGAAGTTTTGGGCCATCGTGAACGACGCGGGCGTTGAGAGCTGCGTGGCCGTCAGCGGGCAAGAAACCGCCGCTGCAGTTGTCAACGAGAAGGCGAGGAGCGCGGCGGAGCTCGCTGCCTCCGCGGCTGGCACACCGGGAAAGGCAGAACCTAAGTCGTCCGAGGCAGCAAGCACGTCCGCGTCACCGTCGCTAGCGTCATCACCCGTGAAGACCGCCAACAACGCCGCTCTGCCGTCCTCAAGCGGTGAAGATGCCGCATCACGCGTGTTGAGCTCTTCGAGGGAAGGGACAGACGCAGCGGCGCGTCAGGCCGCGCCGGCCAGCGCACAGAGCGTTCGCACTGCCAGCTCCGTCCCACCCTTCCGCAGCCGCTACAAGAAGGACGTGGCCCACGCCCTGTCTGAGCTGCTGAGCCGAGACCCCGCGCTCGGCCCTCAGCTGCTGAGTCAGCTGTCAGCCGAGAGCCGCCGCTTGCTGTTGATCATGGGAACCGCAAGCGAGTACTTCGGCGTCGACTACGGCGAGGTGGCGGAGCAAATTAAAGAGGCGGACACCGACCGCGACAACTCGATCTCGTCGAAGGAGTTTGATGCGTGGGTGAACCACATGGCGGGGATGGCGTCCACACGCCGACACCGCGCACCGGCGACGGCGGAGTCTGGAAAAGAAGCGGCGTCGCCATCGACCGATTCATCACGCTCTCCTTTGACCTCCGCAGCTCCGGCCGCATCGTTAGCGAAGGCAGCACCTGGGGCGACCAGCACACCGGCAAAGGGCAATCAGAGTACACAGGTGTCGACTCCCGTGTCTTCCGCATCTGAGAAACCGGTCGCTGCGCAGACGCCAGCGGTGCCGTCCAAGGCAGCCGCCGTGCCCCCTCTTCCTCCTCCATTGCAGTCCGAAGCCAACGTGTACGTCACGACACTCGTCGGTGGTCTTTCTCCGCATCTTGTAGCACCGTCGGCCACCTTATCACGGCAGCGAGCGGAGATGGCCATCGTCGCCGCACGTGCTGCGAGTGCCCGCATCATCGAGGTCCTGCAGAAGAACGTGACGGCGCTGCCGTCTTCTGCGTCCGCTGCCGCAGCCGCAGCCGTCGCCGCAACGGCCACGATTACCGTGGGGAAAGGTGATTCTGCCACGCAGTCATCCTCGACCTCATCACCGCCGTCGGCGCCGTCGCCGGGGCTGCAACGACAGCCGCCACCTGTCCAACCGTCGTCTCCTTCGGTGTCCGCCCAGGTGGCGACTTCGGCACCGTCGGCCTCGACAGGACTGGTGGCCGCAAAGCCGCCTTCCACGGGTGCCCAGGCCATAGAGTACGTCCCCTCCACCAAGTGCGCCGATGCCCCTCCCGCGAACACCGCCTTCGTCAACGCGACCACCACCTGCACCGCGGCAGGCGAGGTGCCCAAGGCTGTCAAGAGAGGCGACCCGGCGTACATCCCGTGGCCGATCTTCGCCAAAGTGGTGTGCGCCGCCGCACCGCCCTTTCTCGCGTTTGGCATGCTCGACAACTGCACGTTGGTGCTCGCGGGCGGTGCGATTGACAACATTTTCTCCGTCAAGCTCGGCCTCTCGCAGATGGCCGCCGCCAGTCTCGGCGGGGTCGTCAGCGGTGTAGCAGGGATTCAAGTGCACGGCCTCGCTGAGCGCTTTACTCGCGCGAAGCCGCCGCAGCTGACGGCGGCGCAGGCGCACAGCGACGCCTACCGACGCGCCGAGACCACTGGCAACACGCTGGGGATGGTGGTGGGTCTTGTGATCGGTATGACGCCGCTGCTGTTTGTGGGACGCGCCTCACAGGATACGGAGGAAGAGGCTGAGGAGGAGCGGCAGCGGTTTCATGAGGAGGCGGCGCGCAGTCATCAACGGCGGTGTAGGAGCGTGGAGAAGGCGGAGACGCTGGTGCGGCATGCGCACGTAGCGGACGAACACACGGCGCGTGAGGAGATAGCGACGGCGTACGCAGCAACGCCGGCCCCGTCTGCACCATAGCTACTTCGCAAGAGAGACACGTTTGTGGTTGATGTCTCCCAAACCGGACAGCTGCTGTGGCGTTGCCGTCGAAGCGTTTTTCTCTTGACTTCCTTACTGTGCTGCCGGCTGCTGCGTACGGGAAGCGGACTCGTACGTTTGGCCAAGGGGGGGGGGGTCGACTTAGCTGACGGGAGTTGTCCAGCGCGTCCGTTCACTTCAAAACCAAAACAAACAAATCAAAACCAAAGACCCAGAAGGTGAATGAAAGGCGCTGCGTTTGTCGTTTTTGGGGACTTTCGTGATCCTCCTCCCCCAAAAATGTTTTTAAAATTACCCTTAAAAAAGACGATGACAGGCGGCGGCGGTGCGTATGTTTTTTTTCTTCTTCACAGTTAATGAAAGCTTTGCCTTATGTTTGTTTTCTGGTGTCATTGCGGAGCTGCAACACTGTACTTTGTTGTCTCTTAATTCCACTACTTGTACTAGTACTATTATTAATGTGGTTTCCCCTCTCTGCTTCGGCGGTTCCGTGTCTGCATGCCTGAGATACTCCTCGCACACAGAGAGGGGGAGCGGTCTCGGCCTTCGAAGAGCCGGCCGGGGTGGTGGTGGGCCGTCAGGCACAGCGATGTCACAGCTTCACGCTGGATCAAAAAAGAAATGACTATTATTATTAAGCAGAGACAACGCACTGAATGTGATGGCGCGACTGCCGGCGGGAAGGCGAAGGAAGCTGTTCTCGGCGGAGGGAGGACGGAAGCGCGCAAAAGGAGGCAAGGAAGCCAAATGGAATCGATGGCCTCACCGGGCCGTGACACACGCACACACACACGTACACATGCCTTCGATGAATGCGTCGAGAGGGTTCTAACGCAGCCGGCTCACGCATCGCTGCGCGAAGTGAGCGTGGACGACGCAACACGATGGAAAATTGTACTCGATGTTTGTGGAGGAATACAACTCGCCTTATCTGACCTCCCTTCTTTTACTGCCCTTTTCTTGTATTGTTTTCTTCTTGATCTCTCATACTTACACTTTTAGCGCCTTACGCTATTCACAACTAGAATTGCAAACGGACGTGGCGTACGCCGTTCTCTTCCCCGCTCTCTCTCTCTCCTACTGTCATCGGATTTTGCATTTATTTCTGGGCTCTTGCTCTTCAACAGATGGACAGCGCGTACCTGAAGAACCACGTCGGCGCCGTGCTGGCGAAGGGCATCGCGGAAACGGTCACCGCCCGTCCGAGCAACCCCCAGGAGTACCTCGCGCTCTTTCTGCTCCATCAGCTGCAAGAAGAGGAGCGCCGTGTGGAGGCCGCGACCCGGCGCAAGAAGGCGAATGGGCTGCGCGAGGACTGGTCACAGCAGCGGGCGCTGCGGGAGAAGGCGGCCGTCGATGTCATCCAACACGGTTTCTATCGCTTTCAAAGCCGGTTGAAGGCGAAGCGCGCTGTGGAGGAGGAGCTGCGGGGTCGCTACGCGGAGGCGGAGGCAGAGGCGGAGGATCTGCTTGACCAGGAAGCCGCTCTGAAAGAGAGCGACGCCCACCACGCGAACAACGTGGAGGACGAGGCGCATGAGAAGGACGCCGCGTCGGAGAAGCTGGCGGAGCAGGAGGCTGCCCTCGCCGACGCACGCGCGGAGTTCTTCAAGTCGCAGCGCTTCCTCCTGCAGCTCAGCAAGACCTCGCTTGGTCAGCTAAAGCAGGAGCTCGTTGACATGTCGGAGCGCGTACGAATGGCCCAGGACGTCACCCTGGGCGCTTTCCACCGTGCAGCGGCGCAGGAGTCTGCGCTGGTCGAGGTGCTCTCGGCGCAGTTTCCATCCGCCGCGTCCAGCGACAACACAACGGTTGTCTCCACACCGGAGGTCTCACCGGCGGTGGCGGAGCTCGCGGCTCGCCTGGAGGAGCACCGTGATCACCGCTTCATCTCCGTCCCGTACGTCAACTTTCTCGTTCTGCGCAGCCTCTGCTATTTGTTGCTCAACGCCACGCCAAAGTCGACGAGTACGCCGGCGAAGGTGGCCGCGTTGGTGAAGCCGACGGTGATGGTGCAGCAGCTGCGCGCCTTTAACCCCGTCGCAGGCTACGATCGCGGCATTCCGCTGAAGCTGGAGCGCATTGTGCCGGAGCTGGCCGCCGCCGCTGCAGGCGGGGCAGGTGGCGGTGAGGACGGGAACGGCGACGATGGCGAGAGGAAGAACGCGGACGGCATGGGGGCGGAGGAGGGCAGCGGTGTCAGCGTGCCGTTTCGGCAGCCGCCAACACGTCAGATCCGTCGATCCGCCCGCGTGCTGCGCTTCGGCTGGTTGGACGGGGAGTACCAGTGCGAGCTGAACCCGGAGGACTACTACACCGAGGAGATGGTGGAGGAGGACGCTGAGAGGGTGGCGGCGGCGGCGGAGGGGGGCAAGCGCGGTAGCAAAACAGGCGGCGGTGTCGAACCGACGGTGGCGAAGAGGGACGGGTCGACGCCCTCCACGCCGATCCCGACCCTCGCGGAGGAGATCGCAGCAGCGGCGAAGGCCCGCACGCGTGCGGCGGAGGTGCGTGCGACGGTGACGGCGCAGGTGAAGGAGCGCGGCGGCATCGTCCTGTACGGCCTCCTGCGCTTCGCCGCCGCGGCGGTGGCCTACCGCCAGGCTCGTGACGGTGTCGCACGGAGCCGTCAGGAGCTCGGGCTGCCGGCGGATGTAAACGAGGAAATGCCAGAGGAAGAGGAGGAGGACCCGATGAATGACGAGGCGCTCGTCGATGAGGAGACCGGCGAGCCGGATCATGCCGCGACGCTGGCGCTGCAGGAGCGCATCGGCGTGGACACAGAGGAGGCGCTGACGAAGATTTGGGAGGCCCGCGACACGCGACAGCAAGAGGCCTACGCGATGAAGGCGGCCGCCCTGCAGCGGCAGATGGATGCGGGGGGCGAGGAGGAGGAGGAGGACGCAGGGGACGCGGAGTAGCGCACCGCCGGAGCTGTGAAGTACAGAGAGAAAGAGAGAGGGAAGGAACAGAAGGCCGGCGGGGCGGAGGGGTTTTGAGTGGGCTGTAGGAGCGAAACGAAAATGGCCTTTTCCCAATACCCTTCTCCCTCTGCCTTTCCTCTTGTTGCGCTGGACCTTCTTTTTTTCCTCTTTCCCTTCGTCGCCGTGAACGCGACGTCTGCGTCGGCGAGCTGCGCTGTCACGATGGGCGAACGCCGCTTAGTCGTCCTTTTTGGTTTGTTTGCTGTCTTTCCAGGCCGCGTTTTTCGGCAGACCTTTCTGTTTCCTTTCCCCCCTCCCCTTTCCTCTCTCCCTCCACAGCTCCTTGATTAGTGTAGCTCTTTCCCACAGGTGACGGAGGGGTGGCATGACACCTTCCATGGATGTACAATTGATGTAAATGGCGTGTATGCGTTGCACAGACACGTGCTTGTGCGTGTGCGCGTATCTCGATGTATTAGTTAAGCAGAAGAGCCCTTCTCTCTCTCTGTGTGTATGCGTTTGTGTTTGTTCCGGCCGTCCGATGTTAATTGTTCCATGCAAAAAGTCCAATGAAAGGAGGAAGAATGAGGAAGAAAAGGAAATGACGCTGTCTGAGGCACAGCAGTGCGATGATCTCCGCGTGCGGACAGGCGTCGACGGCGTTTTCTGCTCGGTGACAGTGCACGGGCTGTCGCTGCCCGCCGCGCGCATCCACGGCGCGTCAACGGCGAAGCGCACAGCTGCGTGTGTATGCGAACGGCGGACTGCGGTGATGACCGAAAGGACAGGAGGGAAATAATATCCACAGCAGCTTACACATTGTTGCCTGTCCCGCGCAGTGTGCCTTCACCAGTGCGTGCTTTTAAAATCTTCTCTTCTGCTGTGTACATCACAGGTAGAGAAGTTGTCCACGACTGCGAGACTGGCGCATGCAAGGCGCTGTAATCTGCCACTCTTCGCGGCAGCGAGTCGACAGCTTTCCACTTTCCACCTCTCCACGAATTTTTCTTCGTCGTATTCTTCTTCTGCGAGTGCTCTTCATTTCTTCCAAACCGCACGCCAACAGCGACATCTGCGGTGAACGGAGAACTGAAGCTTACTGGCGCGTTCCGTTACACTCGTGCGCCGCTACATCGCTCAGGCTTCTTCGCAGAGGACACTACCGTTATTACCACCGTTTATTGTCTTATACGAACACGTTTCGGCGCGTTGCGACGCCATGCTTCGGCTGCTTTCTCTGCAGCGCATCTCCTCGAAGCAGTTCACGCACGGCCCCTTCGCCACCCACTCTCGCAAACAGAGCTTCCGCGAGTCGAAAGCCTCCTTGCAAGTCAGCCGAAGGCGCGCGCAGTCGCAGCAGGCCAACTTCGAACTGCAGCAGTCAGTGAATGAGCAATTCGGCTCGCGCCAGCGCCGCTACGGACACGAGCGGCGCTGCATGCAGCACGCGGCGGAGGATCTAATGTACGGCCGTGCCCAACGCGCAGCACGACGGGACGGCCAGGCAGGCCAGTCATACACGACCGCGAAGGACCGGGCAGCGGAAATGGCGACAGCACGGCAGCTGTTGCAGCTGCAGGAAAGCACGCGAAGGCTCATGAAAAAGGGCAAGACGTCACGGACAGAGTCGTTTCGTGCGCTGAAGCGGTGGAGTCGGTGAAGCTGCAGAAGCTGCGCTAGAACGGAGGTGAGGCTTCCTCTGCTTCTTTTTTCTTTTTAAATCTTTTCGTGCTGGGACCTGCTTTCGTGCAGCGTTACTGCTGTTGCTGCCGCCGCCGCTAGTGTGTGCTATCGCTGTGGATTCCTTTGGTGCCTTGTTGGTGCTACTACTGTCGTGGTTTTCACAAACAAGTGCACCTACAACACTAAAGATGTACTGCATTTCGAAGTGCAGCCAACGAGAGAAGGGAGAGGGGAGGAGAAGACGCCTCTCGCTTCCGCGCTACACCGCCGATCGTTGCACAGGTGCGCGCTACGGAATCCTTCTTCGCCTCTGTATGCGTGAGGTGTGCATCATGCTCGTGTTGCTCGCAACGTGCCGCCATCACGCACAGTCGGCTCCTCTTTGGAGCGGGGGACAACGAAATGCATGAATCTTACCTCTACTCGCTCTACTCTCTCTCCCTCCGCCGCCGCCTTCTGCTCGCGTCGTACTGCTGCCATCACCGAGAAGAGAAGCTCCCTCCTTTCTTATTCCAGCCGCTGTGCCTTCACACTGTTTTTGACAAACGAATACACAGGGAACAGTTTTATTTGGGTGTTTTAAAGCGATGTTGCGCGCGTTCACATCTTTCGCGCGGCCCAACTCGTCTCTGCCGGTGGGGATGGTGTGTCGCATGGGGGTTTTCAGCGGACAGGCGGCGCTGCGCCTCGTTCCTTCATCCGCGGCCTCCTCTCCCTCTTCTCCACGAACGCCGATGTGCGCAGAGGGTGGCACAGCGATGGGCGCCATCTTCTGTTCATCCTTGGACGTCTGCGCTCGCCACGCATCCACCGAGGGTGTCGGCGCACCCTTCGCGTCTCCTCCAACGGCTGACCGCAACAAGGAGGATCACAATAATCATAAGAGCGGCAAGAGCCAACAGGAGGGTGGGCCGAAAGATTCTTCTTCATCGTTCTCTTCTCCTTTTGAAGCCTACCGTGACTTTCGACAGGCGCGCCACAAGCGCAATGACCGGCAGTACCAAACCTTGTCTATGTACCTCGACCGTCTGCCACCTGGTCTGCGGGAGCTGCTGCTCTACTCACCGTTGCTGGCGCTGCTGTACTTTGTGCTGGTGCAAGCCCGCGTGTACTACCTCGATGAAGAGGAGCTGTGGTACCGACTATTTGTTCCTGCTCGCTGGCGCTACCACACGACGACAGAAACAGTAGCAGCATCATCAACGGCAAGGCTTGCCAGCAAAGATGGCACTCAAGAAGGAGACGAAGCCGATGGGCTCGCTACGCAGCGCGTGAGGTCCGTGGCGCATGTGTCTTCCTTGCTGAAGCGTGCGCCGGCATCGGCGCCGGTCCTGCGCACGTCCACAGCAAGTGTCGTCTTGCCAACTGCCGTGGAGGCGAGCACGACACCCACGGAAGACAGCGGCGTGGTCGGCCATGAAACTGCGCCCAAGGGAGTGAGCAACAGCAAGAGCAGCAGCGGTGACGGTCACGACAGCGATGCCGCTCTGTTGAATAGGCCGGCGGGTTTGATGACCACCACGTACAGGTACCGTGCGATGGCGGTCCACGACGCCGCAGCAGCGGTGTCCGGCTGCGCAGCTCCCCCGCTGGTGGCACCTTTCCATGAGGTGACCGTGCGCAAGACGCATGCGGCGGCCGCTCCCTCGTCCCCACCGGATGCGGCCACGCTGAAGGAGACGCAAGGACCGAAAGCGGAAGGGGACGGCAGTGCGGCGGCCGAAGCCCTGGCTCGAGCGCACCCGTACGGTGTGTGGGGAGGTCCTCTGCAGGTGCTGCGGGATCCGACAACAGGCTGCGTGATGGGCTACTCTGCCAGTGTCACGCCGTGATTTGAACTCGATCATTCCCAGCGGAGAAAAAAGAAGAAGAGCAATACAGAAGCACGAGTGGGATTTTTATTGAACAGTAATTCTTTGAACGTGCCTTCTCGTTTTCGTTTGGAAGGTTTCGCCAGAGGGGGGAGGGGCGTGGGGTGCAGCGCGCACGTGTTCTTCACAACGCTAAATTACAACAGAAAAAACAACAACACAGCGCGATAACACCGGATGACTCGCCACTTCCGATTTTCAGCGGTTTTGTGTCCTCTCGTCGTGATGCGCGCTGACGCTGCGGACGCTTTTTGCCCAGGTCAGGTGCAGCGAAACGGTGAAAAAAGGAGGGGAGGGGTGACGTGTTCTCGCGTTCAGCGTGGGTGTGACGCGCATCCACCCCCACTCTTACCTTTTTTCTTCTTGTTAGACGGAAAATGACGGAGGTGAAAGCGATACACTATCGGGAAGAGCACGGCGCACTTCCGCACGTGCTTGACGATGTGCATCGTCTTCTCGTGCTCCTTCATAGTTTTCTCTATCCTCCCCCCCTCCTTTCTCCCGTTCCCCTCTTTGTGAAGAGACGGTGCGTTATTCTCGTGCTTGTCCGATCCGCCAACGTGATACCAAGACGTTAACACACACACACACACCCACACCCACACACAGTCAATTTATCACATGCGTAACACACCGTAATAAAGGGTACATCGGCATTTTTTCCCCCTTTCTTTTGTCGTTAAAAAAAATATATTGTGCCCACCCACGATGAACTCCGTTGATGAGCTGAACCTCCTACTGGGCATCGGCCCCGCCCGCCCGCAGCTCCCCGTCACGCTTCGCAAGTCCGGCTACATCCCAGTCCGCGCCTTAGGCAAAGGCAGCTACGGTCAAGCCTTGCTAGTTTTCCATGAACCGCGACAGCAATACTTCGTCGTCAAACACCTGAACTTAGCCGGCATGTCGTCTCGACAGCGGCACGACGCGCACAATGAAATCAGCATCCTCCAGAAGCTGCACCATCCCAATATCATTCAATATGTGGAGTACTACGAGGAGCACCCGAACCTGTACATTGTGATGGAGTACGCTGATGGCGGGGATGTGTACTCGCTGCTCAGCAAAGCTCAGGCTGCGCGGAAGGCCGCTGCACGCGCGAATAAAAAACTCGGCGACGCCGCAGCCGCTTCTGCGGGTGGTGGCAGCGCTGTTGCTGCGGCGAACGAGAGCAGCGGCCTGCTGTCCGAGGTGCAGGTGGTGAGTTTGTTCGTCCAGACGACGATGGCGGTGAAGTACATGCACGACCGCCGCCTCCTCCACCGCGACATCAAGTCCTCCAACATCTTCCTCACGAAGAACCACGTCGTGAAGCTCGGCGACTTCGGGATCAGCACGGTGCTGCAGAGCACCATGGCGATGGCGAGCACGATGTGCGGCACGCCGTGCTACTTCTCACCTGAGCTCTGCCAAGGACGGCCGTACAACAACAAAAGCGACATGTGGGCGCTGGGGGTGCTGCTCTACGAGCTCTGTGCCGGTCAGGTGCCCTTTGAGTCCACCACGATGCGGGCGCTGATGCGCGACATCGTCCACAGGCAGCCGCCTCGCATCCCAGCGCTCTACTCGGATTCTCTGTGGGAGTTGATTGTGCAGCTGCTGCAGAAGGACCCCCGCCGCCGGCCCGACGCGGGTCAGGTGCTCATGTCCGCAACACTCATGAAGTACATCCCAGAGCTGATGGAGCAGCTCGCGTCTGACCCGGCATACGCAGCGGCCGCCGCCAACGACGAGGTCCAGAACAACAACGAGGAAACTAGCAACAAGGCAGCGGATCATTATTCGGACGGCACCTCCGGGTTCACTCCGGCGACATCACCAGCGGCGCCTCCGCCACCACCGCCGCGCCGCGTTCCACAAAAGAACGCAGCGGCGGACGCGCTCCCTGTCGCTCCCCCGCTTCTACCGGCGGCGGGACCGTCAAGGAAGAAGCCGCTCTCCCCACTCCCACTGCCGCCGGCGGCAGCGGCAGGCAATCCGGCGTTGAAGGGGACTAATGCGGTGGGGCCAAACCAGAACAGCAGAGCTGGCGGCCCGTCGCCTTCGTCTACCCCACCACGTCCACACGAGGGTCCGCCCGCTACTCCCCCTCCTTCATCCAAGCAGCAACCACCGCCGTCGTCGACCGCCTCCATTGCCGCCTTGCTGGCTCGCTTTGACGCGCAGAAGCAGGAGTTGGCAGCGAGCAAGCTGAAGAAGAAGGAGGAACAGAATTCGCAGCCGCGACAACCGCCGGATGCACCCCCACCCAGCAGGCCGCAAGACGATGCCAATAGCAGCGGCAACGGCAGCAACTTGCCAGGGCTGCGAAACAAGAAGAGAGATCATCATTTTCAGGCACCACCGTCATCGCAGCAGCAGCAGCAGAGAAGGAAGGAGGGAGAAGGTGCGGCCTCGGCGGCACGTCTCTCACCCGGCGCCGCGGCCGCGCTTCGTCAGCAAGGGCTGGACCCGGAAAGTGATTCTCAAGTATTTCCCCTTCGCGGTCCCGGCGGTCATCCTGCCCATGCTGGAAGTGCTGCTGCTGCTGCTGGTCATCGCAGGTCCTTCGCCCCTCCACCGCTGCCCGCTGCTCTGCGCGGCACGTCCGCTACTAACATCAAACAGCACGAAGATCATGGAGACGCGCCACATGCAGCTGCTGCGGTGGGCAGCGGCAACAACGCAGAACGCGCCGTGGACTCCCCACACGGTGGCGGCTCCTCATCGGCTGCCGCTGCCGGGGTAGCGGCGCCGACGGGATCGGCGGAGCTCGGTGCGGTGCTGACGGAGCTGTCCACATGGCGTGAGCGCAGTCTGCGCCGTCAGCACCGCTCCCAACGCAAGGGCGAGCCGGTCCACCCAAATCAGGCGAAGGAGAACCGCAGCAGCAGCAAGGCCGCGGAGGAGAAGCGTGAAGGAGCGGCGCCGTCTTCGTCCTCGCCGCAGCCGCAGCGCCACCCGTCAAGTTCGCAGGAGAAGGACGGCCTTTCGGCGGTGAACGCCGCCGATGCGCATCCAGGCGAGGTCACCGCCGGGGCGGCGAAGGCAGCCGCAACGAAGCAGAGCGCTGATGTGGCTTCCCGAGCGACGCCGTCACCTTCCAAAGGGACTGCCACAGAGGCCCAACGTGCGAACGCGCTTCATCCGGCCACAGGGCTTTTGCCATCGCTTCCCGCATCACCGCCCCCGCAGGGACAGCACCAGCAGCTACCGCAGCCCGGCTTTCACAAGAAGGAGGGCGAAAGCCCTGCGTCTGCCGCGGCGCCCAAAAGCGTCGCCCGCAGCTCCTCTCCTGCCGCTTCCCCCCTCGCCGCCTCCTCACACGGCAGCGCTCACACGCCGTCGGACGAGGATGACAGAGCGAACAGCAACGCGCAGAGCTTCGTCGATGCGATGGGCACCACGTTAGATGTACAGGCCCTGCAAGAGGCGTCATCGACGTCATCGTCTGCCGCTGCGGGAGTACCACACGCCAACGTCTCCGGAACGTCGTCGCGCCACGGCCACCAGCAGTCTATGCATAAAAGCTATCGCGGTACGAGTGAAAAGATCGGTGCACTGCGCGCCACGCTGAAGGCGGACTTCGCTCCTCACCCGACGACAGCAGCAGCAGCAGGGCAGAAAGAGCTTCAACCGAACGGTAGGTGTGCGTTCTTGGAAGATACAGATGAAACACCCGTCGCGTCCAAGGCTACGCTGCCCAGCAAACCTGAGGAACAACCAAAAGCCGAAGCTGCGGCGGAAGGTGGCGCCGGCGACGACGAAGAGGTCGTTGACATGGACTTCACCACCGCGTGCCTCTGTGGGCGGGCCACGACCAGTGGCGGTCGCTTGTCCATGATCTACGGCTCCTTTATCTGCACCTGCGACGTGTGTGTCCGCTTCACGGGTGCTGCACGTGGGGTGGAGTGGTTGCACCTCCCGGAGATCGAGGCACTGCACGCGTTGCTGAAGCGGTCGGCGACGGTGCTCTCTGGGCCGTCGCCTCCCACGCCGCTTCCGTCGTCGTCGTCGCCGGCTTCGGTGATGGGCCGGCCGAGCGCCGGTGCGGGTGCCACGGCGGCCGCTGCGTTCCGCGCCCACGCCGCTCACTCACCACCTTCTCCCCCAAGTGGAGCCCATAAAACGGAGCTGCCTGCGAGGGGCAGTAGCCCCAACACTGCCAGCAGCGGTCCCTCTCCTGTTTCTTCCTCTCCTCATGAATTGCTGCGCCAGGCAGGGATTCGCTTCTACACTCATCAGCAGTCCTCCTCCTCATCAGTGGAAGACAGAGATGATGTCGATTGCACCCGCACAAAGGGTGCGCAAGTCAACGGAAGTACGGCGATTGAGTCGTACACGCTGTACACGTGTGCGACGTGTGGGGGGATGGTCAGTATGCTGCACGATGGGGTGCCAGGCGTGTTGCTGCCCAAGTCAACACTCGATGAACAGAGTCTTCAGATCCTTTCGTCCTGTGCCCAGACGGTTGTAGACGACGAGGAGGAGGAAGGATGAGAAGCTGGACGCCGCCGCCGTCACCGTCGTTTGACACGACGGGGACGCAGGCTCAAAAACTGATGTAATATACACGTATTATTACTATTATTATTAGTAGTATAGTTGCTACCATTTGGCTGGCGAGACACGCTACTGATATTATTATTCCTATTATTATTAGTGCGACGAATACTGTACAACCGTCAAGGCGTTTCTTGCCTTTATCTCTACATCTATTACTTCTCTTTTTTTCTCTCTGGCAGTTTTTGTTTCCTTTCCTTGTTCTCTTCTCCCTCTCTTCATTGGAATTTGAATGAAATACGCAGCATCTACGTATTTTACACACACACACACATACATACACACGCGAGAGAAGAGCCTTGCTTTCAGCTGGCTGCGTCGCCGCAACGGCGGCGATCTCTCCTGTCAAGGACCGTGCGTGGTAGCGGCTCCACGCCGATGCCGGTCAGCACGAAACCGTGGGCTACTGCAAATGATGAAGAAAGGGTCGCGAAAGCAATGAAAATCTTCGATCTCTTCCGACCCATCAGCGGTACTCTCCCTATTACTGTCCTTCTTCATGCGTACTGCCGAAAACACGCTGTGTGTTTCATCCTTCGCGCTTCTCCGCACCTCTTCTTTCCTATTATTATCATTATTTGGTTGCTCATCTCTTCTCTGACCGCGTGCCCTCACAAGAATTGAACTGCGCACCCACTCCCCTTGCTTTTAAATATATAACTTCCTTTTTCTTCTTCTATCGATACACCGCAGCGCACCTTCTCCGCATCGCTCTTCTCTGTGAACCCGATTCTCATCGGAAACCCAATCCTAGCTTTTCATCTCTTTTCACTCATACGCCGTCTCTTCTCTCCCTCCCCCCCTTCCTCTCTCCGCCTCTGTGCGCCGCATGTCCGCCACGGACTACGACGTGATTGTGGTGGGCGCCGGGATGTTCGGCAGCTCCGCGGCGAAGCACCTCCGGCGGCTGCAGCCATCGCTGCGCCTGGCGGTGATCGGGCCGTCGGACAACGGCGGTCCGCTTGCGCGCGGGCAGCACTTCGACGAGGCCCGCATCTGCCGGCGTGTGGAGACGCTGGTGCCGTGGGCCCACCTCAACGACCTCGGCGCGCTGTCGTACCGCGAGACGGAGGCGACGTCTGGGATCGCCTTCTACACGCCGTGCGGGTGCGTGTGGGTGGGGACGGCGCACGACCGCGACGCGAGCATGGCGTGCGTGGAGGCGGTGCAGCACGCGAGCGGCGGGGCGTCGGCGGTGACCTACGCGGTGGTGCACGCGGACGGCGCGGCGGGCGACGCTGCTGCGGCTGCTGCGGTGCGTGCGGGGAAGACGAGCGTGCTGCGCGTGACGGCGTCGAGCGACGTGGCGGAGGGCGTGTTTGGCGGGTCGATCCGCGTTGGTCAGCTGGCGGGGCCTGCGGAGGCTGCGACGTTCTACGTTGTGGAGAGCGGCCCTGCCGGCGGTGGGACGGTGCACCCGACGCGGTACGTGGAGGCGCAGCTGGCGTGTGCGGCTGCGGTGTCGCCCGCCGACCACTACCGCCACGTGCGGGAGGTGGTGCTGCAGATTGCGTGCGTGGAGGGGAGCGGCGGCGGCGACGACGTGTACGAGGTGAAGACGGACGCGGCGCGCACGTACCGCGCTGGTCGAGTGCTGGTGGCCACGGCGTCGTTTACCAAGTATCACCAGCTGCTGCCCCCGCGCGTGACGGACCGGCTGCAGCCGAAGCCGGCAGACGTCGTGCTGCTGCGACTGGTGCCGCCACACGGCGATGACGGCGACCACGCCGCCAATGTGCGTGCGAGCGAGTTGTGCCCAAGCATTATCCGCACCACCGGCCCGCGCGAGGACCAGTTCTACTGCCTGCCGCCGCGGTACTACGCGTGCTACCGCGGGTGGTACTCGAAGATGGGCCGGGTGAACGGCCCTCCGCCGCCGGTGCTGGCGCATCCAGACATCGTCTCGACGCTGGAGGCGGCGGTGGCGTGGTACGAGACGGGGAAGGAGCTGCCCAAGACGGACCCGAGCGTGACGCACCTGGCGGACATGCTTCAGGGCCTCTTCCCGCAGTGGCGCATCGCTGCCGACACGCCGGCGCAGTCAAACCGCGAGGCGGTGCGCTGCATCGTGGACGAGACGAAGGAGGAGGTGCCGATGGTGGATTGTGTAGACGGCAAAGGACTCTTCTGCGCCATCGCGGGGAATGGGCGCGGCGCGAAGGCGTGCGACCCGATCGGGTGCATTGCGGCGCACCGCCTGCTGGGCAAGGAGCTGCCGCCGGCGTACGCTGCCGTGAAGGACTTGTTTCGGCTGGATACGTGACGGAGCAGACGTCTTCCCATTTCTTTAGATATATATATTACAAGAAATGAATATATATTTCGCACAGCACAGGGGCATTCTCGCAGCTCAAGAGGACAGACGACACACATCTGTGCGGTCTTTAGTGTGTGTGGGCGTGGATGTGTGCTGGATGCCGCGTTGTGGAGACCGGAGGGCTTCCGCCTTTCACGGTGGACTCGCACGAGCCGCGGAAGTACAGCGGCCTTTTCGTGTACGTTGTTTTTTCATGTTTCTTCTTCCGCTGCTCTTCCGCAATATTTCTTTTCAGAGAGCAGCTTTTATCGACGAATACTGGCGGTTTTGTTTTCCCTTTTCTTCCTCTTGATGGATCTTGACCTCAGTGTTGCCCAGCTACGTTGGATGACGCAAGTACTTACATATATCTCTATCTATATCTATATGCGTCTGTACTGTCTCTCATCTTATATTGTTTTCTTCTTCTTCGCTCTTCTCTCGTGCACTCCGCCAGTTTGCGTGATTCACCACCGCCTTTGGAATAGCAACATATTCGTATTATTGTTGTTGTGAACTCGTTGACGAGCCTTCGCAAAAAATATATATCAAATACTCAAAGGATTGGCTGCCGAGCCGGTTTTGCACGGTGTGTCGAGAAGATCATCGGTGCGTGTTTCGAGAAGTACAGCGCGACGCTGAACGCTTCCTTCTTCTCCCAAGAGCCTTCACACAGTTCGAATATTCTCCCTCATGCATCTCCTTAAAACAACAACGTTAACAGTCTTTTCTTCTACTGAATGCGTGTCGTCTCTCTCCCTTCCTTCTTACTGTTCTCACAACTTTTGTCTGTCTTCAATGCAGCGTGTAGCGAAGCTCCCTCGTAGCCGCCTGCACATTGCTCGCGTCTGCCATCGTGGACGCATTCTTCCGTGGCTATTATCTTATATATATATATATATATATTTATTCCCTAGACAATGACCGCCGCAGCGAAGGTGGCGCGAGTCGTCTCCTCGCGCCTCCGCGTCATACAACGCGACTACTTAACTCGACGCGGCGGCCGCACCCACCACCTGCGCTCCTCCGTCGCCGTCGATTACACACCGGCGTACTTCGCCGCGTACAAGGCAGACCCAAACCTGTGCCCGCGCCTCATCGATGCGGAGGCCATTCACGGAGATGAGCAGGCGTTTTGGTCTGCCCGTCGCGACTTCTACCGGGGCGGAGCCTCGCGCTCCTATTACCCGACCTGGGACCGACAGGCGCAGGCGCTGGTGATGCTGACACGCGAGGTCGCACGCGTACCGCAGGAGGCGGCATTTCGCCTCTTCACTCTCGGACTAAAGATGCTGCTGCTGCCGAGGCTGGTGACGAACGCGGAGTTGATGCTGCCGTCGTGGGTGCTGATGAACACGGAGGGCCCGCTCGGTGCGGCGTTGGAGGGTACGCCGAAGACGGCAGCGGAAAGCGGCGGAGACAAATCCAGTGCTGCGAATAAGGAGAACGCGAAGTCGGAGGGGTCGGGTGGCGCTCCCGTGGACGGCGCGGGTCCAGACACCGCGAAGTAACAGAAGCGATCGAGAAGAACGGATGGCTCGGAGAAGTGACTAGAGTACACTGGACTGCTTGAACAGCGCGTTTCGTAGGCGCATTGCCGGGAGGCCTCGTGCGCGTTGTTGACTTCCTGCAACACCTTTTCTTAATATATATATATATATATATATATATGTTTGCCGCGCTCATCGTCGTTTCCGAACGCTGACCGCGGCGCACGCGGTTGCTCTCTTTTCTCTTCTTTTTTCTCTTTACCGATTGTAATGCGCTTCGTTGTGGTGGTGATGGTTGGTGTTGGCGGCAGTTGTTGGTGGGCTTCACAGGTGTTCTGCGCAGCGTGAGAGAGAGAGACACATACACACACACACATACGCACGCACGTCGATCCTGACGGCAGGAGATCTGTTCTGTGTTGTGATGGTGCGTCGATCCTGTTTTTTTTTTTCACCTTCTCCACTTCTCATAGCTCACAATGGGTACACAAGGAAATACTCCTTGGCTCTTACTTCGTCACGTAATGCGAAGGCGGAACGTGAAGGACGTGTGCGCTGAGCTGCTGAACGCTTCTCTCGCTTCGTCTGACGGTGCTTGGAAGCGAATGCTCCAACGGTTCCCTGCTGTATTGCGTCCTGCAGCCCGTACGTGGCTGGAGGAGATAATAGGAATAGAGAAGATGCACCTCGATCAACGACACGGCTGTGTCTTTGCTGTTCTTCGCGTGTCTTTCGCACCATCTCCTTTTTCATTTTATCTCTTTCCACCCTTACAACGAATCGTGTTCGATTTCACGCTGTCTTTCCTGGTGCCGGAGGGGAGGAGGGTGACGGACTAGAACGTTCACCCGCAGCACAGACATCACATCTTTTCTTCCTTGCCCTATTCGCTTTCATGTCCCATTACTTTCAGCTCTTAGGCTCCGACACGCCCAACGGGTACGGCGGGTGCTGTTACTACGGCCCGTTGGACCACCCCGCCTTCCGAGAGCCCACCACCGCTTCTCCTGCTTCCTCCGCCGCGACTCTGGCGCTGCGTCACGCCGAGGATGGCGCTTCGCTGCGCAGTACGGCAGTGGCAGCCGTTGGGACACGGCAAGACGAGACGACTTCGTTATTACTCTCACGGTCTCCTGACACCACCGAGAGCCCATCGATGGACTGCAGGTCTGAACTTCTCAACCCGACGGAGGCAACGGAGTCGTCTCCGCCGCCGCCCCACGCAGAGAGTGCAGGGAGCGACGGCAGCACCACCGCAACGACCGCGCGACCGGCGTGGAATTGGTCTGCGCACTTGTACGCACCACGACCTACCTGGCCTACCACAGGCCCGCTGCACCGCGCAGCTCTTTTTCAATCAGCACCTCCGTCGACGTCGTCCTCGTCCGCCGCCGCCGCCGCAGCTCCACCGGTCACGGCGGACACCGGCTCGAGCGGCAGCGAGGGCTACATCTTCTTCAACTGTCCGGAAGGGACACAGCGGTTCAGCTCGGAGGCGAACATCAAGCTGAAAAAGGTCCGCTGCTTTTGTTTTACGCGTTGGAGCAGCAGCGGTGCCGTCGGTGGGCGGTCGAGTACGGCGCGGATGGCAGTCGGGGCCGCCTCTGCCGCGATGGGGCTGCCCGGGATGCTCTTCACGATCAACGATGCGGGGTCTCGGCAGGCCACCTTTTTCGGGCCGAGCGTGGGCGTTGACCACCCGCGACGCACCGCCTGTACCGCTGCCGTGTCCACGACGGCGTCTGCACGGGCCGCGGGTGCGTCTGCCCCGTCGGAGGGCCTCCGCGGCTTTCTGACCGCCTTGCGCTTTCATTACTTTCAGCATCGGCCGATGTTGTTCCGGCAGCTGCACGGTGTGTGGGCCGGTGCGGGGGTGTCTTTGCCGTCTGACGGAGCTGGCGCTGCTCTCGTAAGGGGCGCCACGGCCACGGCAGCGACGCCGGGGAACGAAGTTTGCTTCATGGAGGTGGCTGCAGAGGAGGGCACGGAGGCTTCCTCGGCGGAGCCGTTCTTCTACGCCACCATCCCTCTCAGTGCGCAAAGCCTCCTCGTGGCGTTTCGCATCTCTGGCGGTGCTGCTCAGCGCGAGAGCGCGTCAACAAACATCGCGGCGGAGGCTGCGGCCTCCTCCTCCGTCAACGGTCCCGCGAATGGGCTGCGACACAACACCGATGCGCCGAACAGCGAATGGAGAAAGGAGGAGGAAACGTCAGTGGACAGCGCGCAGCTCTCCGCGCCGTCAGCCGTGTTCACACTTTGCAACGGAGCAGGGACAGAAGAAGACGGAGACGGCCACAATGACGACGGTGAGGACAAACGGGAGGAGCGGCGCCGCGATCGTGCTCGCTGCAGTGAAGCGCATTACTCGCTGCCAGACAGCAGTACTGTGGTGCTCGGCTACGCCATTGTCGTCGCGCCAGGTACCGCCTTCGACGTGGCCAAGGCACGCGCTCTCGGTGTGCGGTCGGGCCCCAAGTACGGACAGTTAAAGCAGGGCCTTTCCGTGGAGGCGGATGCGGACGACACGACGGCAGAGTCGAAGTCCCGGAAAAAGACGACGACGAGCGATGGCGACCCGGTATTCGCAGCGAGTGTCGCAATGGAGGCCTCTGTAGCGTCGAACGCCACCGTCCCGCCCGCGTCGTCATCGCTTGCGTCTGCGGCCGCGCTGTCTGTCATCGCTGCTGCTGCTGCTCCTGCTGCTGCTGCTGCTGCTGCTGCTGCAAAGGAACAGACCGCGTTGTCGTCGTGCACACACGCAGAGAACGTCTCGTCTGGCGCCACCGCTACAGCTCGGTGGGTGCACCCTTATCAGGTCATGCGACCCACCGCCGCTACTAAGCACGCGTACGTGTCTCTTGTGCTGGACGGTGATGCACCGCAGGATGTGCGGCGAGCTCTGGAGCGTCTCCTCGGCCGGCAGCACACGTGTGCGAGCGGCGAGAGTGGCCGAGACTCCGAGGGCGGGGCGTTGTGGCAGCTACTGCGTTCTCAGTTTCCGCGTTTGGCATTTTACCACACGGAGGAGGATGATACAACGCCGATTTCAGCGGGGAAGTCGGCCCCGTGCGGGAAAGATTGGAAACGGCATCCTCGTCAGCTCACGGTGCGGCACGTCACGCATGTGCAGCCGGCCTCGTACTTCGCGGAGTTTCGGCGCTCCGCGGCGCAGCAACCGCGGCCGACTTCACACAAGGACAAGGTTGACGGTCCCACAGAGGAGAGTGCCCACGGCACGCAAGTGAATGACGTCTACGCGGCGTACAACTCCTACATCTTTGCGACTACCGCTGCGACAGCTTTTGAAGACGTTGACAGCGAAGCGTCGAATAAAGCAGGGCAGGCGCAGGTGAGTCTCTCTCCCTCCCTTTCATACACCTTGAACGACCTCGTAGATGACAACGACGATGCAACGGGGGAGGCAGGATCAGCCAGCACAACATCGAACCCGTTGCGGCCTCCACCGCGTCGCACGTGGCACCTCTTTACCAGCTACGTTCAGCGACACTTTGCCGCCTTCCCCACAGCGCTCGTACATCGTTACCACCTCCATCACCTTGCACCGACGCTGTTCCCGCTGCACGGAAGCAACCAGTCCGCCGTCCGCAATCCCGCGCTACGCGAAAACAACGGCGAGGCCGCCGTATGGACCTTTCCGAAGACCGACAACGACGGCTCCGTGGAGGAACAACCCGCCACCGAGTACTGGCCCTACTCCCTGAAGCTGCGCTGCATTCCGGAGACCGCCCTGCAACTTCCAAGTGGCCGGCAAATCGACAAGCGTGGGTCGCAGGCGGCAGCTCATCGGCCGCACCCCTCGTCGGACATGAAGAGAAGCGATGAGGCACCACAAACAGCAGCAGCAGTCGGTTCAACGACACCCGCGCCGCCACAGAAGCGGACGAAGAATGAAACGCCCGATGAAAGTACGTCTCCTCACGAAAGCAAAGCCGCCGCGCCACTATCCTCATCCGCAGCACATCGCTACCGGCACGCCAACGACGGCGATCACACACACAACGTGTGTATGTCAGCACCACCAACGAAAACTAGGGCAACGCAGGGGAGTAAGGACACGAAGCTCGCCCCACGCCATTTAGCGGTGATCGATGGACTAGACTCACTTCTCCCTTACCCGACCCCGGCCTCGGCGCTGGCTCTCCTGTCGGACAGCTTCTTAGCTTCTCTAAAGCCACCGTCGTTGCGGCAGGCGCTGATGCCCAGTGCAGCGTCAATGGCGGCTCCGCAGTCTTCCTGTAATGGCGGTGACGGCGATGGTGATCATCATCCGTCGGTTGATGGGCTTGCAGGTGAAAGGGGCAGCGATTGCATGAATGGTGGTGACGGAGGCGGCGCGCTGGGGTTTCTCGGGACGGGCTCCGCAGTGCCCAGCAAGTACCGCAACGTCAGCGGGGCATACCTCGAACTACACCTCCCTTGCTGCTGCTTCGGTGAGCCCGGCGACGTCTGGGCGGCGGCAGCAACAGGGAGAGAGAGCGGTGGTGGAAGGCAAGAGGCGGGCTGCATGGACCATCCTGCCTTGTCGCACACGCGCCTCGCGCCGTCAACGTCGTCTGGGCCTGCTTCTCCCTCCTCCTCCTCCGCCGCCGCCACAGAGCTGCGGCGAGGCGTTATTCTCCTCGACTTTGGCGAAGGCAGTGCCGGCCAGCTGGCGTCGTTATGTAACGGGGCGCGAGAGGGGGTGCGGGGGAAGCAGCACAGCGCTCCACTTCTCGGCGGCGAGCACGCCTTCGCCCACGACACAGAAGATGGGGACCGCCAGAGGCGATCATTGAAAGCGGATGCGGGCGCGGCGGCCACAGCAACGACCCCTCCTCCACATACCACACGACGCGGGCCCACTGCAACGGCGTGGGAGGGCGACAGGGATGATCAGTTACGCCGGTTTGTGCTGGACGTTGTACTCGTTTTCATATCCCACGCACACGCTGATCATCACCTGGGGCTCCTCTCCTTCCTAACGCTGCGCCACCGTTACTTGTCTGAGCAGCAACGCACGCAGTCCGGCGGCGTCGCAAAGCTGCTCGTTGTGTGCCCGACGGAGGTGTATCAGTTTGTGATGGATGCGTGGGGCAGCACGGCGCCCTATGACAGCTGGCTGCATGAGGAATGCGCATTCGAGCTGCTGCCGCCGCCGCTGGGTCGGGTGTCGAGTACTACGACCGCGACTGCATCCGCAGAAACGACCGGGGAGCGCAACGAAGACCAAGATTGCCTTGGTTCGAAGGACACACCTCGGTCTGGTGATCGCCTCGGCGGACGGCTGAGTTGTGGCGACTGCAGCGCCACCGATGGGTTTTTGCCTCCCCGGTGCTATCACGGCCACCGCGTCATGAACGCCGGTTTCGAGCAGCAGCAGCAGCAGCACGTAGTGCAGGTGCCGCTTCTCCAGGCACAGCTCAGGAAGTGGAGCAGCTGCATTTCGCGCCACCGCAAGGCGCGACCTCAAACGTGTCTCGAGGATGAAGAGGCAAGTTGCCTTCCTGAATGCGCTACGGAAGGGGGCGACAGTGGCGAAGCCTCTGCGCCGGCGACAGGGCGATCAGAGCTGAGGACCGAAAAGCGGTGGTGGGATGCGGAGGTTATCACCGTGGATCACCCAGCGAACGCACACGCACTGCTGCTGCGATTTCCTTACCGTACGGCGACCTCCGTGGCTGCTGCAACACCGACGCTGCCGGCGGAGACGCGCACACGCGGCGTACTGCCCGACACGTCGCGCGTGTTTTTGTTTTCCGGCGACACCCGGCCCTCTCCGTTTCTGGTCGAGCGGAGTCGAACCTTCACAGAAGCAGCTGACACCGCAACGACATCAACAACACGAAGCCGCAGCACGACGTCTGCCGACCCGACCGCGCAGCCCGCGGTGTTTATTCTCCTCCATGAAGCCACGTTTGGTCCGGGGTTTGAGGACGAGGCGGTCCGTAAGAAGCACTCGACGCTGCCCGAGGCGTTGGAGGTTGGCGCGGCGGTGTCGGCGGAGTTCATCGTATTGAATCACTTTTCGCAGCGCTATCCGAAGCTGCCGGGGCTGTCCGAAGCGCAGCTGGGTGGGCGCTCGACGGAGCTCGTGTGTCAGCGCCGACCGCGCTCGAGCACGGCGACTACCCTCGTTCTCCCCCCACCTTCTTCTTCCTCTTCTACCGTTTCCGCAGAGTTGAAGACGCTGCAGTCCGTGACGAGTGAAGTGAACGTGCAGGCCGCTGAAAAGGAGATGGAGGGCCGCGTGGAGCCGCGCTCACAAGAGGCACGGAGCGTCCACGAAGGAGCGGAAGAAGATGCCGATGATCAACAGGAGCAACAGCCACAAGACGAACAGACGGCAGGATCCGCAACGGCGGACACGACCGTGCCGCCGTCCACGTCGCTCTACGCGAACATGTCCTTCGCCTTTGATCTCATGTCGGTCTCGTTCACCGATATGCATCGCGGTGTGGTGCCCCGGCTAACGCCAGCGCTGGTGCGGTTGCTGGAGGAGTACGACTCGTGGGGCGTCGGCACCACCCATCGCATGCGCAATTCCCGCGCCGGCGATCACCGCCGCGACAGCAACAGAGGCGGTGGTGGTGGTGGTGGTGATCAACACGGCAAGAAGGAGAAGAGGAAGTAGTGCGCTGTTGGAGATCGCGCAGGAGCTCTCCGTTTGAAAAAAAAAGAACAACAGCTAATGCGAGGAATCACAGCAGCGACTGTGCCGTACGATGAGGCGACATTCTTGGGCTCCAGTTTTTTCCTTTTTACGTTAGGTGAAACATGGCTGAACGTGGTTTAGACCTCGGGACTATAACTGATCTACCCAAGTATATATAAATGTGTATAACCATTGTTGAAGACGGGCAGCTGAGGTAGGAAGCTTTTGCCGCGCGTCGTGCCGGCTCTATCACAGCCTTGTGTTTCTTGATGCCTCTGATACAGGAGGAGGAAGGGAAGGAAAAAAATAGTACACTTCCCGTAACTGCTCGCTCACACACTCGTGGAGAGGTGACGCTTGCGCTTCCGCTTCCATTGCATTGGCTGTGTGTGCGTGCGTGTGTTCTTTGCCGTGCCTCTTAGCCGTCACGTACGGAGGTACGGCGGTGGGCAACCGCACCGCCTTTCTAGGGCTTTCTCGACTCCTCTTCAGCTACCTTTTTCCTCTTTTCTTTTTTTACGGCTTCCTCTGCTTTTGTTTTTGGTTGTTGCTGTGCCGGGGTGCTCACACACCCATCTGCAGAACCTTTCTGGCGTACGGTGCAGACGCGCCGACATCGTGTATCAAGATAGAGGTATGCTTCTACCCATTAACATAGAGCACGGCCTACATATCTAACTCGCCCGTTACTGGTATATATACTGAGGAATAGCGGCAACGCGGCTACGCTGAGGCGCGGCAACACACACGATTTCTCTCCCACCCTCCGCTTTCAGAGAAGTACCAACGCTTTCCTCGTCTTCAGCGTGTTGCTGTTTCCGTGCTCCCTCGTGTGTGTGTGTCTTCGTGCCGCATGACCACGAATTGCCAGTAATAAGAAACTTTTCCCTCCTCACACACACACACACAGATATATATATATACAAGTACTGATAGCACTGCCTGCCATAGAGTTTCCACGATCCCAAAATAACCGCATCTCGCGCTCATAGAAGTTCCGACTGCGCCACACGGCAGCGACGACGGTCACGAGAGATCACGCAGATCGATACGGGGACGCGGTAGCCCACGGCGCTTGTCGTTGCGCTGCGTGTGTTTTTCTCCCCCTTCTCTTATTCGCCTATTGCGGTCAGGGACGTAGAGGCATTTGCGTCTCCCGCCGAGTAACGTCGCTCCTGCGAACCGTGAAGGGTGAAGGACAGGTCAGCAAAGCACCGACATAGAAAGGAGGCCTATTCTGTCTTCTGCTTTATTCATTTGTTTCTATTTTTATTTCCTTTCTCTCTCCGAGCTGTGCAGCGGCGAACGAGCGCTCCGCTTCACTTCCTTTTTTTGAATGCGGTTTACCTTCGCCGCTGGCATTTCTCGCTCGAGCGTCGCCATCCTTCGTCGTCGTCGACGTGGCGTGTTGGATGGCCGCACGCACCTCCTCGCACTGGGCCGCCGCGGGGTCTGCGGGACCCCTGCGTCGTGTCTTCGCACCTTAGCCTCCCCTGTTGCTGCTGCTGCTGCTACTGCGTTGACTGCGTCGCGCCGGTTTGAGGCTAGCAGCTCGCAGATGGTGGCAGCCAGTGCGCCGTCGACGGCATTGTCGACCGCAACAAAGCTTCGTCATCGTCGCGGCGCGCATCGCAGGCGCGGGGGCGGTGATGTCGGTGGCGGAGAGGTGACACCCCCGCCTCCGGTGCGCTCTGTCGTACCCGGTGTGGTAGAGCCTGGTGTGGCAGTGGCAGCGAAAGCGAAGAAGAGAGTCGTCCGGAGCGTGAGCGCTGCGACAACAGCCGATGCTGCTGGTGCCACCGCCACCGCGCCTTCGACGTTGTTGACGACGACAGCGAAGAAGAAAGTGGACGAGGCCGTGAAGGAAGGCGTGGACGGCGGAGATAGCGGTGCAGATGCGGATGCCGATGCGATCATGACGGAGTTGATGGCGTCACGCAAGCTCAATCGGTTGAACGGGCACACCACACCTGGTGCTGCCACCGCGACGACGGACCACCACCATCATCGCAGCAACAACAGCGTATCAGCACAAGCGCGCGCGAGCGCAACGACGGCGGACGCTGTGCCGACCGTGGCGGGCCGTCGTGAAGCGGATTATGAGGGCAGTGGCGATGACGGCAACGATATCGTCGGAGTAGAGATGACGCAGCACCGACGTAACAGCCGAACGCGCAGCTCGAGGCGACGGCGTGGCTCGCACGACGTCCGCGCCAGCGGGGTCGACGCCACGGAGGCGGCGCGGGAAGGAGCCACATCGGATGCAAGAAAATGTGCTGATACTACTGTGAAGGCTGACGAAGCGAAGACGCAAGAATCCGCTGCAGCACCGCAAGTCTCGCCGTCGAAAGCCACGCCAGCGGCGGAAGCGCGAGAGACAACCGCTGCTGCTGCGACACACGCCTCTTTATTGAGTACTGTGGATGATGTTGGCGAGGATGCTGATGCTGTCGCCTCCGCAGATGTCGCTTCAACAGGGAGGAAGAAAATTTCAAAGCCAGGTCCTCAGCGCAGCCGGGCTCCACCGGCACCCGACGCTTCCGATCCGCCAGAGGAGGAGATCGATCTCACCGGTGTTATTACGAGTGAGGCGGCGGCGGGGGAGGAGGAGGTCACTGCGGTTGCTGCTGCTGCTACTGCTGCTTCCTCTTCCTCACCCACTTCACCGCCTTCTCATCCTGCTCACAGGTCCGCCAGTAAACGATCGCGACGTGGGAAGCGCGGGCGGGCATCGATGCCAGCTGACGTCATCCACTCCGCTCCAACATCTGCGACGATGACGGCGGACGGGAGCGTCGAGGAGGCAGCAGAGGAGGTCGCTGCGGGTAATGACGCGGTGATCGCGGCTGCGGTGGCGGCTGCCGCGGCAGAAGACGCTGCCGTCTATGCCCCTTCCGGCAACAAGGAGGACCCTGACAGCAACGGCAACGGACGAGCTGCAGCGAAGAAACGACGTGCGACGGCTGCCATCAACGGCGCGGCTGCCGCCACAAATGTGTCTTCCGTCTCTCCCATGGTCTCTCCCATGGTGACACGGGAAGAGGGCAAGGTAGTCGCACCCGCCAGCGCGGACAGCATCGAGGAGTCGGCGACGCCAGCAGCATCCGCAGCAGCAACTAAAACCAATTCTGTGAATGCCACTTCTCTGCACTCTGCGTCGGCTTCTGCGAAGGTGTCCAAGAGAGGCCGACGCGCGGCTGCGTCGGAGGACGAGGTGGAGGCGGCGGTGACCGCGGCGTTGCGAGCCGAATCAGCCAGCACCCCATCCAACACCGCAGCGAGCACGACAACTGCCGTGGACGGTGCACAGGTCGATGAAGACGTTGTGGACGTCGCAGCCGGGATTAAAGGAAAGAAACGGCGTGGACGGAAGAAGAAGACGGCGGCAGCGATCGCCACGGACCCGGAAGAGAACTCCGCAGTCCCCACCCCCGCTGCAGCCTTTGCTGTTCCACCGGCAACCGCAGCGGCAGACGTGGTCGTGCCGAAGACCACCGCAGCTGCGTTGCAGGAGCTTTTTGCGGCGGAAGGGCACGGAGGCGACGGCGCGACAGCCTCGTTAGCCGCAAAGAAGCATCTCGCCGCGCAGATCATCCGTCGACGCTGGCAGCTGCAGCAGGAGTCGAAGGGACACAAAGCAGCGTCAGCAGCATCCACCACGTCGCTTCACCCACCACCACAACAGGAGGAGGTGAAACAGGCGAGGGAGGAAGCGGCTGACGATGACACACCGCAACCTGAGGAGGACGAAGATGAATTCCTTTCAGTTAACGCCGCCGCCGCCGCCGCAGAAGACGTGGATGCCAGCAACACCGTGGAAAGTGCAAAGCCGAAGCGAAAGACGAGACAGAGCAAGCCGGCACAGCGCCGCCATGCCACAGCCGCCTCCACCGTAGCGGCCGAGGAAGCAGAGGCGGAGGCGATAGACACAGCTGTCGCAGCCGTCGCAGACGAGACAAAAGCTGCGAGCACGACGGAGGCACCGTCAGAGCTGAGCGATTCTGCCGTAGCAGCAATAGCAGCGGCCGCGAAGGAACTCGATCCCCCGACGGAGGCGGAGGAGGCCGCTCGAGATGCGGAGATGGCGGCGGCGGTGAAGGCTGCACTCGCGTTGGCGGCCATGCCGGAGGCTGATCCCTTCGAGAGCGAGAAGGCGGTGGATGCCGTGTCGGAGCGTCTCTCGTCATCGGATGCTGACGGCGAATCAGCGTCCTCCGCAGCGTCGGCAAGTGAGCGGAGCAGCGACCGCACGAATTCTACTGCCTCTGCTGCTGTTGCTGTGAACGGCTCGCACGTAGCACCACGTTCCCTTGCCACGCTGGTGGCTCGCTCGCAGAAGGTTGTCACGTCGGCCTCCGCTGCCACCACCACCGCCGCCGCTGCCAAATCCACACGCGGCCACAGCGGCAGCGGCGGCGGCAACAATGATCGAAGCAACGCCGGGGGTTCTTCGTCCTCCGGCGGTGGCGGCAGCAAAGGGGCGAACTCGAAGGACACGCTCTACTTCCCCGACTACCGCGAGCGCGTGGTGCAGATCTTCGAGCAGATGGCCGAGATCAACAGCGCACTGGGCGAGCGCTACAAGTCGCTCTCTTACTCCAACTCCGTCGAGCGACTGAAGCGAGGCGACAAGGTCTTTCAACTCCTTCCGCCCAACCTGCTGCCGCTGCCCGAGGACCACCCGAAGTGGAAGGCACCGGTGCTGGACGCCGCCACGTCGCCGGAGTCCGTCATGGCCGCGGCGCAGCGACGCGCGAAGGAGGTGGAGGAGAACCGTGCCAAGCGTACCACCGTGCTCTCGGCGGACAACCTCCTCCCCGGCGTGGGGCACAAGCTGCGGCTGAAGATCGTGGAGATTTTGGAAACGGGCGATCTGGAGGAACTGCACCGGCTCGAGGCGAAGCCGCTGATCCGCGCCATTCGTGAGCTTACCCAAGTACACGGCTTCGGCCCACGAACGGCCATTGAGTTCTTCAAGAAGTACAACATCTCCTCTGTGAAGGACCTGCAAGACTACGCGGTGAAGAAGGGCGAGCTGGACATGAGTAACAAGGCGACGGGCAAGCCGGCCGGGCTGACGACGACGGCGAGCAGCGCGCACAAGGCTGACTTTCATCTGACCGATGCGCAGCGGCTGGGACTGGTGTACTACCGAGATATGTCTCACCGCATCCCGCACGATGAGGGCCGCCTGCACGAGGCGTTCATGAAGCTGCGGCTGCGCAAGTACCTCGGCAAGGACTACGAGTTGGTGGTCTGCGGCAGCTACCGCCGCCAGGTCGAGTCCTCGGGCGATATTGATGTGCTCATTACCCGTAAGCGCATGGCGGATGGCGGAGTGCAGAGCACCACCGCGAAGCATCTCCCGCCCTCCGCGGTGCTCGCCACTTTTCTAGAGGGGCTCAAAGCCGACCGCTACATCGAGGCAACGCTGGCGCAGGGACCGACAAAGTTTATGGGTCTCTGCCGCCTCCACGCGCTGCCGCCGCCGCCGCCGCCCGCAGGGAAAGCGAAGGGGACAACGGCAGCAGCGACGCCGTCGCCTCTCCCGCGGTTCCGCGCCCGCCGGCTCGACATCCGCTACGTGGATGCGAACTGCTTCCCCGCGGCGATGCTCTACTTCACCGGCAGCAAAAACTTCAACGTCATCATGCGGAGCGAGGCGATCAAGAAGCGGTGCGTGCTGAACGAGTACGGCCTCTTTCGGCGATTTACACGGAAGCAGCAGCTGCAGCGGCAGGCGGCGGGGGAGAAGCCGCTGAACCTGCACGAGATGATCACCCGCATCGCCCGCTTCGGTTTCGCGTCCATGAATGAAAGTGAGGGAGGCGCCAGCGGCGCGGACGGCGCGGCGGGCGGCGAGGAGGCGGAGGAGGGCGCCGCGAGCACCTCCGTGACGAGTGCGGGGAAAAAGCTGAAGAAGAAGTGCAGGGAAAAGACGAAGGAGGAGATGGCGGAGCTGCGCGAGGTGGCGAAGTTGGTGGAGCGGCAGCGAGTGAAGGCGCACACCGAGAAGGAGATCTTTGACGCGCTGGATATGGACTACGTGCAGCCGAAGGATCGCAATGTTTAGATTGTAACAGCCTTCGTTTGGGTCTCCTCCTTCAATCCTTTTTCCCTTTTGGATTCTCCTGCGCATCGACTCGATTCGGCGGCTGAAGATTTTCTGCCGTTGTGTTGCGCTGCCGCTGACAGCATTCCGACTGTTCCTTCCCTTTTATTTGTTGATTTCTCGTTGCTTACCATAGAAGTATAAATACATATACATATACAAGGTTATAGGGACCTATACAGCAATGCTGGTTGCGATCGTGGGGTGGGGGGCGAGCTTGGGTTCTTGCGTGCGTGTATATATATCGCCCCATTCGGGCTTTGACGAGGAAGGCGCCGCTTCGTGCTATCTGTTGTAGTGGGCTGCATGGCTGGCGGCTGCCACTGGCCGGGGCGAACTTCTGCGTTGGGGGGAGGGGGGGTTGTCTTGAAATTCTCTCTTTTCATCGTTTACCAGTGCAATACAAGAACAAGAACAAAAACACGTTAATCAACGAAATCAATGAAAAACAAAAACCAAAACATCCACTAAGTAAACGGTAATGCGCAGCCAGCTTTTTCGCGGCTCGTGCTGCGCTGTGTGTTGCCGCCTCCCTTACGTCCTTTCTCTTATTAACTCAACACAGGAGAGAGAGAGAGGGCGAGGGAGGATGCGATTCTCCGCTATCATCTCCCTTTTTTTTTTAGAAAGAAAGGAACGAAGTCCTCTCCGTGTGTGGATGGTCAGGGAGCGGAAGTGCAGTTTGTTTTTAACTGTGGTGACTGCGAAGCACTGGGAGCATCTCTACTGCGTTGTTGCTCCCCGCTGCACATGCGTGTTGACGCCGACTTCAACTTGTGCTTGGGATAGATCTTCAAGTAGCATCAACAAAAACATACACTTAAAGAACCTTTGAAAGAATGCGTCTTCTACTCCCTTTCCTGTGTATTATCGCCTCCCCCTCTTTCCTTATGTCTCATTGCGCGTACTGGATCGCCTTCAGAGCATTCAGCTTCCATTGAAGAGTCCTCTTCCCCCCTCTCCCCCTTCTTCCCTACTTACGTTGGCTCTTGTTTCTAACTTTTGCTACCGCCGCCAACTCACTGCCTGTGTTATGCGAGCACCGCGAGTAGAAACAAATACACACACACACACACACACACGTACGTATCTCTAGCTGTCTGCCCTGCAGGAAAGATTATAGAACTCCGTTATAGAGCCTCACGCAGCACGCAGCGACTCGACGAGAGAGGAGCAAGAGCAAACGAACGAGGTTGAGTGAAGTTCGGTGAGGAACACCTTATAGAAACACGCAAGCTTCCCCTCCCGTTTTCTTAAACCCTTTCTTTAAAAGAAAGAAAAAAGGGGTGACAGTGAAGGCCACAACGAGCATCAGCGATATTTATACTTACATCAAGAGAGGTGTACATACACACATCAACAGCATCAACAACAACCAAAAACATGTTTCGTCGCACCTTCCTCTCGCGCGGACACCGCGAAAACATCATCCGCATTTTTCAAGAAATGGCGGACCTCAACAACGCCCTCGGCGAGAAGTACAAGGTCCAGAGCTATCTCCGCAGCATTGAGAGCCTCAAGACGAACCTTGACAAACCCCTGAACACCCCACAGGACCTGAAGGCCTTCTCGGGCTTCGGTGCGAAGCTGCTGAAGAAGGCAGAGGAGATCATGACCTCCGGCAAGCTGGAGGAGTTAGAAAGCAAGACGAAGCCGAAGCTGAAGGCAATTCAGGAACTGACGCAGGTGCACGGTTTTGGCCCGCGCGCCGCGGCCGCCCTCTTCGACCGCGAGGGCATCTTCACCGTGGAGGAGCTGCTGCAAAAAGCCGACACCATCCCGTCCCTCACGGACCAGCAGCGGGTCGGCATTAAGTACTTCTACGACATCAACGAAAAAATTCCGATGCAGGAGAGCGTGCTGCACGAGAACTACCTGCGCGAGAAGTGCTTAGAGGTGCTTGGGAGGGATTATTCGATCGTGATCTGCGGCAGCTACCGTCGTCGCCACCCCTTCAGCGGGGACGTGGACGCGCTGCTCTCGCGTACCCTTGATGCTCCACCGCTAAACGAACCGGTGGCTGCGATCGGCGTACTGGGGAAGTACGTAGAGTACTTGGAGCAGGCGAAGTACCTGGAGGCGACCATGGCGCAGGGCCCTCTGAAGTACATGGGGATGGGACGCCTGCCGCCGCGCATTGTCCGCGACAAGGCCGGGCGTGAGAACACGAAGGTGTACAAGGCACGCCGCGTCGACATCCGCCTGATCGAGACGAAGAGCGTCCCGACAGCGATGCTGACCTTCACTGGTAGTAAGAACTTCAACGTCATTATGCGGCAGGCGGCGATCGCGAAGGGGTACTTGCTGAACGAGTACGGTCTGTTCCGTCTGGGCACGCCGGAGGAGGCGCGGGCGCTGTACGAGCGAGTCGGGATTAAAGGCAAAAACGCCGGCGAGGAGCTCGGCGTGCCGAAGGAGGAGTTGGAGGACAAGAGAGTCGATGTGCGGTCGGAGCAGGACGTGTTTGATGTGCTGGGGATGCCGTACGCAAAGCCGGAGAACCGCGATCCCTAAGTCGATGGAGGCGGCAGAGATCAACAGCAGACACACCCACGAAGCAAAGCACGGAAATACGTGTGCCGCGTTGTAGCAGAGGAGCAAACGTATGCGTCTGCTGATCCTCTTGAAGAAGAAAAAATATTTCTTTCATTTCTCCGTTTCTCGACAGTGATAGAATTCATAGAGCTGATGCGAGGATTCAGAAGGATGAGGAGGCGGCTCCTTCGACAGCGCACAGCTATCCTCCTACCCCCAAAGGGAATAGTGTAGGTGTGTGTGTGTGTGTGTGGCGAACCCTGCCGATCTGGTTTTAGCTTCTCAAAGAAGAGAAGCTGAAAGCGTCATTCGGATGGTATAAACTGGAAGATGTCGGGCTCGCAGTGCGTGCGGAGCGGATACGCACCTTCGTGCTTCCTTGCAACACGGCAATCCTTGCATGCCATCTTTTTTCATTTGAAAAAAAGTTTTTGTGTTGTTGTAAACGGCATAGAGAGCTCTTCTGATAAGAAACAACTGAGAAGGAAGGAAGGGAGAGGGAAATTGAAAAAAAGGAAGAACGATGAACGGAGAGGGAAAAGGCGAGGAGCATGAAGGCGCTGCACGGCAATACTGGGCGGCTGCAACGCCTTTTCCTTCCTTCCATTTTCTTGAGTGCGTTTTCTCTCTTTGCCTTTGCCGTGTTTTTCGTGTATCCATAGAGTGGCGTAGGAGCTGGTATCTCTCCCGTTGTTGTGGTGTACATACACATAGAAGAAGAACGGAAGTAATCATATATATATGGCGCGATGGTTTAGTTGGCGGCGATTGCATGGTATCAATGACGATGATCGCGAAGAGCGGCCAGGCGCACGCTCCCCCACGCGCCGACGCACACTTGTCTTCAGGCTTTCAAAAGAAAGGAAAAAGAAGAGCGTTCGAAGCTGGTGCGTGTGAATCTGATTTCTTCTTTCCTATTTTTTTTTCCCGTCTACTCTCGACATCACTGCTGACTGTGAACTCCCTGCCGCTCGGATGGAGGGACACAGCCGCTCATGGAACCTTACTATTATTATTGTCCTTTTTTGGGGTAGTGTTGTCGGTGGCGGCGCCGCCATCGTTGGCTCATGCTGCATTCGCCTGTTTTTGCTGAGGGGTTTCTTTATTTTCTGGAGTACGTTGCTTGGGTTCTTCTGTTGCCGTAACTTGTCTACAGAGCAAGAAAGGAAAGTAAAACATGAAAAGCGGCCCCCCTCCATCCGAAATCCGCCGTCAAGGTCATTGGAAGATGAACCGCAGAAAGCCTTCGGCGGCTCCAGCGAGGAGGCAGGAGGAGGAAGTGGAGCGTTGAGAGGGAGGCGCGAGGGGTGCCTCCGACCATCGCCGAAGGACGCGGTGTTTCAGCTTTACTGGACGATGCACTGTTTGCTGAGAGCACTCGCGTTATTTTACTTTTTTTTTTAAATATGAGAAGTTTTGAAGCGACCCTCTTGCCTGTAAAAGTCCGTACCGCACCATACACCACTACGCAGGTGTTCGCGGAAGCTAAAGCCAGCGACAACAGCAGCGTTGCGATGTTCACCTCTTGCCACACACGCACACACACACACTCACTCTCGTTCTCTCTTTCGATTTTCCTCTTTAACATCTCTAGCTTTTTTCTCTTCTTCGAATCAGCCAAAAAGCGTCTCTGCTTGTTATTGCTGTTGTATCTCCTCTTTTTTAAACCTCCGCACCATTGATTTGCGATAGTCGGCCACGCCTCCAAAACCAACAAACGAAGAAAGAAAGAGCCTTTCTTCTATTCTTCTTTTCTTCGTTTTTGAAGGTGCCTTGAACTCCGCCCTCACACACGTTGTATACACTTCCGCCTCCATTCTTTCGTTCGTTGCTCTTGTGTGTCAGTGTGTGTGTTCAACCCACCATGAAGTACGATCGCACGTCGTCCTCCCCTCGAATGGCGGTGGAGGAGACACATGATGACGTGAAGCGCCGCGGCCGCCGTGTCGTGGCGACCACCGCCCTGCAACCGGGCGACGCAATCTTCGCTACCCCGCCCGACCTGGCCGTTCTCTACTCCCCGTTTGCGCGGCACATCTGCGCCCGCTGCCTCGTCGCCGAGGTGGCGCCAGAAGACGCCGGCGGCGGTGGCGGCAAAGTTCAGCGTTCGCAGCGACGTAAGCGGAGGTCGCCGTTGAACAGTGCCCCAGGCGCGAGGGGTTTGCTGGCGAACCACGCATCTGCTACGGCGGCGGCGACCTCCGCCTCCTCGTCGTTGCCGTCGTCGGCGCTGATGTGCGGCACGACGAACCCCACCTTGAGCACGACGCACTCCGCGCTGGTGCACCCGCACAACGCCTACATCTGCCCCAACTGCGACCAATTTGTGCTGTGCGCGGCGTGCGTGGCGCAGCTAGTGCTGGAGGTGGAGCTGCTGGCCGCCGCGGCCGCGGACGAGGATCCAGCCTGCGCGACGATGGTCCGCCCGGTCATCACGGTCATGTCGGATGAGAAAGCAGTGCTGCTGCAGCATCCACTGCTGCGTGCCCACACCATCTCCTGCGCGTGGTACACCGCCCTGCCGGAGTCAATTCGCGCTCCGGGCAACGACACAGACTTTCTTCGCTTCTGCTTAGACTACGGCGCGCGGGTGCAGCTGGGCGACACGGCGATGGTGGCCGCGCTTGGCAAACTGGACACGAACGCCGCAGTGCAGTCGAAGGAGGCGCACCACCTGTGCGAGGTCTTCGCGCGCGATCGTGTTGTGGCCACCTTCGGTCCGCACAAGACACCGGCGACGGGGACAACCACAACCACCACCACGGCCACCGCAGCTGCTGCTGTTGCTGCCACCACGGCTCTCGCGACGCATAGCATTACGCGCAGCAAGCATGAGGGCGTGCTCACTGCATCGCCCATCGCAACACTCTCCAGCGCAGACACGTCTGACCCGTTGGTGGAAAGGAATGCTTCCCGGCTTAGCGGTAAGGCGCCGCTGCTGGAGGCGCCCGTCTTCCCCCCGCCCTACCCGGTTCCGTGGACGGAGCTGCGCGACGTGCTGCTCCGCACTCGCTGCAACAGCCTCGGCTTCCCCTTCAGCAGCTGCGAGACGATGGGGTGGTCGCTGCAGGAGACCGTGTGCATGCTGAACCACAGCTGCGCGCCGAACGCGGCGGTCGTCATGCTGTACGACGCCGATGACGAGCAGCGGCGAAGGACCGCCCACGGGGCGGACGACAACCCCCAGGATGCGGCGGCGGCGGCGGAGGTTGTGACGAGCACTCGCGTGCAGCACCTGCACGGTCTGCGGAAGGCACAGCGGCTATCGACCGCCCGCCCGGTCGAGGGCGACGCGACGGCCACAGCTGTCGGCGGCAGCAGCAGCAACAGCGGCAGCGGCGGGCGGCGGAGAAACCTGAACTCCTACCGCGCCATCGCGGTCTCCTCGCCGTCGCCCTTCAGCACGTCGTTCACGGAGTCGCTGGAGGGTTGGATCGGCATCCAGGCCACGCGCCCGATTGCGGCCGGGGAGGAGATCACCGTGTCGTACATCGATTTGGAGATGTACGGCGACGACGTGCAGGCCCGATCGCGCCATTTGCTGGAGCAATACCGGTTCCTCTGCACGTGCGAGCTGTGCGTCCGGCAGCGTGGTCGCAAGGTGTAAAAGCGAGGCGACAACTGCTCCTCCGCTTCCGCATCGCCGCGCCGCACTCCGTCACAAACGGTTAATGTTATTATTCTTATTATTGTTGTTGTCTGTTTTTCATTCTTCTAGTATATATAAAAGTACCACTCCGAAAGTAAGCAACGGAACAAAAGCAGCCTCTCAAGGAGACGCGTCTGCGAGGAAGCGCTGGAAACTGATAATAATTGCATCGAGGATGACTGCACGCTCTTTCTCTTCCGCTTCGCGTTTCTTTGGACGAAGGCGCGCGTTTTCGTGGTATTCGCAGAAACAGCGGGCGAGCGTCAACAAATGCGGTGTCCACGATCTTCACGGTTGGCGAAGAAACACTCGGAGTTCTACCATATTCAAAGCTTTTTGCCGTAGGCACCTTCTGACGCAGGTGTTCGTCCTCTCCCTTTCGGTTGTACGAGGGGAGGGTGGTGGGTGGGGGGCCAACAGAGGAGTTCGATGGGCGACAATGACCATTACCTTCCAACGTTCATCACCACCCCCTCCTCCTCCTCCTCCTCCTCCTCTGATTCACGCGTGCCCGCTCTCCACTCTCTTTGCTTCCTTTCAACTATTTCGCCTGTTTCTCTCTTTTTTCTTTCTCTTCCTAACGTATCTGCCGTACTTCCTCAACGGCGGAAAAACCCTCTTCGCGTTCCTGCTCTGCTTTTGGTATGCCTTTTCTTCGCTGATGTAAGTCAGTCCACTGTAACGAGTTCGTGGCTCTCAATCCGCGCATTTTCGTGCACCAATCTCTTTCGCTCCCTTTCTTCCTCATTTCTATATATATATATATTTGGCTGTTGTCGGCATCATTGCGGACGACTGTACTGCTGCGTTGTTCTCGTTAGTATCATCGTTGTTCTTATCTCTCTGGGTTGACGACTAACCTTGTCGCGCCAACGGCTCGTTCAACTCCCAAGGCATTGATAGCAAGTTGGATTCACTGCGAGCGTTATATATATATAGAAATATATATATATATATTCGTTTGCACTTCGCACTCCCACACACGCACGGGCTTGTCCATGACAATTAGCTGTTGTTTGTCACACACACACACACACACACACGTACACTTTTGAAGGCATTCTAAAAAACCCCAAGAAAACGTTGCTTCCTCTTTCATTATATATTTTTAACGTATTCCTAAATTACCGTTGTAAGAAGCTTCCACTATTCTCCTACTGTTGTTATCCACCTCTTCTTTTCTTTCCCTTTTCCCCGTCTCGTTCGTGTCTTCATTGCTTTTTCTCGCCGCGTATCATTAAAAGACAATACACAACTCAAAACACACTGTCGCGTTGTGACCGCGTTGATTTCTCTCTTACGCGCTCTTTTCCAGTCTCGTCCACGTGCAGCGAAGCTCTTCTTTTCTTCTTCTTCCTTTCGGCTCAAACCGCGTTTATTTCTTTGTTGTTGCCGCATCCCCGACACCCTTCTCTCCCCTCTCCTTGTGGCTCTCGTTGCGCCGCTGTTGTCAGGGGGAAAGTTAGAACACGCACGCTTATTTATTCCTGTTTTTACGTTATTTTTGAGTGGTACCTTCTGTGGTGCGTTCATTGCCTCCTCCCTGTCTCGCTCTTACCCGCCTATCCACACACACACACACACACACGCACGCAACAGCCACCTCTCCTCGCGACCCCGCAAATGAGCAAGATACAGAAGTTCCGCGCCGACATGTCGAGGCGCTTCGACCCGGAGGGCGCGACCTTGACGGCCTACCGCGACTACGATTTCGAGCGACGCGCCAATGATGTGCGCCGCCTGCAGCTGGCCGTAGAGCACTTCGACCACGCCGTGACGCAGGGCATGGTGGCCATGAAGGAGATCGCGAGCGCCTACGAGGCTGTCGGGCAGGCCTTCACGGAGCTGACGCTGACGAACAACAATCCGGTGCCGGGCCCCGACGGCGCGGAGGAGCCCAACCCGTACCCGACCGAGGCCGATGTTCAGTTCATGGCACAGCAGCAGCAGCAGCAGCAACAGCAGAACTCGACCAGCGCACCGGAGTACGCCGGCTCCGTCGCCAGCACGCGCATGCCGGACGAGGCGAACTCGCAGGTGCGCCGCCTGGCGAAGATCTTCGCCGAGGAGGCACGCCACATCAACGAGGGCCAGCCCTTCCAGACCTACAACGCCGGCATCCACCGCGATGTGATCACCCGTCTGCGGCCGGTCACGGAGCACTTGAAGGGCGTGGACGGCTACCGGCGAGAGCGCACCGAGGCACTGGCGAAGTACAACCGCTATAAGGCGGACGTGGAAAAGGTGGAGAAGCAGTACACCAAGAAAGGCAAGCCCTTCTGCGACAGCAAGTCCCACAAGAAGTTCGCCGAAAAGCGCGACAAGGCGTGGCAGGAGTACATCAAGCGCCGTGACAAGTTCAACGACACCTTCAGCATGCTGATGGAGGTGAACGACCACGCCGCGGCGCAGATCATCCACCGCTACCTCGTGCTGAACCACGAGTATCTGCAGCAGCTTGTCGGATCGATGGACCGCGTGCTGCCGGCTATGGCGGAGGTCTACCCCCTCAACAGCGAGTACAACAGCATTCAGAACTCGCTGCTGTTGGAGGCGGTCGCCAATGCGAAGGCGCCGTTTGCCGATCACGCGAAGGAGCTACAGGAGAAGAACGCGGCGGCAGCGGCAGCGGCGCAGAACGGCGCGGCGGGCAGCCCGCGCAGCGCCGTCTCGGAGAAGGACGACGACATGCCAGACAGCAGCCTGACCCCGCTCAGCTCCGACGGGGCGAAGAACACCGCCTCGACGTCGCGGCTGGAGGAGCCGGGCGGCTACGAGACTCGCGTGGAGCCGACCACGGTGTTGGAGTCCGCCGAGCCGCCGCACGAGCCGGAGGACGACGTCCACAACGCCGGGGAGACGGAGGAGGACCACGGCCACATCGAGACACAGCCGCAGCGTCTGCAGACGCAGGGGGAGGGGATGCCGCCGAAGGATCAGGAGGCCCGCCCGCCCGGCACGGTGGAGGGGACACCGAATGGGAGGGCGTGAGTCGCCGACCGACGCGGGGAGAAGAGAACAAGGAAAATCTCTTACCCACACATGCGTGCACTCGCACATGGGCGTTGGGATGCGCTCCGCGTCCACTCCGGTCTGCCGTGCCGGAGCTGTCAACAGCGCCTCCTGAAGGATGCACTCAAAAGAAATAATTATTATTAATGAAAGAAAAAAACGTTCAAAACGTAAGACTGCTCTTGCGATTTCTTTTTCTGTTTTCCCCTTTTCCTTTGCTTGGTTTTCCAGTCTTCCACTTCACGATGTCTCGGCTGATCTGATCTGATCTCTGACCTGTCACCATTTCCACCTCGCTTGCTGGGGGGAAAAGAAAGGAGGAAAGAGGAGAAAGAAGTCTTCCTCTGTTCCCTCGCTGCGAGCTTCTCTGATTTCTCTTGCTTTCGGGAGATGCCGTTTTCGTGGGGTCCATCGTACACCAACCGCCAAGCTTTTCGTTAGCTGCTCCTATTCCATCGTGCTTCCTGCTGTAGTAGTAGAGAGAGAAGGGCCGCGAGTGCAACTTAATGGATGGCCCCCCCCGCCCTCTTCCTTTTTTTAGGAGGGGGAACAGCGCCATTTACGAAGGCACCAGCTCCCCTTTCTTTTTTCCTTCTGTACTTTACACTCCCCTGTGCGCTGTCAAACGTGAAGGCGGCCGTAAAGCCCGCCGCCATTAAAACATACTCTCTTGTTATTTCTCTCTTGTGGTGCTACGCGTGCTGCTATAACCAAAAAAACGCTGCCGCGTCGTCTTCGTATTACTTGTTTCTCTGTTGTTGTCGTTGTTGTGTCCTTCTTGTCGTCGTCCTTGTTGTTGTCTGTTTACGGTTATCTTTAGAGTAATGACAGATACTAAAAATACCTAAATGCCTCCAACACACACACACCATCAAGTGTGATGATGTGAGACTTCGACGCGTGCTTTTCCGAATGCGCCAAGTGGTGCATTCACCGTGTACGGTGCAGCCCGAACAGCAGCGATTCTCTCTCGCTCTCTCTCTCTCCGCCCCCACGTGCAACTCAGAGGCCGGCGGTATTCGTCTCCTGCGGCAGAGAGATCGCTTCTGCACTTCGATTGGCCACAATGTCGAACAGCACCGTCGGCCGTACGCCCAAACTCACGCAAACACCTCCCCTTCCGCTTTCCCTCCCCCTTCCAGACCTTTACTGATGCGTTCTTGCGCCGCGTTCCCACGCTCTCTCATGTGGGAAAGCAGCAGCGACGGCCACGTCACACACACACACACACAAACACACACCGATGAAAAGCGCTGAACTCCTCATTCCTTTCCTTTTGCGTTGCGGCGTGGCTCGCAACGCGGGCGCGTCTGGGCACTGGCGCCGGCACAGCCACCGGCCGAGACCTTTCCGCCTGTACGTCGAGTACGACCACACTTGGGTGAGTACACCATATCCCGTCCGATTACTGCAGGTAAGCACCCACAGGCTTAGTTAGCACTGAGGTCAGTGATGACGCGGGATCCCTAAGCGCCGCACTCCCCCGCCTCCTTTTTCTTTTTAGCGCGTAGGTCGGCGCTGCCCGCGTGCGGCGGGGACGAGGTGAGGCGTCGCTGTGAGAAAGACCGAAACAAAGAAGAAGAAGAATAGAAGCAACGAGAGGTGAGAGAGAAGGAAGAGCAGAGCGGAGGTTGTTCTGTTGTTTCTTCTGGTGTTTTGCTGGCCCGTCGAGCAATGCGGCGTGGCGGGCGCTGGGCGGCAGGGCAATGCGCGGGATGGGGCGCAGGGTTGGGCGGGAGAGGTGGACGAGAAGAATCCGCCGCAGAGGCGTCGTGCGTGGCGCCCCCGCCGCTCTTTGTAGTTTGGCATGCAGTTTCTTTCCGCCGCACACACGCGGGGCATCGCAGACGATCGCGAAAAGAAAATGAACATAAAAAGTCTGTCAAGGAAAAAGAAAGTAAGATGGAAAACGAGGTCTAAAAGCACAGAAAAAAAGGGGAGAAATATAAAATGTATTTACCGAGTTTGATGGGTTTGCAGAAGGCGAGGAGGAGGGAGAGCGCCGGCGCGCATCTCGTCTGTCATCGGCACGTAATGGACTGCCGTGCGTTGGCGCCGACCAACAACCGCGCTCTCCGCCTGCTTCAGTGCGCACCCAAGAAAGCCAAAAAAAAAACAAAATCGAAAAAAGGGACTTTTTCGAAGAGCACAGTGCGCGGAGAAACACCTATGTATACCGAACATAGAGGAGGACGCTTACCCGAGTGATCTGAAGAGGTTCGCAGTGCGACAACAACCGAAATAGCAAAATCCGGAAAGGGATGCTTGGCGGGAGTGATAGAGCGGCGCCAACAGCAGCGGGTGTACGAACACACAACACCGTAAAGGGACCCTTTTCCTTTTCACCGCTGCAATACACCCCTCCTCCCTCCCTCGGTGGAGGCCGGAGCGTCCGCAGTCTCTTCGTGTATCGTACGTGTAGGGGCGTAAACAACGGCGAAGAGAGGCGCATGGCAAGCTGCAGAACGACAGTAATAAAAAGACCGAAAAGCGGAGTACATGAAGAGCCTTCCGCCGGCTTCTTCATTATATAAGTAAACAATAACAATAGAGACATGGTAAAGTGAGAAAGAAAGAGGGGAAGGCACACTCTTCAGAGAGCACGTCGGGTAAGCCGTTTTACAGTAACAATAATAATAATAGAAATAGTAACAGAAATAGTAATAGAAATAGTAATAATAGCGGAGATCGAATCCCTTTCAGAAGGAGTAGCGGCGCGGTGCTGAGAGGAGACGTCTCATGCGGCTGGGTCTGTGAATGTGTGAGTGCGTGTGAGAGGTACAGAAAGATATCGTAGACGGAGAAGCACCCCCTCTCACGCGCACACGCACGCACGCACGCACGCGTCAAGACACACTTAGAAAAAGTTCACAAATGGGTCCACACCACCGAACATGGCCGCGCGCTGCCGCGACATGTGCTGTCGCATCGCATCCATCCCGCCGAACAGGCTGCGCGGCCCACCAAGAAAGTCGTCCATGAAGAAGTCATGCATCAGCATGTTCGACGGGCCAAAAGGGCTGAGCTGATACATGTCGGTGTCGTCGCGGTAGTGACGCGATGGCTGCTGCTGCTGCTGCTGGCGATGATGATGCTGATGATAAGGGGACAACAAATCTGGCGCGTCGCGGGACCGGCGCACGCTGTCCATGTACGCGTATTCCGTGTCGTTGTCGTTGCCGTCATCGTCTGGCTCTTCCACGATGGGCTGCGCGGCGGGTTGCGCGGCGCGGGTGTAGAAGTGGCGCCGCGTGTCCACATCGGGCACTTCCGGCTCGTCTTCCTCTTCGATGACCGCCGCTGGCATCCGTTGCGGATTCCGCGTATTACTGCCGCCGTTGGACACACACGTGAAGGACGAGGTCGTCATGAAGGTGCGCTGCCCGTTGTGGTTGTTGTAGCGTGCCTGGAAGGTTGGGTCGTCGTTAGAGTTGTAGTACGTGGCGTAAACCTCTCGCCCCTGCCCGTCGCGCGCGTAGTACGCCTTGGCGTGCGTGCGCTCGTCGACGTGGGTGCGGCGCTCGACCTGCGAGGCGGACGCCGGCGGCAGATGAGGGGCGGCTGGTCGATCCGTGCGCACCAAGGCGCCGGTGGCGGCGCGGTGGGTGTGCTCACGATCGTGATCACGCGGCATGTGCTTTGTTTGTTGGCCTTGACGGCTGTTTCTCTTACGGATGTGTGTACCGCCAGTTTATCTGCTGATAAACAACAGCAAAAGGAAGCGGCACTGCACGCTCAGCGATTTGCTGGAGCTTCACAAAAAGAAATGAAAAACGAAAAGAAGAAGGGGGAGATGATCGGTTGAAAGGGTGAGGTGTAGGCTGGCGTTGTGGAGAAGCGGAAAAAAAAAAAACCCGCAAAGGAACGCGTTGGCGTTGCACACGTGTGCGTGCGCGTGTGAATGCGTGTGTTGGAAGGAAGAGGAGGAGCGCGATGGAGATTCGTTTACGGAAACAAACACGTTGCATGGGCTGCGTTGAGACCGAGCCAAGAGTTAGAAGGACAGGACGGAGCAAAGAGACAACGACGAGCGAAGCGCTCCGCGTCAGCTGGGGGCTGCGTGCGCACCGCCACGTTTCAGAGAAAACACGATTAGCGCATCATCAACAACAGCCACAACAGAAGGCAGTCACGCTGCACGTGTTCCGCGTCGTAGGGGAAATCGCGCTCGTGTGAAAAGTCCGACATTGGAGACAAGAAGGACGTCGGCAGCGACGTCCAACAGCTCGTCCATGACCAGGAGACATCGATGATTATTATTATTATTATTATTTGATGGTAGAAAGAGGACGACCTCTCTGGCGGAATCGACAGGGGGAAGAGACAAAATATTGATAATAATGATAATAGTAAAGATCACACACAAGAGAATTTTGACGTGTAGATTCGTAAAGGACATTTATCGGCGTACCAGGGGCAGCACTGCTGACTTTGCCTCTTCCATTAATGTACTAGTTATATATATATATAAGTATATACATGTACATCAAGCGGAAGTATTATGGAAAGGAAAGCTGAAGAAGACGAAATAGCGAGGAACGAAGAAAGAAAAAGGTAATAGAAACCATGTGTTGGGCAGAGTAAATCATTAAATCAATCAATAAATACAAAATAATAAACAGAGATAGAGTGGAGGAGAGCTGAAAAGATGATTGTGAAGAGAAATAATCTGCCCACACACGTCAATAGTATTAATCGTAAAAATCAATAACGGCCGGAAGGGCGAAAGCCGCGGCGAGAGGATCTTTCGCTTCTAAAAAAAGAAGAAGAAGGGACAAGCCGATTTACTCTTCTTTGTTTTGTTCGTCCTCATCTGCCTTCCTCTCCGCCCTTTCCCCTTCTCCGCCTCGTTCCGACGTCACACACGCGTCGGCGGCTGCGGCGACCAGCGAGACCACCGTGTTCGTCAGCGCGTTGACCGTCTCCGCGAACTCATCCTTCGCCCCCTCGCCTGTCACCGCCGTGCCGCCGTGCGCAAGCTGCTCTTCGATCACCTTCACACGTCGCGGCAACTCCCCCGCCTTCTTCGAGGTTGCCGCCGCTGGAGATGCGTCGTTGATGGGTCGTGGACCGGATTCATACGACCGCACGGACATCGTTCCATCTGGCTGGCGCTGCATGTGGACGGCCGCCGTGTACACCATCGGTACGTTCGCCGCCGCACTCGTCGCGGCGTCCTTCGCCGGCGCGGCGGGTGCCGTTTGCTGCTGCTGCTGCGGCGGAGAGGTTGCCTGCTCTGGCGAAAGGTTCGATGACGGGTCCGCTGCCGGGGAGCTCCACGGTGCAAGCGCAGTCGACAGCAACTCCATCATGGAGCTCAGCACATCGTCCGTGGGGAGTGCGTCCCACTGCTGCAGGAGAGCCATCTGCTGCGTAAGAGCGCGGTTGGGAAGCTTGCCTGCGAGGTAGTCGTCATAGCGCCGGCGCTTCTCTGGATCGGACAGAATCGCATGCGCCTTCTCCAGCACCCGCAGACGGGCTTCATCCACATCGGCGGAGGTGTTGTAGATGGCGCTGTCGTTGTCGTGGTAGCAGCGGTCTGGGTGGACGCGGAGGAGCAGCTTGCGGTACGCGTTCTGCACCTCAGCGGGGGAGGCGCTGATGGGGACACCGAGGACGTCGTAAAGGGTCTGCATGGCGGCTGAAAGCGTCACAAGGAACTCCCTTCAAGAACAGCAAATAAAAAGATAATAACAAGAATTCTATCGAGCAGTTAAATATAGTAGTGCGAGGTTGATGTCGTGCGAAAGTGTGAGGAAAACAACAAAGAAAATAAGGGAGGGCGGAATCTGCGTGAGGGGTGGGGGTGGGGAAAGGGAGAAGAACAGATGAACGTCAAATCGCGGGATGTTGACACGAGCCAGTGCAAGCAAAACGAAGAGGAAGAAGGAGAAACAAGAGAGTTGTAGAGGACGCCAGAGCTTCCTCATCCATCGAGGATGCTTTCACTGAGGGCTTCAAACCACACACACACACACAGACACAGACACGCCTTTACCAGAACTTTTCGAGTTTAATGATCGTAAGGATAGTAGCGCCCCGCCCCGCCTTAGCAAGCTGCAGCAAACAGCAAGTACTGCACCGCACAAATATGTATGAGGTGTTCGCCATTTCTTTGCGTGGCGAGGGCCTTGAGCGTATCACCGTTTTTCCTTCTACTTATTTCATGCGGATCACGACAGTAGTGAATCAGAAATAGGAATAATCAAGAAGCACGTTTAATGTAGAAAGGAAGAACGAAAAGAAAACACTCAACAGCACGAAATGGAAGCGAATTGGACTCTTTCGCGTCCTTCATTTGGTGGGATGTGGAGGTTACCCCGCAAAACACCGCCATGCGTTTCTGTATGCAAACGAGAGAAGAAAATGGCGAAGTAATTCTTTTTAACTTTTTTTATTTGAAGGACGTTTGAGGTCGTTCGTTAAACAAGAGAAGTACACACGCGCGCGCGTCCATTCTACGGAACGCAGCAGAGAGGAAAAAAGAAAATATAATCTACACACACACACACACACACACACACAGAAGGAGTCGCCTCAACGTTTCGGATGTGTGCGTGTGCGTGTGTGTGTGTGTGTGTGTGTGTAGATGCTTGTATGGCGGATGACAGGAAGAGAACGTAGCGCAAGCGGCCATTTGTGTTCTTCCTTTCAAACCGCGGAAAAGAGAAGTTTGCCTTCGCAAGAGTCGATTGAAAGTAACATACGTTTTTGGCTTTTGCTTTTTCGTATATACGAAGTTCTGTTGCCTCTTTCAATAATCCATGACAATAATAGTCGTAAAAAGGAAAGAGATGAGAGAATCGAAGAAACTCGGAGTAGCTGGCGACGCGTGGACTTCTCAGCTGGTATAGGAAAGAAGCTATATGAATTGCGAATCGCGCGTCGTTATCCAAAGACCCCCACAGGTCACTCTTGAGTGAAGATAGCACGAGTGCCAGTGCCTGAACACAGCAACGAAGGGAAAAACAAACAAACAAAAAAGCAGTAGGAGAAAACGGAAACGAGCGTGTGTGGGTGTGCGCGACGCTCGACGTTTATAATGCCGTACACTTCACAACCTATTTCTCCATTCGCCATCGCTTGGCCTTTTCTTCTTCGGGCTGTCTCACGTCGGGCGTGCGCCGTGCGTTTCTGCGGCGACGTGTGTGGCTGAGCCGTTGCGAAGGTGAACACAGGAAACGACAGATGGAGTACCAAGCGGCCGTTAAATCACACGATCGTCATCCTGGCGCTGCAGCAGGCTCACCGTCTCCGCAGCAACGCCGGCCTGCGGCACAACACTCGCGCCGACCGCCATCACCATCATCTCCACCACCAGGGCAAAGACGCTGATCCACAAGGCGGCCCACACAACGTTGTAGCCCACCGCCCGCTCAAAGCCCATTTCGCGGTACGCCGAGATGCAGTCCTCGAAGGGGTTACACCGCTTCGCCACCGCCGCGTCGTCGGCCGCCGTGTGCGCCAGCGGCGATACCGGCCTCGCGGGAATCGCACCGGCCGGGAACTCCATGCGCCAGCGCGCCGGCGTCGCAAAGACACGTCGCTCCTCCCGCAGAACCGCAGGCTGGGCGACCACGCGAGGCGGGTCCACCACGAAGAAAACCGTCGCTGCTGCTGCCGGAGCCTCGCCCTCCTCGGTGGTCTGCCCCGGCCAATTCGGCGGAGCAAACACACTGGTGATGCTCTCCGGCTGCTTGCACCACGTATCCTTCTCGTACAGCGCCTTCACGATGTACGCGTCCATGCCGAGCGCCACGGCGGTGAGGAGGAGGAGGACGCAGATGGGCACCCCGCACACGCGACGGACGCGGTGGTTGGTCTTTGTGAAGCTCGGTGCCAGGTGCAGCAGTCCGCACACGAAGGCGAGGGCCAGCAGCGCTGCCGCCGCGATGGCACCGATCTGCGCCACGCGAAACGCCGTCTGCAGTCTCTCGCACTTCTCGGTGAAGCGGCGGACAGGGATGTGCTTTTCCGCCACGGGGGTGTAGATGTCGGTGGTGAAGAGGGATTGCGTGATGGAGGAGTTGATGCTGTCCATGCGGAGTTCGTAGAGTGGGAGGCGCATGATGGCCGCGATGCCGAGCGCGGCGGCGACGGTGCTCAGCACCACGCACACACGCGCCGTCGTCATCTTCGCTTCTGTAGAGACCATCGTGCGTTGACGGCACACACCCACACACACACACACGAAGATAGTAGTAATAGAAATAAGAACAGTAAAAGCAGGTTTCGAGCTTATCGGATGGCTGGCGCGCAACAACGAGAAGAGTGCCGAATAGCTTCTTTGTTTTTGTTTGGTTTCTTACCTCGCAAGGCGCGACGAGCCGCGTGCGTTCAGTTTGAATAACAACAAGCAAGGGGTTGTGCTACACTTTAGGTAGAAGACTTTGCAGGAGAAGAGAGCGGAGGGAAGCAACCGAAACCGCAGAAAGTTGTTCGGCGCGTGTGTGTGTGTGACGATGCTAGTGTGTGCGCATCACCTACCTCATTTGTAGGCGCGATCTCTCGCCTAATCAGACTGCATCGTGATGATGGTCTCTGTTCTCACAACGGCGCCAAAAGCTGAATGTATGCATGCGGGTATTGTGTTGAACGGAACATTCTAATCTTCCGCCATCGCACGTCGACCGAAGTCGCGCATTCTGTTTCTCACGGAATAGAAATAAGGTAACATAATACTAATAAAAGAAGAAGAAAAAAAGGAACTGAATCGTTGTCCCCTGCGCTTTCTCCGCTTCGTCATGCGCGTATTACTTCGACGTCACCAGTGCCAGAGGCCAACGGCTTCGTTCCACGCACAAGTCGCAGGGCGTCGTGTATTGTGCTGCTTCCCGCTTCTCGTTTCCTCTTTCTTCTTTCAAGATAAATAAAAAACACGTTCGAACGAGTTAGCTTCACTGGTACTTAAACAAATAGTCTGGTTTTTCAAACTCACTGCCCCGTCCGATACGGATCCCAGCGAAAGCTGGTCCTCTCCGCATCCACCACACGAGGAGAGCCCGACCGCTGCACCGGTACCGCGCTGTTAAAAGCCTCTGCGACGCCGCTCACGCCCTTCTGCAGGTCATCGCAGCTTACATAGCGCGGCAGCCCGACACAGTGCGGTGCGATAGGCACAACAAGACGGCGCCGGCACGACTGCTGACCCGCCAGCGGTGGATACGCCCACTTCGACGTGTCCGCCGCAGCTGCTGCAGCTGCTGCGCTCAGCGGCAAGTTTGCGCCTGCGCACGTAGACGCAACGAAGACACCGCGCGCCTCCATCCACTGGCGATGGCGCTGACGGCACTCGCGTATCTCGCTGCCCTCGTCGCTGTTCAGGCGATCATCCGCGACGAGGTGCAGCGGCGCGTATGGAATGTGCGTCGACGACGACGACGGCGGCGGAGGTGCGTGCCGGTGCTCTGGAGGGTGCGCGGAGGCGTGCAGGGCGTTGTGCGCCAGCTGCGCTCGATCGGCGGCTGTGATGGGCATACAAGCATCCACGCCAGCACCTTTCGGATGCGCGGGGGAGGCTTTGGGGATGGGGGCAATGGTGGTCTTAGGAGAAAAGCTCGCGCTGTCGCTGAGGCTGCTGAGGTTGCCTGCGGACTCGGAGGTGTTCGCCGGGGAGGAGAAGTCGGCAGTGGTGGAGCGAGGGGCCGTGGCGGTGCCTGTTCGATCGGCGCCACGCTTGTGGTTCTTCGTTGCTGGTGTTGCTGCTGCAGTTGTGTGGGTGGTGTTCGTGGTCGTCGACTCCGCCGGTGCGTTCATCGACCCCGCCACCGCATCGCGCTCCTTTCTCTTCTGACGCCGGCGCTGATTCTGCTTCTGCCGCTGCAACGCGAGTCGGATGAAGCGCGGCTTCGTGCCGAAGAAGAACCGCTGCCCCAGCAGCTGGAAACTCCAGATGAAGTACGAGCCACTCTCCATGTACCTGCGATTCGTGAGGGCGGCGGCGCCGGAGTTGGGCAGGCCGTAGTCGACGTGCGAGGTGGACGATGCCGAAGTCGTGTTACTCGTTGGGTAGGTCGCAGTGGTGGGAGAGGACGTCTGCGAGGAGGTCGGCGTCGCGAGGGCCTCGCCGGCCAGTGCTGGCGGCTCGCGCAGCACCAACCACCCTGCGTCATCTTTGTCCTCGTACTTCTCGAGATCGACAACCGTCCGCAGTCGGTCCAGCACCAGCTCCACTATTCCGTTGTACGAGAAGGAACCGCGCATGTGCAGCAGGTGGCACTGCATCCCTTCCGAGTCCACGTTCTTGTGTATCAGCGCCTCGTAGCAGATCTCCAGCTCTGTGGGGAAGTACTCGTCGTTGAACAGCTCCAGCACCGGCACCGGCACGGCGAGCTCCTCGGTCTTCTCGCGGTTCTTCTTGTGGACGAGCAGCAGAGCGGACAGCAGCATCAGCGTCGTGATACGAATCCAGCGGTGTGTGCGGGGGCAGACAACGAGGACGTCTCCGTCGCACGGCGCCGGCGCATCCAACAGGGACGGCCACGCCGCGTCCAGCGTGCTCGATGCATTACCTTGCTGCTCGTCCCCCGCAACAGCTGCCGCGGACGGAGGCCCGCCATGCGGCAGTGACTTGCGATACCATTCCAAGGCACAGCGGGCGTCGGCTTTGAGCGGCATCTGCGCTAAGATCAGTCGCGACGTGATCCCCGCCGCCGTCGCCTCGGCCATGAGCGCGTCGTCGCGGCGGTGGTTGCGCACGCACGACGTCGGCGGGTTGACGGCGCGGTCGTTCAGATTCACACACACGTAGCAACTCGCCTTTCCTTGCCGGTAGGCGGCCATGGCAGACGCGATCTGCGCCGGCGTGGGCGGCGGCAGTCCGTTCTGTGGGACTGCCCTCAATCCCTCCCTTTGCGGCGGCAGCCGCAGCACGTTCTCCAAGTACACGTTCGCGCACTGCTGCGGTGGTCCGACGTAGGGGAGACAGAAGATGGGAGCCGAGGCCTGCGAGAGGTAATACAGCACCTTCTGCACCGCGCCGCCGCTGTAGCGGACAAGTGCAACCCGGCCGCGCATCGAGAACCGGATGCCCAGCATCGCCAGCGCGACGTCCTTCGTCAGCGGGTTCACCATCGGCATCCAGTCCTCCTCGCTGTAGTTGGGGTTCACCACGACTTCTTCTGCAATCCCGAGCCGGCGACGCTTGAAGGACCAGGCACACGCCAGTTCGACCGGCGGCTCCGCCAAGCACTGAAGATCGTCGTCGTCGTTGTTGTCGGCCGTCTCGAGGTTCGCGCAGCCGCCAACGCACGTTTGGCCGTCACGTGTGCGCTTCAGACGTGCCGCCCCACCACCAACACCACCGACAACCGCAGACGATGCGCCGGCCGTTGCCGTCTTCGTGGGCAGCGCGTTTACCCCGTTGCCTTCACCGTTCACGTGATCGACAATCGCGATGGGCGCGATGTTGTGGGCCGCACTGCGCGCACTCGTGCTGCCGCTGTGCTCGTCACGGCTCTCCGTGTCGCTGCTGGGCGAGCTCGTTGCCCCGGCGACGCTGAGCGCCAGCGCAGGGTGCTCCTTGCCCGAAGCACCGCCACCACCGCCGTTGTTGTTATTGCTGCTGACGTTGCTGCTGCTCTCTACATGGATCTCGTGGGGCGTGCGCTGGGCCTTCGCGGAATTCGGCGAACCAGCATCGTCCATCGTGCTCTTCGTGTTGCCGCCGCTGCTGTGATTGCTGTTTTCCCTTCTGCCTCCTCGCTGCTGTCGAGGACGTTGTTCTTCATCCTTCTCCCGCTCGTTCACAGAGCCGCTCCGGCTGCGACTCTCCGTCCCTTCCTGCTCATTCGCATTCCCTTCCGCCTCGTCCACCTCTTTTAGTTTGCCGTCTGCATCCGTGCGGAAGCGCCGCTCGGGCGGGGCGCTGACGATGAAGCCGTACATCGGACTGTTCGTGAAGTTCACGTAGTCGTTCCAGCGGTGCTGCCGCGCGAGTGCGTCGCGGACGCGCATGTCGCCGTCGTCGATCTCGTGTATCGCGGCGAGCAGTCGCAGCTCGATTTCGCGCTGGAGCTGCAGCTGCGGGATGTCGCTCACTGCCAGGACGCCCCACAGCGGGCACGCAATCGCGTCCGGCAAGCCCGCGTCGATGCAGCGCTCGCGGAACGTCATGCAGCCCAGCACCGTCATGCGATTCAGAATCTTGTCGCCAATCACAGCGTGGATGAAGCGGCAAGAACGCAGCACCGGCGGGGGCGGCACACCGTATTTCTGCAGGAGCTGCCGCTCCTCCTCTCGTTGGTCTTCTTCGTTGGCCACCACCTCGCTGTTGTTGCCGCCGGCAACGCCACGCATCCACGGCGCACCTCTCAGCTCCGTCGTAGCGTCGTTGATGGCGTCGCTGCTATCGCCGTCCTCCGCGCGGCATGGGATGAAGCCGTCGACGCCCAGCACCCGCACCGGGATGACGGGGATGTAGTATCGGGTATAAACAGGCTGGAAGATCTCATACGCACGGCGCTGGTTCGGGTCATCGAAGTCATCAGCCTGGCGCGTGGCGACGGTGTGGGTCGTGGTGAAGCGCCGACGACACCGCTCGCTCTGCACCGCGCCAGAGTGCCGCCGGCGCTCCTCGACGAGGCTGCCGTCGAACACCGCCGTCTTCCCCATCGCCCGTACGAATGCGGGGTTGTAGGCGAATAAGTAGTTCACGCCCTCGTAGGCGACCATGTGCACGCGACCGTCCATGTACTGCTCGTCCATCTCAAACGGGAGGTGGTCGTCCTGGAAGGAGGGGTACGACTTAAGCATCTCCTCATTCAACGTGGTGTTCTCCACAAACGGCTGTCGTCCTTGGACATCCAATACACTCAGCGCCACGGCGTCGCCGGTGCGGTGGATGACATCTGTGTCAGCGGGGCCACGACGCTGGTTGCAGCGCATATCATGTCGATCCACAGCGTTGCCGCTGGCTGAGAGCGGTGTACTCGTCTTGCTGGATGGAACTTGCTGCTGCTGCTGGGTTGATGTGGTGGAGAAGTCCCCGCCTCGCTCGCGATAGGCACGGTGCGCCGCACACGCGTCCTCCATTGACATTCGCTCAACCACTACTTCAGGCAGCGGCCGCAGCCATTTGCGCGGCGGCGGCACCGCCTCAGCCACCTCCAGCTCCGCCGCGCTGACATCGACGTCCACCACCTCGGCGCTGTCGAGTTGACTCCGCTCCACCTCCGTCATGCGTTGCTGTCGGGCGTAGGCGTGATGACGACGCACCACGTCTCGTGCAGCGCGCCAGCGCTGGTCAGCTAGGAAGATCTCCAGCATTTCCGCGTCGGTGTCGATGAGCGCGTTCGTTGATGGGTTGATTACGAGCATCTGATAGAGTTCACGGCGACATTCAACGGAGCGGCGGATGTGCTGACTGGCAGCCACGCTCCCTTTGCTTTTGGACTGCTTTTCACCTCGACTGTGGCCGCTCTCCGCCAAGCGCGCCTGCACCTCCTCGTCGTGGTAGTGCAGGCTTGGGTCGACAACTTCGGCCTCGGGGCCCCAGTACTCCTCCTGAGCCAACGTGAATGCCTTCGCGGCCGCCTCAGGCAGCACTGCGGACGCTTCTCTAATGTTGAAGCTGTACTTGCAGGACTGACTGTCGCGGACCCGGTGGACCTCCTTGAAGGCCAGGCAGTCGGCGCTGGGGAAAAAGTGTGGAGTCATCGGAAGGCGGAAGGTGACCACACCGGTGTTGTTGCCGAAGTACACGGTGTTCGGCCCCTCATGGCTCTCCCTGCTCGGTAGCGCGCCCATTCTGCTGAAACCGGCACCTTTTCGTGGGAGTATTCGGTTTTTACCTTCTACTTCGAAAAAAAAAAGGAAAAGGACAGGTTGACAGCGGTAATTGAAATAGTAAAAGAAAACCTCCAACAACAACAACAGAGGCGTGGAAGAAGAATGACCGGCGAAAGAATACTGTGCGCGCTTGATGATGATGAGAGGAGAGAGACAAGAAGGGAAGGAGGGAAAACCGGCAACAACGCAGGCTGTTTCACACGGAGATCAAATAATGATATTAATAATAAAACGTAAGAAGAAAGATCGAAAAAAGAAGAAGACGACGTGTACTTGCAGTTCACTTTATACCTCCTCTTGTCTTTCCCTATATTTATATATATATTCACAAATCCAGCTCCACGCAAGCACAGACACGCGAGGCGACAACCAAGTAAAAGAAGAAGAAAAAAACTATCGTACTTACGGTGAAAGAAGGAATATGAAAAGAGAAGAAAGATGTAGAGGAAGCAGCTCTGAAACACTGGCACGCACTACACACATATATGTATGAAAAAGCCCTTTCTTTCTTGTTGCACCAGGAAATAAAGCAAACAAACACACAGAGAGAGAGAAAGACACCAGTACGCTCGAGTGTGACAGCGTCACAGGAAAATCGGCAGACAGGTAAACGTATGGAGTAACGCAGTGAAAGGGTAGTTCAGTTTGGACGAGGTGAGCAGAGCGTTGGCACCGTGAATACGAACAATCCTTGCAAGCCGTCACCGACAGGAAAGTGCGTGGGAGCAGAAAAGTTGAAGAGAGGAAAAAAACAATAGGTCAACGCTTCGTCCACAGAGGTGGCTGAAAGCAAAAGCCGAAGATCCTTTACCGCGCTTTTTCTCTTTTCCCTTTCTTAAGAAAATAATGTCAGCTTAGTTCAGGTGATCGCTTCACTGCCGGGGAGGTAAAACCGATAACGCCGGGTTTGAGGAGACAGGTCGATATTTTAAAACAACGGCGAGTGGCCCGCTGCACAGACGCGATTCGACGCAGCACGCACCAAGAGAAAAAAAAAAACAAATTATATATGTGAAAGTAAGAGCGAGACCAAGACAAAAGTGCCACCCCAAGAGAGAGAAAGGGAAGAAGAAGACAGAAGAGAGAGACCCGCAAACACACACACACACACACACACACGAACACGTAGAAGTGCAGGGCGGCGACGCCACGAATTGCCAACGTGAAGCGATGCAACGTCAACACGCGATATGAAGCGCACAAGAGTGACAAGAGTAAATGAGGAGCCCGCTGTACAAGGGCGTCGAAGAGAATATGTATATATATATATCCCTTGCCAAAATGATAAAAGAGAAAAGAAAAGGCACAGAAGAGTTCCCACTAGTGATCGTGTCTGCTGGCGCTTACGTTTTGGAATTCTTTCTGTGTCTTTGTCTACTCTGCGCTGGCGGTGGGAGCTTATCCGTGAAGTAGCAATAGTAATGGTGATAGCTGCGGCCGCGTCCGTCCGTTCCGCGCGCGCAGGCAAACGAAATAAGAACAATAATAAAAAATAATAAAGAAGAGAGAAGTAAAACACTGTGAACACTAAAAACAATAAACAGGTTTATCGCCGGCAACGGCCGAAAGAAGACGAAGACGAAGACGAAGTGATGAAGTCAGAAACGATTGTGAAGGGAGGGAAAAAAACTGACCTACGTGGAAGATGACCAAGTACCGCGCAAAGGTGGTTGTGGCGGCGGGAGGTGTGGGGTGTGGGGTGGGTGACATTCAAAACACGCAGCAGCAGCAACACAGGAGGGGAGAGAAGGGAAAAGAAAGAAACGGTAAAGAAGTGGCGTTAACATGTAACGAGAAAGAAAATTTCCTCCCGTTGTTTATGATACCGAACAGCCAAGTCGTTGCGGCTGGCGGTGCGATCGGCGTGGACATTTCATTTCGAAAGCAAATTCGGCTACTCTTCTGAATCGCTCGTTAGAGGGAGAGCGAGAAAGGATTGCCGCAGCGGGGGTTTCGCGCATTTCAACGAGGAGCCGCAAACACCGGTGAGTGTACCTCCCCTGCCTTACAAAAAGAAGGAAAGAAACGCATCAGGAGAGAAAGACAGCGATGCGCCGCGTCAACATTTGCTAAGGAACAGGTATGCTCGTTTTTCCTTTTTTAATTATATTTATTTGCTGAACGCACGTACTCACACACTCACACACAGCCACCAAAAGAAAAGCCAAGAGAGATCAAAAACCGTAAAGAGAAATGCCACAGAGGCCAAAAACCGGCGCCGCTTTCAGCCTCCGCCGCCACCGCCGCCAACCCCACTGAACGCGGCAACACCCACAACACGAGAGACAGAGATAACGAAAGAGGAGGGAGGGGGGAGGGGGACAGAGAAAACCCCCTCGTACCGTAAATCATCCCGAACAATAATAACAACGAAAGCGGCGCGAGAACAAGACAAGACCAGACGGAAGGGAAACCAACAAACATCATCCACAACAAACGCACCAGAAGCGCAGGACACACACACACACACACACGTACAAGTCGAGTTCGTGCGATGTCGGGCAAAGTTAACTCTCAGATATATATTATATGTTCTTTACAGCTCTTCATTATTCTCCTGGTCCTTCCGCGTCATGCGGGCCGGCAACCCACTTCCGCGACGCGTATGGGTTCCACCGAAACGCTTGCCGCTGCACGTACGTGTCCTCCTCCCCCCGCAGCAGCGACTCCCCTTTCGTCTTGGAGCCTTCGTTGATTAGATTGGCCGGCAGCATACTCGTCGGGGAGAGCCGGCGCGGCGGCGGCGCGGTGAGAGAACCGCCAACAACTGCCCCCGCACCTGCTGCTGTGGCGGTGGCTGTTGGTGCTGGTACAGCCACCGACGGCGCGCTGGCTGGCATGACGCCTCCTCCTCCTGCCATTGCTGTTGTTGTGATGGTGGCTGATTGAGCAGTAGGCGGCCCCGCACCACCCACGAAGTGCGACGGTGACTGTTCATTCGACAGCGGCGTGGCAGGGAAGCTGGCGGCACCTGCATTGGACAGCGAGCTGTTCATCACCCCTGCCGCTGCTACAGAGGACGACGACGGAGCCGGCCCGAGCTCCATCGTCGGAACGGACACCGGCAGCGAAGAGGACGAGGGGCCGGACGGAACCGCCGCCGCCGTGCTCGCACCGCGTCGCCGCACCCGCACCGTTACGGGATTGCCTCCGACGGACACCACCACCGCGGCGCTGGCAGCCGGCGAGCTGGCACTCACCCCAAAGTTGCTGCTGTTGCAGGGGGCCGAGCCGGGCTGGAAGACTGGTCGACCCCCGCGCGACGACAGCGGCTGTTGTGACTGCGCAAAGGGGGGCGGCATCGCGGGCCGAGCCTGTGTGCTGCTGCGCGACGAGGAAGGATGACCCATCGGCCCCCAGTATCGAAAAATAGCGGGAATGCCGCCGCGCTCCGTCTGTGGGTGAGGCAGCGGTACGAGCTGCGCGTTGGCCGCTGGCGGGGCGGGGTGGAAGGGCGTGTTCGGCGGCAGCGGGGGGTAGTACTCGTTCTCGTGCCGCTTACCATCCTGTATGAACGTGTTGCCGCCGTATTGGTAGTAGTAGTTCGGACCGCCCACACCACTGCCCGTTGCCCCTGCAGACGAGAACTGCGCGTGAGACGTGAGCGATGGACTGCGTGGGGTATGACGTTTGCCGAAGGGCTGCGAGGGCGGCGGACCCAGCAGTGGCGCGCGTCGAGCAGCAGTAGCAGCACCAGGGGCGGAGTTGGAGCTGGCGCTGTTCATCTGCAACGGAGGCGGCGGTGGACCAGCTACGTTGGTGCCAACTCGCACACTCGGGAAGCTGCTGTTTCTACTCGCTGCTACCGGCGCTGGTGCTACGCCAGGGGAGCTGGTGTAATGAGGTGAAGGGGCGGTCCACGAGGGCTCGCACGGTGGGTAGAGGGCCTGCGAGTGAGAAGCGGGCATCTGCTGCTGCTGCTGCTGTCGGGAGTCGAGTCCGTAGGCGTGAGAAAAGCCGCGCTGCCGCAACGTCCCCGACGACGACGGCGTTGCAGACGGAGCCTCCTCGTAGTCGAGGCCATCACTGAGCTGCCCCAGCGATGATGCGTTGATGTAGCTCGCTTGCTGTGGGAGTTGCTGCTGCTGCTGCTGCGATGCGTAGGCTGCAGCATTCACAGCGGAGGTGGAGAACACGGTCGGACTCCATGACCCACCAGGCGACCCTTGGGGAGGCATGGGCGTCTGCATGGGAGCAGCACCGCCGCCGCCGCTCTGCAGAGAAGAAAGCCCGGTGCTCAGCTGAAGAGGGTCTGTGTGCGCAGCAGCGCCGGTGCGGCTGAGACTGTCGTGTCTGCTGCTGCTGCCGCTACCACCACCGTGGTGGCTGCCGCTACTGCCGGTGCTGTGCGGACGTGCGTTCTGCCGTGTAGTGAAGGGCGACCGCGACGTGCTCCCCTTGGCGGGCCGGTGACCCTTCAGCGTTGCGTCTTTGCTGATTGACACCACCGCGCTGTTCCTGGTGGTGGTGGTGGCGGACGCCGTGGCGCCACGCGGAGTGCCCGCCTCCTTCTTCCTCTTCCGGTTCCGCTCCATCAACTTCTGCCGGCGCAGGCGGCCCTTCGCGAACTTCGGAATGACCCCGTAGAAGTAGCGCTGGTGATTGTGCCGGAAGCTCCATACAAAGTAGCGCCCCCCGAGCTGAATCGGGCTTCCGTCGGGGAGGTTCAACCACCCCAGGTCGCTGCGGTCCTCGTAAAAGCGGTTGTCGACGACCCACTTCGTCCAGCTCAGCAGCAGCTCATCCAACCCGACGCAGAGCAGACGTGCGGACATGGAGGCGTCGGCGACGGAGCTGGCTCCGCCGATGCTGCCGTCCACCATCCCGGCAACGTCGTCGTGCACGCGCTCGCCGTGCCCCACCACGGCCGACATCAACCCCAGCGCGTTCGTCGAGTTGAAGGACGAGGAGGCGGCGGAGGAGCGGCCCATCGGGCTGCAGCTACTGCTGTGGTTGTGATTGTGCTGGTGGCTCTCCCCGCCGTAGAAGGTGCCGCCGCCGGCCGCGATCGCAGCCGCCTTCGACGCAAATCGGCGTCGCAGCTGCACGTGCTCGTAGTGCTCCCAGCGCCGCTCGTCAAAGTTGTACACCACCAAGTCGCCGTCGCAGAACTCCTGTGCGGCGTACGTGAAGATGTGCCCGAACTGGGCGGCCTCCCGCGCTTGCCGGACCGCCAACGCGTGTTCTTCGTCCTGCAGAGACGAACAACTGCCGCTGCTGCTGTTGTTGACGTTGAGGTGGAGGTGGGAGGGGGGTAAAATCATTTTGCGGAGTCTGTGTGCGGCGCTGGGGCCAGGTGCGATGCGCTCCACGTCACTGACGCTGAAGCACGTGATGAGCCCTTTGCTCTTGAAGTACTCCGCCATCACCTCCATGCCTTCTACCGGACCAATCACCACGTGACGCGCGTCAGCGGACCGCAGTTCTTCGACTACGCCTCCTTTTCTGTGTGTCGCCCCGCTGCATTGCAGCAGCTCTCCCCCGTCCTCCACGAGCTTGGAGGCGGCAACGTTACTCGTCCTTCCGGTGCCGCTCATCTGCTTCGAGTCGCCACCGTTCCGCAGTACCCCACTCGTCGCTTCCTCCACTGTTGCTGCTGCGTCGCCCTCGGCTTCCTCCAGCGGTAGGTTCACCGCGCTCGGCGGCTGCAGTCGCACCGCCCCTCCATAGCTCACGCTGGTGGTATCCACCGGTTCAATATAGGCCCCGATAAAGATCGGCGCGGCGGCGGAGGACAGGTAGTACAGCAGCGCGTGCACGCAGTCCTCGCGGAGGAGAAATAAAAAGCTGCGGCCGCGCGTGGTGGCGAGCATGCCGCATTCATACAAGGCATGGCTGGGCCGCCGCATCGACTTCGGCTCCGCCTGACGTCGCGCGTTTTCCCGAAGCACGTCGTGCTGCACGTAGCTCGGGAACGTACTTTCGGCGGTGGCAGCGCCGTTCGTCGCGGCCGATGTCGCCGCTTCCTCCCTCGCCTTCGCGCTGAGGTCGGCGCCGACCGTGGGGCTGCCGGCGTGACTGCCCGCCATCGCGGCGTCCGTGCTGATGTCGTAGTCAAACAGCGAGTAGAGTGAGAGGGGCGCGTGCGGCTCCAGGCGGGAGGAGAAGAGCTGGAAATTTGGCCGTGGCGGCACCTCGACGCGCGGCGGCGTTAACGACGACAGCGGCGGCTGGTCCGCGTTCTTCGTGTCGTGTGTGCCTGCGTGCTCGTTGTTCACCGTCAGCGGAAACGTCCTCTGAACCTTATCTCCGTTGCTGGCGGCAGTGCCCGCGCTGCTGCTGTACTTTGTCTTGCTGCTTCCACGCGCCTGCCCTTCCTCCTCCATGCGCAAGTCAGCGTCTTCGTCCGCCTCGCGCTCATCGTTCTCTCCGCTAGTGTGCGGGGCGGGAGGCGGTGTTGGTTTGCCTGATGCCTCACCTCCGTCATCATCGTTATTTGTGTCGTCAGCATCCACATCCGCAGCAGGGGTGTCCGACGTCAACGAATGCAGCGCCACTCCGGCCGTCGCCGGGCTCCGCCATGTTGCCTTCTGCTTCGGCGACGTACCCCCGTCGCCTGCTGCCACCACCCCCGCAGTCGCCGGCGCAGCAGCCGCCTTCTTTGTTTTGCTCTTCTTGCTTCCTTTGGCCTTGAGCTTCTCCTCTCTCCGGCGTGCCGCGCGTGCTCTCGCGTCGTTGCCGCGCGCCACATCCTCACCGCGGCTCTCCGAGTCCAGATCATCATCGTCACCACCGTCGTTGTCCTCGCCTGTGTCATCGTCATCGAAGTCCTCTTCGACGATGTCGCGTGGGCCGTGCCCCTCCGGCCGCCCAATCGTTGCCTCCTCCAAGTCGCGCGTGAGGTGGTGACTGCGCAATTTCATCGAGCCGGTCTGCCCCCTCGAATTGTTCTTCTCGACCGCCACGTCTTCGTCGTGCTTTCGTTTTCCCTTCACCGCCGTCGTGCTCGCAGTTCTGTTTTCGCTGCTCACCCCTGCCGTTGCTGCGGCGGCGACCGCGTCGTCATCGCCGGTGCGTTTGGCGTGTACCGTGACGGAGTGGGGGAGGTGGTGATCCCCCCCGTCGGCGTGGGTCGATGCGACAGCCGAATTCGCGGTGGAGAGACCGGCATGACCGGCTGTCTCCATCGTTGTCATCGTTGTAGATGTGGTTGCCGCACGGGTGTTCGCAGAAGTCGCGGTGACCGGTACAGCGGACGCGCAGAGGGAAGAGGTGGAAGGGAGCGCCGCAAAGGCTTCATCATCACCCGTGTTCTCCCAGCGGTGTTGTAGCTGCCGTTGCTGTGGATCGTGCTCACTGCATCGCGCCGATGTCGCGGTGTCTTCGTCCTCGCCACGCGGATCGCGAGTGCTACTGAGGCCAGCCGAGGCGTGCGTTGAGTTGTGCTGGGAGAGCTGCGCATGTCCGGCCCCATCCTCGAAGCTTCGCACCTTTCCGGCTGGACACTGCAGCAGCGGCGACGAGGCGATAGAGTTGCCATGGCCTGTGTCGACGCTGCCGTTTCCAAACCCACCCGTCACATCACTCGCCGCCCCAGCCGTCGTCATGGTGCTGTTCATCTCGTCGATTGGTTCGTGCTGCCGCACCGTCCGCTCCGGCGGCGTGAAGTTGCGCATCATATACAAGTTCGCGTTGATGAAGTTGTAGAAGTTGTTCTCGCGGTCCACCACGTCCAGCCACTGGCGCAGCAGCATGTCGCTGTCGTCGATCTCCGCCACGGCTGCCTTGGCGCGGAAGAAAGTCTCCCGGACCATCTGCAGGTACGGAATGTTCGACAGCACACACGTAGACCACACGGGTCGGGTGAGGGCGTTGCTCAACCCCGCCTGCCGGCACATCGGACGGTACGACAGCAGCGTCACAAGCGTGGCGCGGTTGACGATCTTGTCGCCGACGGAGCCGTCGATGAAGCGGCAGCTGCGCATGACGGGCGGCGTGTACGGCAGCTGCTCCACGTACTGATCGGCAGCGGCTTCGTCCTCATGCTCGTACCCGCGCAGCCACGGCGTGCCGCGCGTGCGGGAGGGGAGAAGGCCGTCCATGCCGGCGATGCGCACCGGCGCGATGTTGATGATAAACTCCGCCTCGCCTTCCTCCTCGACCCGCTCCGTGTGGGAGGCCACCTCGAGATCGTTGTCGCTGCCTGGCGCGTCGTCGCTGTCGCTGCCGTGCGCCGCAGCCGCGACATCATCGTTGTGGCAACCGTTTTTCTTCTCTGCCTCGCGGGCGGCAGCAAACGCAGCCCAGGCCGCTCGTTGCGCCGCCGCGTCCTCGCTGTCGTCCGCCGTATTCGATGAAAGGCCCGCTCCGCTGGTGTTCTCGTGCAGTCGTTGCTGCTGCTGCTGCTGCTGCGCCAGTTCCTCTGCCCGCCGCAACTCGCGTCGCTGCAGTCGTGTTGCTTTCAACCGTCGCAGTTGTGTGTAGTCCATGCGCTGCTCGATGCGGGCCCCGCAACGCGCACACCGGCCGTAGCGCTTCGCCGGCGCCACCTCCGGTTCGTTATTCACGTTCGATGTCGTGCCCGAAGGAGAGGAAGAGAAGGGGGAGGAGGCCGCTGCCGCCGCCGCCGCCGCATGCTGTTTGCTGTTCGAGACGGACGTGTCGGGTTCTTCGCTGTAGACGACGTCGTGCAGGCAGCGGTCGAGTACGATCGGAGTGCTGGTCGGCGTGTCCGCCGCCTTCACACCTGCCGCGGCGGCATTGCTGGTCTTAGCCGCTGCGTCGTGGCGCCGCTTCTTTGGGAAGTACGCGAAGTGGTACAGCACACCGTGCTCCTCGACGAGGTGGACGCGGCCGTCGCGGTACTTTGGATCGTCCTCGAAGTGGTAGCGCCGCCGCTCGACCAGCGGCAAAGGAAGCGGCATGGGGCAGGCAACAAAGCACGTCGAGGAGGACGTCCGCGGCACGCCGAGTTGTGCGAGCGCCGCCGCGTCCATCATGGGCGGCGTCGAGCCGGGCTTCACGTCGTGGAGGTGCGGGGCGACGTAGGGGATGTTGTGCAGCTGGCAGTACTCCGCTCGCATCTCCTCCTCCTCCTCGGTCGTCATGCGGAGTGCGATGGCATGAGGGAGGGGATAGAGGAATTTCTTCGGTGGTGGGGGTAAGGAGGCGGTAGAGGGACCCGCACCCGCACCGTCCTCCTCATCGCCCTCGTGATGACTCCTCACCGCATCCGAAGAAACGCCTGCCGTGCTGCTGGTTTGATCCCCACCGTTCTTTGCCTTCTCCTCCGATGACGTTTTCTGCGGCGTGGCAGATTTGGAGAACTCCTGCGCCACCGCCGCACGCCATCGCTGCTCCGCCTCGAATAACTCGCACATCTCCGCATCCGTGTCCACGAGGGTGCCGGCGGTGGGCTCCTCGATCAGCATCTTATACAAACTCGCCGGGTCTTCAACGGAGTGCCGGAAGTGACGGCCGACCGACGGTGCCGCCGCACTCGCCGCCGCACCGCATTCTCGCATCTTCTCGTTGATCTCCTCGTCGTAGTAGTGCACGCTCGGGTCCGTCGCCTCCGCCTCCTCGCCCCAGTCCTCGTCCTGTGCCTCGCGGAACGCCTCCGCGACCTGCTTCGGCAGCACTGATGACACATCTTTCATGTCAAAGCAGTACAGCGCGGATTGGTTGTTCCGCGCGTGGAAGAGCTGCCGAAACGCGAGTCCGTCCGGCGCGGGGAAGAAGTGCGGTGTCATGGGAATGTGGAAGACAACGTGCGAGCCGCAGTTGGCGAAGAAGACGGTGGAGGGGTCCTCGTTGGACTCTCGACTTGGGAGGGCGCCCATCTTCGGTCTTCTTACTAAAAGAAAAGAAAAAAAAGAGAAGAAAATAACGTATGCGTCTTCTGCTCGTGTGAGGAGGTGAGAAGTGCCTTTACAAGACACGCACAGCTCACCACGCCTGTTACGTGTTGCCTAACAACTTGAGCAGCAGCAACCTCCAACTGAAAAACGAATACAGAAACCACCAATAAGAAGAGGATGAAGAAAGAAAGATCGGCGACCGTTGACCACGACAACAGACCAAAGCTGAGGAGCAAGAAATAGTTCGACAAGAAGAATTGAGGAGGGTAACCTGCAGAAGAGATACAAAAGAAAAACAGCAACAAACAGGCAAAGGAATTAACCAAGAAAAGACAAGAACAAAAAACGCCCACCGCAGCCAAAAAAAAAAAATACGGTAGAGCAGGAGTTACAACAATGTGAAACGAAAAAACTTATTAATGAAAGGAATACTAGTAAAAGCACCGCGATGGCTCTGAGAGACGGTGAGAGGTACTTTCTCTTTACCTCTCTTTCTCTTGTTCTTAAAGAACAAATTAAACGTGTGCGAAGAACTTCTTTATGCTCTTTAATATTATATTCGTTAACCTGCAGGAGAAAAAAACCACCTGCACCAAACACACACACACACACACACACACACACACACCGTGTGAGCAGACGAGGGAAGCCAAAAAAAGCTGTTGTGGCTCTCCAAACGTCCACGTAGGATAGCAGGAAGTAATACTAATAACAGTACTAATAGTGATAAAGAAAAAGAACACGAAGATCGGGAGAAGAAAGAAAAGGAAATGGTAAGAAAGCGATGTTAGCGCGACTCCTCACTTTCTTGTTCTCTCTTAACAGCGAGTCGATGAGGGAGTGTTGTGTGTGTGTGGGTGAGAGAGAGAAGAGAAAGAGGAAAAACAAAAACAGATAAAGCAACAACAGCGACTAACAAAATAAACGTGGAGTGGAAATCACTTAGCAGACGGGCAGGTGGGGGTATATAACTAAATAAATTTATATACAAAGAAGAAGAGGAGTACAACAATCCACACGCGACTGCAATACAAAACAACCGAAACACACACACACGCACGCACACCCGCAAAAGAAAAAAAAAGACAGAGATTGAGGGAGAAGAAAGTGTCACGCTTATCGCTTCACTGATATATATATATATATATATATATATATTTATATAGAAATACCCCACGCTAGTGTGAGCTTTGCTTTCTTTATTCTAGTGTTGAAGCACCAAGTACCGTCGTCAAGGTCAGCGCACCCCTCGCGAACGCGCTCGAGCGCGCCCTGTAGGTGAAGGGAGAGCAGCAGCAGCAGCACCAGCAGCAGCACCAGACGAGACAACAAACACACAGACAAACACACAGCAGATATTGCTGTCTTTTTTTTTATCTTCTGGATAAATACGGTGTAAGTGTGTACGTGAGAGAGCTTGTCGCGGTCCTGGTAGTGCGAGAGTCGGCGCTACGCAGTGTTGACATACACGCGTGCAGGGTGGCTATCGAAGAAACGACAGAAGAGGAATCCTCGCATCGGCGCATCCGTGGAGGAAAGAGGCAGCAAGGAAGGGAGGAGAAAGTATCGGATATGGAGAGACGATCACGTTTCCTGTCAAGGAAGGAAGGAAAAAAGAGTCTTTTCGTTGCCACCGCAGGCTAACTTCACGGTGGAGCGTATGTAGGCTTGTCCGCGCCATCGCTCAACGCTTTTTCTATTCGTTGGGAAGCAGCTCCTGCCCGCCCCTCCTCCTCCTCCTCTTCCTCTATCCGTGTGTCACAGTGCAGCCGAGGCACCCACACGACACATCAGATAGAGAATACGAGCCCTAGCAACAGCACCTCGTTTCCAATCTCACGAGAGCCGTGATGCTCCGCTGACGGTGGCCCCTGCAAGTCCCACCGCCCTCCCCCCCTCCTACCCCCGGAAGGAATTCCTCAAGTACAAGAGCGGGGGGAGCAACAAGAGCGAAGCCGAGAGGGGACGTGTACGTCGCTATGCGGAGAGCTTCGAGGTGAGTTTCCTTCCATATTCTCTATTTTTAATGCTCTTTTTTTAAACCAGATAACATCTCCCCAATTCGCAGAGCAGAGAGGCGTCAAAGCATCCTTGTTCTGCCACACTGCTCGATAACACCTACACACGCACACAACGGTATCGTCACACCCACCCGTACACACATACACACACACACACCTCCGCTCAGATATTTGAAGATATGTAAGCACCCTTGCAAACGAAGACATGCAACAAACCGCTGCTTGTTGGACAGCGAAAAGGAAAGGAAAAGAAAAAATAAGTAAAAAAGAACCCTTCAAATACCACTTCAACTCTCCTTCTATACGTACAATATGGGCGTCTTACTTCGCTGTCGCGAGACGGGCTCAACGGCACCTGCGACGACTACGCTAGGAAGGCTTTACCAAAGAAAAAACTGCTAAAAACACCAACACAGACACACACACACACTCATGACATCACCGAATTGAAGAAGAAGAAGGAAAAGAAAAAGAAGTCCTTCAAGGAGGATACGTTTTCTCTTTGTTATTTTGAAGGATCCACGTTACACCCAAAGAGTTTCACGACGACGGCGATCATGATGTGTACTACACAGCCGCGTACAAGCACGAGGTAAGAAGAAAAGAGAGAACAGTAAAATACGCTAAGGGAATACGAAAAAAAAAAAACATAACATCACTAAAAGAAGAAGAAGAACATTGGAGAGCGCTTCCACACACACACACACACACACACCAGCGTTGGGTAGCAGCAAACGACCACCACCACTACCCACTGCCACCACCCAACGGCCAACGCTGCGTAGACGCGCAGCGTCACACCGCCACCTCCCCACTACCCACCGAACGAAGAAGAAGGGGAAATCAATCAAACAAACAAAAAGAAACGGATACTTACTGAAATAAAGAACGAGAGGGAGATACAGGAGAAAACTATATATACAAAGAAGAGAGAAGGTTTAAAACAAAAAACGACAGCAGCAGCGAAAAGAAAAAACAACCACAGCGAGCGCACGCGATTGAGCCAACAAGTCCGCTAAATGTCTTTTGCCCTCCTGCCAATGATTTCGACAGCGAGATCGGCAGGACCTCCCCTTCTCCCACCTTCAATGAAACTCCCCCCCCCCCCCAGCAACACCGCATTCGCCGCACTTCAGGATTCATATATATATATATATATATGAGAAGGGAAAAGTAGAACAATAATAAAAAATAGTAACAAAGAAAACACGTTATTCAATTGAAGGCGCTCTTAAGCCCATATTTTTTTTTCATTTCCCTTCTCCGTTCTTTCCTTACTGCATGACGTACGGGTTGTGCGAGAAGCGAGACAGTAGCCCAGAGCTGCTGCTCATCTCGGGCGACCTGCCTTCTTCGTAGCTGTCTCCGCTGCGCTGGAGCTGCAGCTGCATCGCAGTCTCTGAGCCAAAGTGCGGCGACAAATGCTGTTGCTGCGGCGGCGGCGATGTAGGGGACTGCTGGGTGTTGTACGACAGCGTGGGAGACCCCGACCCCTGTTGACGCTGTTGCGGTGTGTGCCTCTGTGGTGGGAAGAGCAGGTGCTGACGCTGCTGGGGTCCGGGAGAGGAGCGGAGGAGTGTGCCGCTCGCGTTGGCAGACGCGACCTGCTGCTGCTGCTGCTGCTGCTGCTGCTGAGGACCAGAGGGGAAGTACGAGCTGTTCGGGGCGGGGGAAGGCGGAACACTGTGCTGTTGCTGCTGCTGACGAGGGCCGTTCGCCGGACCTGACATAGGAGGATAGATACCCGACGGCCCACCTCCGCCCGAAGCATCTCGTGAAAACGTAGAAGAGCTTCCAGTTGGCGTGGCCAAACGATGCTGTGACTGCTGCTGCTGCTGCTGCTGCACACTCACGTTACTGCCCGTACGCGTAGCAACGGCATCTTGCGGAAGCTGCGACGAAGTAGACGCCCCGTACCTGTAGGGGTTATTGCTGTTGCTGCTGGCAACGTGTGGTGGTGGTGGTGGTGGTAGGTGCTGTTGTTGTGGTGGCTGCGGTGGTGACGATGGCTGCTCCTGCGGCGCATAGGAGAGCGCGGGCGAGGCGGTGACAGACTTGCTGTAAGGGTTATTGCCGTGTGCCGGGGTGTGATGGGGAGGGTTGCTGAGCGGTGCTGGGTAAGGCACCTGGGGCTGTGATGGCGGTGGTGGCGGTGGTGGCGCACTGGGGTGGCCGTAGGCGTTACTCGTCCCTGTCATGCCAGCGTTACCGGCAGATCCTCCGTGTTGCTGCTGCTGCTGTTGCTGAAGCTGAGGGGGCGGTAATGGAGTCGGCGCGTACGAAGAGTTATGCGACGGTGGGGAATTCATCTGCTGCTGCTGCGGGTATTGCTGTGGGTAAGGCGAGCTCATTGTACGGGGATTCGGATTGTTGGTATTGCTGCTATTGCTGTGGTGCACACCTCCCGCCGCGTTGTAGGCGTCATGCCCGTAGCCCGCCTCGCGTGTCGGCGTCGGATAAGGACCGGGCAGCTGCTGATGTTGTTGCATGGAACTTGCACGGTTGCTCGCGGTGTTGGACACGGGGCCCCACGCCGGATAGGCGTTGTTGTTATTGCCGCTGCCGCTGCGGCCAGTCCCGCCCGCGTTCATCGGCGCCTGTGACGGGTAGGGGTTCCCCGGCGGCACGGGATGCGGTCCCCTGCTGCCGACCGGTCCGCTGGGACGTGCGCTACTGGATTGGATCGCCGGGTTCGGTGTGGGCGCGTTGCTGCTGCTGCTGCCGCCGTTGTTGCTGTTGTAGGACATCGGCAATGGCGGACTGCCCCAGCCCCCGCCCGCCGCGTTATTCGGCGGTGACGAAGGCGATGGCGCACCGGGGAAGCCCCCGACGTTGCTGTTGCTGTTGCTGCTGTTGTCGTACATCCCTGCATCGCCTCCTCCGCGGTGACCGGGCGGCACATTTGGATTTCCGTACGCGTTCGGCGACGGCGTTGTTGCTGCTATGGCGGTGGACGTGCCAAGGTTGCCCAACGGCTGCCGAGGTGGGTAGGACGGGTTAGCGGGTCCGCCCATCGGCGGTGGTGGCGGAGGACCCGCCATGACGCTCGCACTCCCACTCCGTGTCGACGGCGGAGGGGGCATGGCGGGGGACGTACGCATCTGCTGCTGCTGTTGCTTCTGCTGTGGGCCAGCCGAAGACGCCATCCCCGCGTCGACGTACATCGCACCGGTGAGGTGTCCCCCGTTAGGCCCAGCGTTGTACGCCGGTTGAGATGTCTGCTGCTGCTGTGTGTGTTGGACGGCATGCCGTGCCATCGGCTGCGGCGGTGCGGAGTAAAAGCTGCTGCTGCTCCCGCCGCTTCCGTGCGCGGGCCGCTGGGAGGACGGCGGAGGCGGCGGCGGAGGCATCTGCTGCTGTTGCTGCTGTTGCTGCAACGGTGGCGGCGGAAGCGACACATCAGGGTAGTAAGAGGAGTGGAAAGACGGGTTTGGTGTGGAGTGGGCAGAGGGATCGGCATACACGCCCTGCACACCAGCGCTCACACCACCACCCATCATGTTGCTGTTGCTGTTGTTGGTATGAGGCCTCGCGTTCATCGACATGGGCGGCGGTGGTGGTGGCGGAACATCTGTCATTGACGGCATCGACTGCTGCTGTGGGGGAAGAGGCGAGACGCTCTCACCGCGCGGACCCGGCCCGGACATCATGTTCATCTGCGGTTGTAGACCGTAGGGTGATGGCTGCTGTTGCTGCTGCTGTTGCTGCTGACGCTGGGCTTGCGGATTGTACGGCGGGTAGCCTTGCGGACCCATCTGCGGAAGTGGTCCTTGCTGCTGCTGCTGCTGAACACGACGTGACTGTGGCAGCTGGGAGGTACGGTGTATGTTCACCGTGTTGGTGTTCATGTACGCCGTCGGGGGATGGAGATGCTGCTGCGGCTGCTGCTGTTGCTGCTGCTGCTGGGACGGCGGAGGATTCATATACCCACGCGCGCCGTCGAAATTACCCCCTGCAATCGGCGGCGGCGGTGGCGGCGGGGGAGGGCTTTGGTCACCGGCGGAGTCGCGTGACGCGTACCATTCGTTCTCATTGCTGTTGCTTGCAAAGTTCATGCTGGGTCCTCCGCGCTGCGGAGGGTATTGCTGATTCTGTTGCTGCTGCTGTTGCTGTGGACGGGAACCGCCAGCGAGCATGGCACGTCCTCGACGATTGCCACTCATCATTGCGTTTCCACTCGCCGGTGCGTAGTCGAGCTGCTGGTGCTGTGGCATCCGCTGTTGCGCAGCGGGAGGCGGTGGAAGGGAGGACATGTCTTGATGAGACACCGGTACCACCACCGGCTGCCGTCCGCCCCACACCCGCGTGCCGTCGCTCGACGAGGAAGACGGAGAATGGAACGATGCATCCGCTGCCGCCGCCGCCGCCGCAGCGCCAGCGCCAGTGCTTTTCGATGCCGTGGATTGAAGCGGCGCAGAGACGACACGCGGGGGAAACGCATGACCACCACCACCACCGCCGCCTCTTGTTGTTGCGGCTGTCGCACCTTGTCCAGGTCCTGCAGTCCCGACAGCCAGCGTTGACGAGAACCCTTCCGACTCCTTCACGGCCGAGGCGGCCGCGACGGCCAAAAAGGCTGACACCTTCGACGGTTGTTTCGGACCCGCACGCCCCTGCCGCACGGCGCTGCTGGTGTTGCTGCTATTGCTGATAGACGCCGCCGCCGTCGTCGTCGGCGTAGTACCAGTAGCCGTGGCGACGGCCGCAGTGCTGGCCATACCACCCCCGGCAACAGCGGCATTCGTGGGGCTCCTCCCGCCGTTGCCGTCGCCGGCCCGCAACGCACGTCGGCTGCTGCCCGGGCTGCTCATGTTACTGCTGCCACCTTGGGAGCATTGGGCCTGCGAGTCTGGCATTGACAGGACGAGCGGCGCATAGGTCTGCACGTGGCAGCCGCTGCAGCTGTTCTCGCCGAAGTCGTTCCCGCCCAACTCATCCCCGCCCATGTTGGCATTCCCACCCGCCCCTCCGACACCACCGCCGCTGTGACGCAGGTGCTGGTTCTGCGGCGTGCACGTGGTCAGCGACTGCGACTGCGACTGCGAGCTGCGTGCGCTGCGGGCGCCGGGGGAGTTGTTGTTTCGGTTCCGTCCGCTGCTGTTCCCGCCGTTGGCGTAGCTGTTGTGGCGCCCACCGGCGGTCAGACGGCGGAGCTCGTGGGCGCTGACAGTACTCATGCTCGGCGAGAGGGGCGTAGCAGACGAGGTACCGATGCTGCTGCCTCCGCCGTGTCGTCGGCGATGCCCGCTCACGGCCGCCGTGCCGGAGTGAGTGTGCGGCATCTTGTCATTGCTGTGCCGCTTCGTCTTCTTCTCCTTGGCAAACTTCGGAATCAAGCCGTAGAAATAGCGCTGATCGTCGTGCTCAAAGCCCCAGATGTAGTAGCGGCCCTCCTGCACAATGTGGCCGTCGCTGTCGCGCAGCCATCCCGGGTCCTGCCGGTTGCGCGTTGTGGCGCTCTGCAGACGCCGCTTGATCCAGCACAGCAAAATGTCTTCCTGATGGATGTCCTCCTCGTCCTCGTCGCTCAGTTCGTCGGCGACAACTTTGCCGGCCACCGTCACACCCGGCACAGAAACCACCGCCGCCGGCGCCGCCGCCGTGGTGGTGGTGGTGGACGGCCCCTTCTGCGCACCGCCGGCCTGCTGCTGCTGCTGCTGCTGCGGCGGCGCTTCTTTGGCGTCTTCGCTATTGCTGTTGCTGTTGTGCAGCTTCATCTGCTTCTGCAGTGCCCGCTGCGCGCGACGTCGGGCCAGCTGCTGGCGGTGGAAGTACTCGAAGTGCTCCCAGCGGCCGGCGTGAACGTTATACACGACCATGTCGCCGTCCACGAAGAGGCCGTCCTCGTAAAGGTATTGATGCGGCGCGAAGACCGGCTGCGGACCTGCGCCGTCCTCGCCGCAGCACGTGCACCGCGTCACGGTGGTGGCCGCACCGTCGGCAGCCGCCGGATCGCACATGGACAGCAGCTCCACATCTGTTAAGTCCACCGTGGCCGGGTGGTCAGCCTCGTCGATCGACTGTCCATCTGGGCCGTGCATAATGCGCCGGTAGTGCTTCAACGACGGCCCGGCCGCCCAGGCGGAGGGCTGGACGATTGTGTAGACCAAATACGGTGGCGCTGCCGTGTCTTCGTGCTCTTTCGCAAACTTGTGCCCGCCCGGCCTGGCATTGGGGCTTCCTCCCTCTTCCTCCGTCCCCTTGCCCAAACCCGCTGTGGTGGTGGCGGTGGTCGTCGTCTTGGTCGTGCCATCGGCGCTGCCGCTGTTGTTGTTTGTCTGCTTCGCGAGGTGGCGCAGCTGCACACGCCGCTGGTGATCGCGGATAAGCTGATCCACGTTCTTGGGCGGTGGCAAGACCTGCTGCATCGCGTCTCCTGTTGCTGTTTCTTGACTCCTCAGCAGATGCAGCCGGACTGCACCGCCGTAGTCGTACATGTGTAACTCTAGCGGCTTCATAAAGAGCGAAGTGGACACCGGCGCTGTCGCCTCCGCAATGAGGTGAAAGAAGGAGCGCTGCGACTCGGTGCGCACGCGGGAGAGGCATTGGTTGCCACGGATGGTGAGCTGCGTGTAAAACTCAATCGGCCGACGGGGGAAGCGCAAACTGCGCTGCGCGACGGGCTGCGAGGCGCGCGTGGGCAGCGTGTAGGGCTCGTTGTTATCAGGCAACAGCAGCGGATGCAGCGAGCTCGGGGACCCAGATCCCCCGCCCGGACGCGTCTTCTCGCCATCCTCTTCCTCCTCGCCGTCATTGCTGTCTTCCGCAGCGGCGGCGCGCGCAGCCTCCGCCTCTTCTTCTGCCGCTGCCTGCAGCAGCCGCGCCTGCGAGGCCCGCTCCAAGTAGGGCAGAATATCCGAGAAGCCGTAGATGTACGACTGTAGGTCGTTCTCCGTTCCCTTGATCATGTCACGCAGACCTTGGAAGCCGAGCTGCACCTCGGCAGCGGCGGCCCGCATGCGGAAGCGCATCTCGCGAGAGATCTGCAGCAACGGAATGTTCGACAGCAGCCCGAGTGTCCAAAACGGCCGCGTCAGCGTCTCGGGCAGACCGGCGTCGAGGCACACGTTGCGGAAGACTTGAAAGCCCAGCAGAAACGCGCGGCTCAGGATTTTGTCGCCGATGTTGGCGTCGATGAAGCCACCGCCGGACATGACGGGTGGACGGACGGGCAGCGATTCAACGTACGCGTCTTCCTCCGGGTCGTCGTCGGTGCCGCGCAGCCACGGCGTGCCGCGACAGCTGGACTCGGTGTAGCCGTTGCACCCCACCACCCGCACGGGGCAGATCGGCAGAATGAAAGGCGATGCGGTGAAGAGCTGCAGCTGATTGACCTCGCGGGGGCGCTCCGTCGGCGAGGTCGCGGCGGTACTCTCGGAGCCGGCGCTGGTGCTGGTCTGGCGGGCCTGCCTTTCGCGCTGACCGCGCCGATCGCGCGCCGAAGGAGCACCCGCCTCGTCGTCGTCCTCCGATTCGTCGTCGTCGTCCGTCGCGGACTCCGGCCGGTTTTGTGGCCGGTGCGTCTCCGCCTCATCGACGAAGACAACGGTCTCCTGCTGACGCTCCCGGGGTCCGCCACCGCCACCGCCACCCTGCGGACACAGGGCCGTGTCATCGTCGTCATCTTCCTCCTCGGAGTTCCCCTTCGCCCCGGCCGTGGCGGCCGCCGCAACAGTGGTACTCTTCTTGATACTGCGGTCTGCCGCAGCTGACCTCTTCGAGCCTTCCACCGTGGCGTTCTCCGGGTCCTCCGAGCCGAAAGCGTCGACGATGTGGTAGAACGAGGATGTCTGCCGGCTTCCCCCGCCCCGCATACCGCCGGTCGTCGCGTCCGGCTCCTCCCCCTCGTCGTCATCGCCGGCCGCCGAGGAGGAGGGCGTGGTGTGCTGGCCAGCCGGGTCGGTCGGTTTCCGCCTCGCCTGCTCGTCGCGGCGCTGCCGCCGCTCCTTCGCCTTCTGCCGCGGGTCGACGTAGGCGGTGTTGTAGGCAAATATGTAGAGCACGCCATCTTCTTCCACCAGGTGGATGCGGCCGTCCTTGTAGCGGTCGTCCTCCTCGAAGCGGTGCTTCCGGCCGGTGGGCTCCAGCAGGTGCGAGGCCGAGGACGGCGTCGGTGACTGCTGCGTGAGGGTGTTCAACAAGGGCGAGACGCTGCCGGAGACGGGCGAGCGGGAGCCGGCGGACATCGTCTCGTCATCGAAGTTCGCCCCGGCAGCGTGCCGTCTCTGCTTGCGCTGCTGCTCGGCGAGGTATTTGGCGCGTGTCGCCTCCTCCTCGTCGCGGTGGATGCGGACGACGATGACTTGGGGGGCGGGACGGAGGAAGATGCGAGGCGGCGGCACCTTCGCCGCCTCCTCGGCTTCTTCTTTGGTAACACGGCGCTGCGACGCCGCGGAGGCGCTCTTGGCGGTGTCTTTCCTGTTGCCGCTATCGTGCGCCGCTGCTGCTTTTGCTGCTTTATCTTTTCCTTTCCCCTCCTCTTTCTCTTCCTTGCACTGATGACGGTACGCACGGACCACCTGCCGCGCCTCCTTCCAGCGCGTCTCCGCTGCGTAGATCTCGCACATCTCCTTATTCGTGTCGACCAGGAAACCTCGATTTGGCTCCACCACCAGCGCGCTATAGAGGGCCTCTGGACTACGGCTGAAGAACTTGTCCACGTACGCGCGCTCGTGATCGGCGAACTCGGCCGCCGCCTCGGGGGTGATGTCAAAGTCAAAGGAAATGTTTCGGGGATGCTGATAGGAGGGCGGCGACGGCGAAGAAGGCGTGCCTTCGCCCTGCTGCTGCTGTGATGGCGGACCAGCATTACTACTACTCCTGTAGTTCTGCCCCTCTGCCACGGATCTCGCGGCGGAGTAGGGCGTGGTGCGGAGCCCCAATTCTTGGTTCTCCATCTGCAGGTATTGCCGCGCCGCGTCATGGGTGCGCCAGTGCGCGGACGGGTTCGGGTGCTGCAGCTCACCGCAGAGTTCCTCCTCGTGATGCGGGAAGGGCCACTCGGACTCGTCCGGCGAAATACACCGCGTGTCGTTGCCGTAGAACTGCCCGAAGTTGCCAGCGTTGATGTCGTCCACCTCCACCCACGTCGTCCTCGCCTTGTCGGCATCTATGTCCTGATCCGCCACGCTCGCATCGCTACCGTTGTCATCGCCGTCTTCGCCGTGGTGTTCTTGTGGATGCGCAGGGCTGTCTGCGCCTGGTTTACGCGCCAGGAACGGCCGCGGCTTCCACAAGTCCTTCGGCGGTGTCACCGCTTCCCCGCCGTTGGCCGCCTTCGCCCGCAGCTGCTCCATCGCCCGCTCGCGGTACTTCGCGATGATCTGCGGTGACACGAGAGAGAAGTTGTACTTCGCCGACTGCATGTCGCGGCACGCGTAGAGCTGCCGAAACGCGAGAGAGTCGACGGAGGGAAAGAAGTGCTCCGTTAGGGGGAGAATCGCCATGGCGTGGCAGCCGCTCTGCGCGAAGTGGAAGGCGCCAGGGTACTCATGGCTCTCCTTACTAGGTAAAATGCCCATGATTCACGAGAGAGGGGGAGAGAGAGAGAGCCCAAAATGAAGTCGACAGCAAACAACCAATAAAAAAAACCCACAGCAAAGAAAGGATAAAAAAGGGAGAGAAAGAAAGGAAGCGGAGAAAGGTAATGTATTTTTTGTTTTAACAAGATTATTTCTCTTCTTCTTTCCTTCCTGCTGCGTCGACGTAGAGCGTGTGCGCGCTTCTGTGGCGTGACAAAAACGGCCCTCAAAAAAGAAAAGAAAATCAAGTATATGTAGACCAACGTGTGAATACAGTCACAAAGAAACAAACAAACAAACAAAAAAAGGCACTGACAAAAAAAAAAAGCAGAACGAGTAACGACCAGTTCAACGCCTTTTCCCCCTTTCTCCTTTCTGCTTCTGCTTTTCTCTGTTATTTTTCTAATCCCTCCCTCCTCTTCGTTTCTCCGGGTTAGATATATAGGATATCTTCCGTACCCTCTGTCACTCGCGCCCGCTCTGATGCGTGAAAGACATCCAAACAAGAACGATCCCACACGCGCGCTGACGGTGCTATCTTCGCGCTGTGGGTGCCGAAGCCGTCGAGCGCTGCAGAAAACCACACAGACAGACAGAGACAAAGCAAAACAGCAAAGAGAAAAGTAAAACAAGGAAGAAGAGGAAGAGTAGAAACAAGACTAATCAAACAGAGAACACACGCTATAAAACAACAGAAAAAAAGGACGAGCTGCGTCGATGTCTGACGTCGCAACCAGCTTTCTTTCTCTCTTTCTCCTGCTTTTCTTTGTTATTTTCAGAAAAAAAAACAAAAGATAATAGTGGTCGCTGTCTTTCCTTTCCGTTGTTGTAATGTGTCGGCCGTTCTAGAATTCTCTGCAGAGCTTTCTCTCCAAATCACAACAAAAATCAACAGGTAAATAATAATGCGTACTGCGTGTGTGTTTGACAGCGCGCGAATGATGTGTAAGAAGAAGAAGAGGAAGAGAAGGGGAGATGAACGAGAAGGAGAAGAACAAAAGAACCACAGCAGCGAAGCGGAAATGTGGGAGTGGCAGCGCACCACCGCCCGCATACACCGCCACAATCTTTGAAGGACCTAGATGAACGCAGCCGAGCGAACACCCTCCCCCCTCCAATATATATATATCTTTGACTACGCAGATTCTATCTTCTGTGAGTTTCCTCCTTCGCCCCGGCTGTTTCGTTCCATCGACTTCTCCTGTCCCCTCCCCCCCCCCCCAACGCGCAAGAGCTGATGGTGGTGTGTCGGGAGAGGGCAGAGAGAGTGAGAGGCGACGAAGGCCTTCTTCATTATTGTCGTCGTCTTGTGTCTTTCCTTTCGTTAGCGTCCACCACGCATACACACACACACACACACACGTAGCCCTCCCCACAAACAAGCATAAGCACACTGAAAAAGAGAAGAAAAAGGAAGCGGAATCAAAGACAAGCAACAGCGAAGATAATAATAATTATCATAATAGTCATGATACATACAAATTCAAAAAGAAAAGAAAAGGAAGGGAACTGAGTATGCTGGAATCACCACATCGACTCTGCGTGAGCAGAGGGTGGTGGTGGTGGTGGTGGTGGTGGTGGTGGTGGTGGTACTGTGCGCCGTTGCCGTCTCCCCCCACACACAGACACACTCCAAGGTTTTCCATTGGCTACCATTTCATCACGGCGCGGTCTACGCACACAAAGGGAAAAAAGAAGAGGCAGAAAGGAGGGGGGTGCAGTGCGGCGGCAGTCCGAGAAGATAATAGAGAAGTAAATGATGATTACAGCAGCAGCGACAACAAGCCACCTCCCCTCAAAGAACTAGTCTACGTAAGTTGGTTTTTTTTTTTTTTGATTTCGCTCAGGATGAATAACGGCGACGCGTCCGCAGCGGGCCAGCCGAATTCGATCGATTCCCGTTACCCACGTCGCTTGCCTCCGCCTCTCCCTCGCTGCCCACCACAGGACTGCGGTTGCCGTTCGCCTCGACTTCTTTTCTTCGGCGGCGCTGATCGGACTCCTTGAAGTGGCACTGCACCGCGACGTAGAGCACCAATAGAATGAGAAAGAACGCGACGATCATGATTAGGAAGCCGACCCACCAGTACTGAGTGAAAAAAGGTACGTTGACGGTGTAGCTGCGACGTACATAGTCGGTCGGGGTGGGCGTGACAACGGTGGCGGCGGCGGCGGTGCGCATGGCGGCGACCGCGGCGAGGAGCGACAGCAGCGCGGTGGTGGCTCGAGGGGACATGATTGATGCGGGGCGTAAAAAAGCAGGAGACAGCAAAGTTGAGCGTTGTGAGGTTGTATAAACCCTCGTTTGGCCTTTTCTTGTTGTTATGGCGGGTGGTGCTGCTGAGCGGTGATGCACAAGCGCGGCGCAGGCGGACCACGCCGAACGATGAAAAGCACGAGGGGGTGAGAGGGGGGGGGGGGAGAGTCAACCGCGAAGAAAAGGTCTGAGTGGAATATGTGAGGTAGTCGTCACCGATGAGCGAACTTGAAGTTCCGCAAAAGGAATTCTTTTGTAGAACAATACTTTTTTTTTGAATCGAAGTCCGCCACGGAGCCGCGTAGAAGTCCCAACGCACCCCACCATCCGTATTACCCCCCGATATGTATATCGGTAAAGGCTGTTTTGGAACTGTTGGTGCGGCGATGTAGAACACTGCCTAACGAGCGTGTAGTTGCAGGCGTGTAACAGGGGCTGCTTCGTTGTCCTGCATCGCGTGCCAGTGTGACAAACCCGCGTCGCAGCGAAACCCTTTCCTTCGTCTCATTCCTTTTTTTCCTTTGTAGTCGAACGCAGCGTTGGAGAGCAACGCGTCTCCTTTCAATTCTTTTTTATTTTTGGCGTAATATACATATGTAAGATATACATATGGAGAAAACCAACACCCACACAACTTCGCTGTTGACACACACACACGCATACCCACACGCAGAGAGAAAGAGGACTTCTACGACATAATAATAATAACAGCTGAAACACGTATATCTAACAAGCACGAGTACCCAGGAAACAGAGGAAGAACTCCAGCAAAAACAACAGCCGCAGCCGCAGCCTCCATCCGCCGCCGTGAAGCTCACATATATTATTTTCTCTGATCGCCACAAATGTGCCGGGGGTGTTTTCCCCTCCGGCGTAGTCCTTCACGAGTGCTTAACTTCGGTTATCATAGAAAAAGAAAAGGAAACAACACACACACACAAGATACACATGCGCTACGAAGAGAAGTGGAAGAGATTGAAAGGAAGAGCATATATATAAAGATTCGAATGGAGCCCAACACCGCGGCATCCTCATACGAGCAGAGTGAAAAGGGGAATACAACCGAGAGGATTCAGTGGATGTATTTAACAGCCAGTTCTACAGCTATCAAACGACAAGAGCAGCAAAGAAACCTTCTTTCTTTTTTCAGATAGACTCGATGAGACACCAACAAAAACAAAAGCAGAAAAACGAAGAAGAAACAAAGAGGAAAACAAGTGTAGTGGTACCGTCAGGACAGCGACCTCCATCAGCATATATATATATATATATATATATCTGTGTAGCCCACATAGCCAAGGAGCAATAGTAAGGTCGTTTTGATAGCTTCACGATGACAGACGCTTTCTTCCTCTTTCTTTAATTATTTTGCAGGAAATTATATTAACAACCATAGTAGTAATACTGGCAAAAAACAAAAAACAAGCAACGAAGAAAAGAGGTGCGATGATGCACGTGCTGATCAATCGTCGGCCAGCTCCATTCGAAATAGGAGTTTATTATTATAGCAATTATCAGAAAAAAAACTATTATAAGCGTTTGATGAATCCAATACATCCGAAGAAGAAAACTGCGGCAGAAAGGAAAAAAGAGAAAGAACTACCTAACTAACCACATACACTCGCCCGCACACCTACGGACGGGTTCTCTTCGCTCACAGCAAAAGAAAACAACCGAAAGAAAGAAGAGGAAAAAGACGACGATATGAGTCGCAATCGAGGGGGTGTCACTAGATCACCACCTGCTCTCGCCATTTGAAATCAACAAGACTAGCAAAAAAAAAAAGAAAGAGAAGGCAAGAAGGAAAGCACGTACACGCAAACCAACACACGCGCTGCGGATTTCCCTTATGAAGACCGCGGTAGAGTAAGAGTAGAGGGAAAAAAAAGAACGAGAAAAAACAACGGCAACAGCTTCCGGTTAGTTTTCATATGCTGCAACGTGTGCGGGGCGGTGGCGATGGTTGGTGGGGGTGCGGCTTGCGGAACACACGCGCGTGGAGGAGCACAACGACTGAACCACCACAGCGCGCGCGCACACACACACACGCACACGCACGCGCAATACACAAAAGGAGGAGAGGAAGAAACCCTTGAAAAGAAAAAAAAAGAAAGGACGGGCATCAGCGAGATGGCAGCGCCAAATACACGCTGCCGCAACACCAACAGCGAATCGTAAAAGAAGAGCAAAGGATAAAAACCAAAAAACAAAGGAAGAGAGGACACGCGCGGCGAAATATATAATATGACAACAGCATAGCGATTGAATATACAAAATAAATCAGCAAGAAGACACCCACCCTGCACGCACACGCGGTCGTATGCATGCGTGCATGTGTTGACGCGCGTGTGCGTGTGTGTGTGTGTGTATGCGTGCGTGAAAAATATATATAAAAAGGAAAACAAACAAGCCAGACATAAAACAAGAGGAACAACAAAAACAGGATGTGCTGCATTGGAGGGAAGAGGGAACACAGAAACAAACAAAAAAGAATATATGAGTATAATACGACAGTACTTGACAGGATGCGGTGCAACCGGCAACCTGGACCGCAGCAGCCGACGTTGCGTACTTCACTCCCAACAGAGCAAGGAAAAACAAAGCACCAAACAAAAAAACACGGTGATGAAAAGATATCGAAAAGTATAAGAAAGAAAACACACACACGCGGATAATGAACAACAACGGCAAAGCCATAATAATAACAACAATAGTAACAATTAATAAAGCTTAATACTGCGTAGAAGACGTGTTGGAACACACATACAGGAAAGAAGAAGAAGAAGGGAGAGAAGAGAGGCACGTGATCCATTGCATTCGTGCAGGTAAAGGAAACATGCCCAGTGCTCCTAGAGCAGGTGTGTGTGGTACCGACTCGATCGTTCACACGAACTGCATAAGACACCTACCGAAAGAAAGAAAAACACACACATACGACAACAACAACAACAACAGATAAATAGTACCTCATTCAAGAGGCATCCATCCGCTGCGCGAAGAAGCGAGAAATGACAGGAACAAAAAGGGATGAAGAGCGTCAATTTGCGGAGACCCTGTAAAATGCAGTTCGGCTGTTGATGAAAGGAGAGGACACAACACAACAGCAGACAACAACACAGCACTGAAGCAACGAAAGCATGTTAGGGACTACATTCACTGGTCACACGTTGCACGTGCTTCTATACACCAGACATCTTCTTTCTTAAAATAGAAATCGCATCTGTTCGCTGACTTGCTTTACCCCAATTTTTTGTCTTAGCTATTGTTCAGCCAGGTGAGATACTATATCTCTGCTTAGAAAAGAAAAAAAAACAAACCAAACCAAACAAGACATGGAATCACCAACGCTGCGGCGCTGAGACGAACGCGTGCGCTGCAAAAAGTAAGAAAAAATCGAAGAAGAGGCGACACAACAACACCAACAATCATTGGGGGCTGCCTGTTTGAGAGAACCGTCCGTGATCTGCGTGAAAACGAGGCGAGTAATCCCACCACACACACACACGTACCCAAGCAAATATATATATATATATATATACATCTACACAACGGAGTTTGCCATGTTTTTAACATTATAATAAAAAATTCAGGCAAAGGAGCCAGCAAACGAGAAACAGCAGTTCTACAACCCAAAAACAACATATGAAATTATTTTTGTCTGCAATAACACGTTTAGTCCTCTTTCCGCTCTTCTTTTTGCTTTAATACATGTACTTTCTGAATTATCACGATTGTTTGTGTGAGCCGTCCATATTACCCGCCGCGCTCCACGACAGAACCCTCCATCCTTTGTCCGCAACGTCAACACCAAAGAAGGGGAGATGCACGAGCAACCACCTCCCCCTCCCCCCTCCCCTCCCCACAAAAAAGAAAACGACATCACGAAATGAGAAACACCACACCGCTACTGACATCTCGCACTGCGAGCAGAAGAGAAATAACAATAATCATAATAGTAAGAGAGACTATCATGGCTGTCGTCTGCCTACGAGGTCCACGAAGGGAAAAGCGCATCCATGTCGCACGTTATCGCCTCCACGGAGGGGCTCCCTCTGCAGCTGCCGGTCAGCGACGCACGACGCTCTTTTTTTGGGTTTTGTTTCCTAGTCGATACGGACTCCACATGGATGCACGGGCGTGCTCAGCCCACGGGCGCCGTCTTTTGAATGACGGCCATCGCTGTTGTTGTAGCTGCTGGCGTTTGCTTCTTCTCCTTCCGCCTCTGGCTCGTCGCTTCGCGTGGAGGGCGAAAGCTCATGCGTCGTCAGCTCAAGCGACAGCGATGCCGTCAGCGGGGTCGCGCCCAGGCTGCTCATCGCGCTCTCCTCCGCGCTGTTCGAAGTGGTGTTCATGGCGGTGGTTGTCGTCGCGGTGAAGGTGAGAGACTTGTCCGTCGCCAAAACAAAGGCATCAGTAAGGATGGCGACGGCGGCGGCGGCTGTGGTGGCTGTGGTCGGCAACACCGTCGGCGAGTCCGTCGCCTGCTGTGGAGGAGAGGATCGACGAGTGAGAGGTAGCACCCACTCTAGCAACGCTGTCGCGCGTGCCTCGTCCGTCTTGTTCCGGTCCGTGCTCTTGCTGCTGTCGCCGTTGCGACTCTGCTCCTTCGGGTGCTTTGCAGCGGCAACACTCACAGCGGCAGCGTGGTGTTTACAGGGTGGCGGTGAGGCGATCGCCTTCACCTCGGTGGCGTCACCTTCTTCCTCTCCATTCTCATGATGTACTAGGGAATTGGCATGCACTCCCGAGGCGGTTGGTATTCGACGCGGCGAGGACGGCAACAGCGCGTTGGTCGAGATTGAACTGCGTGATACGTCCTCTGCTGCCATCTCCACCCACGGAACACAGAGAGGGGAGTTGTCAACAGCTTTTTCGTCTTCTCCCACACAGGGTTGATCCGGCGAACTCGGTCCACGACACCGGTAGTGTGAGACACTCAGCAGCCCGCTCCCCTGCCGCTGCGCGGTGCCCACATGGGTGGTTGTCTCGCCCTCGCAGGAGTTGACGAAGGTGGAGGGCCCGCGCATGTCGATCGACTCATTCACCACGACTACCTCTAACGGCGGTGATGGGAGGCGCGGATTGTCGGTTGCCATCGTCGTCTCTGTTGTTGCTGTTGAATGAGGAGAAGAACCGGCAAACGAAGCGGAAGGCGCGAGGGTCGTTCCGTGATGCCGCTGCATGACAGCGCCTTTTCTCTCGTCGCCGTGTTCTGCCTCGTTGTCCGCCTCATACGCGAGACCCATATCGATCAGCGCCACATCCCACGCTCCTCTCTCCTCCGCCTCCACCTCCTTCCTCTTCTTATCGTTGTCGTCATCGCTGCTGCTCCGCTCCGATTCCGTCTTTGTATGCGTCACGCTCGCGCGTGAGGTTGACGACGACAGCGATGCTGCCAGCGTGGTCCGGCTGGCTGCCGTGGTGTGAAGGGCAGGCGCGAGGGGACTGTCACAGACATGTAACGCCTGACCAAAGACATCCCCTAGTGGTGTTCTGAAGACCGCTTCCGCCGCCTCCCGCTCTTGCGGGCCACGCCCACCTTCTTCAGAAGAGGTGATATGAGCAGCGCCGAAAGACGGCAGTGGTGAGGTCAAGCTGCGGTGGTGATGACGATGACGATGATGCTGCGGCTTCAAGAAGGACTCGGTACGGCAGTGGTGCCGTGAAGTCTCAGCGCGGTTCTCGTCCAGCGGTGGGGGCGTCGGCCGCACCAGCCGCAGCGCGCAGGCGACCGCGGCCGCCTCGGCACCACCGCAGCGCGGACTTCGTCTTCTTCCACCACCCGACTTCTCGGATCGCCGCGGCGCCGGTTGCGACTGCATTGCGGCATCGCTGGCGCTGCTGCCGTTGCTGCCTCGAGCCCTCCCGCTTGACCACCGCCGTGTCGCGCCGCTGCTGCGAAGGACGTCGTCCCTCGCGCTTCCGCGTTCACCGTCTTCGTTGCCGTCGCCGTCCGCTTCGCTGGCGAGGCTCGCGGTATCGTCGTCGCTGCGGGACTGCACGAGGCTTGAGAGCGTGCGAAAAGCTTCCAGGCTCCGTCGGACAGCGCGACCGGCGTCGAGCTGGTAGTGATGACCCATGCGACTCAACGAGAAAACAGGCGGACTTACGTTTCCGGCCCTGTGTGGCGCATAACCCAAGTCGGCCCCCCTCTCTTTCTCGAGGAGGTCTGCCGTGACCGCCGCCTGCAGTTTATTGAGCTGCATCGTCCGTCGACGCTGGAGAACCGCAAGGAGGACGGTAGAGATGCCGAGCACGTAAATCGCAAGCACCACCATCACCGATGCAGTCCCGACAGAGGTCGAGGTGACATAGAGAGAGGTGTTCGTTGCTGCTGCTGCTGCGGCGGCGGCGACGGGAGCGGGAACTTCCGAGAAGACGGAGGACGTCTGGTGCATAGTTCCTGTTCCGGTTCCTTTTATTCGTGTTCTTTTGTGAAGGAACTGGGGTAGGAGGTTCGAGCAGCGCCGCCGCCGTCTCGTCTGACTCGGTTGGCGTGTGCACGAGACGAAAGAAGGGGTGAGAAGACGAGAGACAGCGCCGAAGACAGACGTCCACGCGGGTGTATGTGTGTGTGTAGGTGTGAGAAAGATACTTAATGCCGGAAGAAAAAATAAAGGCCACAATTAGTAAGGAGTGAAGTATGAATGAATGAGGATGAAAACGAGTAGACAAAAACAGAAGGTTTGCAGACACACACACACACAGACAGACAGAGTCGACGCTTTGGCCTTTGAGAATAATAATATTATTCGGAATAATAATACTAGCAAAAAAAAGAAAAGAGTAGAATATGCTTGTACGGTGCGTGCGTGTGAAAGGAGAGGAGCGCGTTCGTTGGACGGGAATTCTATCTACCTAGACAACAAAAATACGTACATTAATATATATATATATATGCGTGTGTTATGCTATCCTTCTTATTATTCTTCTGCCGTTATATATTCCACGACGATAGCACGACGAAGGATCGCCCCGGGCGAAAAGGAAAACCGCACGCGTGAAGGCGGCAGCCGAGTGGAGGGGGGAGGGAGGGAGGGCATGTCAACGCCGTGCGTTCGAAAAAGCAATCCAAGAAAAGAAAAGAAGAAAGAGATATGGGAGAAGGAGATGAATGAAGCTGTGTGAGGAGCAGAAGAAGAAGAGGAAGAAGGCAACCCTCGCTGCGCTGAGCAGCGCGACGCGTGTGGCCTACTGCGCAAATCAACGTATGACCATCAGCGGAGAAGGCGCGGGACTGGCCGCAGGAGAGCTCGCCCTGCGCTGAAACACCGATGCTGCATCCCCGCAAGCGTGCAAGAGCATGCGAAGCAGAAAATAGTAATAAAACAAACAAGCAAAACAACCGCCGCTTCGGATTTAGAGAACGGGATCGTTTTCAGAGTGTACACGGTGGTTTGTTAATACGATGACGGTATTAGAATAAAGAAAAAACCCTCCTTTAAAAACCCATATGAGGCGCGAAGGCTCTCTTTGCTGTTATATATGCGTGGGCAGCGTGATGCTCGTTTGAGAAGGTCGCCGTTGGCAAAACGAGAGAAAAAGTGAAAAACACAGAGAAACATGGGGCACCACCACTCATGCGTTAAGAAAGGGATAGTCACACAGATACATGAATGGAGGAAAGAGGGAAGGAGGAGGGGAGAACAATAGAAGAAAGAGCAACCAAGTAAACACCGTAATATAATCGCAGCAGTGAAAAGCACAAAGTAATAATAAAAACAGAGGCAGCACACCCGTCCATCACCACTGAACAGCCCTGAAACGACAGCATCAACAAAGATACACACATGCATACTGAATGAGAAGAGAACCAAAATGGGAAAAGATGTGAGGAGGTGAGGGAGCTTATTTATCCTTTTCGCTCAGCAAGAAGAAAGAGAGGGAGCAATACTCACATGAGAAAACAAAAAAACAGTAAAAGAAAACAGGAGAAACGGCATCAAGGTGCGGCACCGTGCTAGCCTCCATCCCCACCCCCTCCTCTCCTCCTCCCCCCACAAATAATACGCGGATCTCCGATTCGACTAGGCGAACTCCTCGAGCTCTCGTCTTCTGCTTTCTTCGAAAAGAAATTGGAGGTAGAGAAAAAGGGCGATGGAGCTCCTCCTTCGAGTCACCACGCAACGGATAAGAGGAGGCGACAGAAATGAAGCGGCGTGCGACCGGAGAAGAAGAAGAGGTATAGCATTTAGATGTCAAGGTCAACACAAACACGTCCGATACCTTGCGGAGATGAAACGGCTAAAAGAGTAAAGAGGCAGTACAGATGTACATATATCAGCAACAACGAAAAGCTATGGAGTAAGGCTGAGGCACAGCAACCACCACCACCACCACCACCACCGAAAGAGTTGCAATGACCCAAGGAAATGGCATTGTACTTTGCACCGCAGCGCAACCACACCCCGCAAGTTCATTGCTGTAATCTTCACTTCAAGATGAAAACCACAACAGCAACAAACACACGCACCCTGTGGGAGCGGGTGCGCCGTGGAGAGGAGGGCAGGGAGGGAGGGAGGTGCTTGCGATGCGGTGGTCCATCGCATTGCTTCATCAAATGTCGGGGTTCGTTGATACCGCATATATATATATTCATACTTCTCTATACTGCAGAGCAGGCGGGGGGGGGGGGGGGTAAGCAACAGAACGTGAAAAAGGCCATAGAAAAACCACCACCGCAACAGCCAAAGAAGAGAGAATGCCGCCTTGCTCTGTCATCAAATCGCCCTCGCACTGCTGTTGATCCACACGTATATATATATACACACTAATTTGAAAAGCATGAGAGACCATCACCGCAAGAAGAAGAATCTTACTGTTTCCGTTGTACACATGAGAACTTAGAAGATAGAGAAGAAGGAGGAAAACAAAGAAATCCATCATCCACAAATCACTTTTACGCAGGAGGGGAATGGCTGGATTCAGGCACACTGCCTTTCTGCCGTGCGTGCATGCCCACCAGTATGAACAAATAGAGGAAGCGAGAAGAAAGAGAGGGAGGGGGGGGGGGAAACACCACGACACCACTGCAAGTGACACCAGAGGCAATAAAAAGACAGTTGCTGGAGACGGACGCTGATATCCACATACACACATATCCATCGCCTTCCTTCACAAGAGGACACCGACGTATTGCGCTGAAGACCGTTTTTGAGGCAGAGAAAGAGCGCGTTTCGAGTGCACAACGAGACCGGAAAGAAAAGTAAAAGAGGAAGTCGTGTCGTACAGGCACAAGCTCCAAAAGAGCATTGCGATGTTCAACAACACCAACAGAAAAGACGCGTCCGACGACTTCACTCCGTGCGAGACCCGCGAGCGGCCTTATTACAAATTAATATTTGCTGCTATCACCTTCTTCGTTTCCTTTTGCGGCTCGTCTCTCTTCATCCACCCTTACCTCAACTACGTTCTCACCCACTGTTACCGTTCTCGGCGGAGCGGGTTCATATCCACCACGCCGTCGTCCTCGTCCTCCTCTGACGAGCTGCGACTACCGTAATTATCGCTGTACGAGTCGTCGTAGGAGTCGTTGTAGGACCCCGACGCAGCGAAGCTGCGCGTGCGGCTGCCGCGGTCGGCCATCTCCGCCCTTGCGTGGTCCTCGTCCCGCGCACGGCGGTCCACGTAGCGGTCGATGTCGAAGAAACCTGTTGCCATGTAGGACTCGATCACCACCTTCTTCGCCTTGCGCTGATCACAGAACTCAAAGTGATAGCACACCCACATGGCGAGCAGGATGTAAGCTCCGAACACCACCAACACGATGATGATGATACCCACGTACCAGTGCGCAATGAAGAAGGTTTCAGGGGGCAGGGGATAGGCGTGGCGGACGTAGGGGATGGAGTTGTTCGGGTAGATAACGTTGCCGTTGATGGTCGGGGCAGGAGTGGTAATCCAGGTGGCGATGCTGCACTGCGTGGAGCTGCCGCTGGCGGTCGCAGAGCCCTGCGCCGCCGCGAAGAGCAAACCCGCGTGGGAAGAGGAGGCGGAGGTGGAAAACATGTAGGAGAAGCTCACCATGCAGAGCACGTACGCCACGCAGAGCAACGGAGCGGAGGACCGGCGGGACATCTTGGAGTGCGCAGAGGAGAGGAGAATGAATTGACAACAGAAACAACCACCACAAAAGCACACAGGAAGAAAAAGAAAGGGAAAAGGGGCTCGTGTGAGCGACGCACGGGATGGCTAGAATGATGCGCGTCCGTGGAGGGAACGATGAAGTTACAAGACGAGCGTCAGCGGCGCGAGGAAGAGAGCACGAATGGTCTTACCTTCTGCTTTGATTCGCCCTCTATTGCGAACAAGCAACAGCGTTCTCGCTGGCGGGATTGCCTGCTTAGTAATAGAGGGCGGAGAAAGAGGAGGAGGAGGAGGAGGAGGGGGGAGGGAAAGAGGAGGACACTAGGGGTGACGACCCAAAGAAAAATCCTTTAATGATTTACACACTCGCGGGAAAAGAAATGTATATATATATATATATATATATGGTAGATGAGAGGTTTCGCGTGGCGTGATGCAAAGTACCAAAACCTAATTTATCGGGGCAGTAAAGGCTGCGTTCTTAAACCGCGAGGGAGAGGCGAATGCCGTGCTGGGAAAGGGTGGAGGGCCCCCCAGAGAGAAAATTTAAAGGAAAGACAGAAGAGGAGAAGGGAGACGCAGCGTAAAGGGCGAATATCGCGGGCAGTTCCAGAAGGACAAGAAAAGACCCCCCCCCCCCCAGGAAAACTCTGATGTCCATGAGTTTGTGCGATTGCAGTCATCTTTGTTCCGCCGTGGGGGACCTAGAAAAAGCACTCCCAAACAAGAGAGCAACACCCACACTTGTGCATCTTCGCGGCAAGTACGTTAACATCAACACACACACACACAGTGCGTTCGCGTTTCGAGACGAGTCGAGTGCTGATCGAAACCGAGGCCCCCACTGCGCCCTTTCCTTTCCTTGCACACACAGCGCAGCTCGATCAGCATGTGTTTCTCACAATAATACTTCCTTTTCGCTGGTCTGCGACTAGTGTTTTTCCTTTTAAAATACTACTGTGAAGGTCATCTTCCAAGGAGCCAGGTTATGACATCGGTAGAACCTGGCAAAACGACATCAACAGAACAGCATCAGCGACAACAAAGGTCTGTTAAGCCTCACATACATCCCCTTCAAGAAAAAAGCAATAAAACTTAGAAGCACCATGTCCCGTCTCCCATCCACACACACACACACACTCGCGGCACTATCACGCAATGAAAGAGGATGACTCGAGGCGTTCTCCGAGTACCGGGTTCTTCGGGGTTCATTCCCTTTCACGTGCTCCCCTCCGCTCTCCAGCGTGGCTGGCATCCTCAGAAGCCCAGACCGAGTAACCAGTGATGGAGCACTGCCCGCCCGTCCAGGTTCACGTTGTACACGTACACGCTGTGGCTGCGGACGAATATCTTCTTGGTGGGGAAAATCTTCATCAGCTCCTCCTCGAAGCGGAACACGTCGCCGTCGACGTTCATGATGCGCATGTAAAACGCCGGCATCAGCGTCTTCGAGTTCATGGAGTACACCTTACCCGGGAGCTGCCCGTTGCTTGTGCGGTGAACAAAGAAGGGTAGAACATCGAGCGGGTCTGCGTGGCCGAGTGGAGGGGCGTAGCCCACGGCGGAGTCGCGACCGGCCACTGCGTAGTGCGACGACATCAGCGGTGAAGACGACGACGAAGAGGAAGACGAGGACGGATCGGCAGTGTTTCCGCTTTGACTATGGCCGTTGTTGACACTGTTGTGACTGCTGCGATACACACCAGGTGGCAGCGGGGGGTCGTCGCTCGCTTCGTCTGCCGGCGCTACCTCCGGCACCGCGCGCAGGTGCGCCTGCAGGGTGCGGAAGTCGTGCAGGGCATACCGCAACGGCAGCTTGAGCAGTTCATCGTACACGTCAGCCCGCAGCTGGCGGCTCCACTTTGTTATGGCCGGCTTCGCCAATGGCACGCGCTGGCCGGTGGCAGACATGGAGATGCCATCCGCGATGTGGCGCAGCTCCGGGCTGTGCGCGAAGTGCGTTGCCGCGAGGCTGCGGGCCTGTGGGGTAGCATGGAAGTGTCCGGCCGTGCGCCGCGGCTGCGTACCTTCCGGGATGACGTTGACGAACTGACCAGCTGGGGAGCGGAGGTCTAAGCCGAGCGCCGGAGAGGCGGCCGAACCGCCCAACCACACCAGACGCGTGGCGGTCGTGCGGAGCATAGCGCTGATTCGAAACCCGTTAGACTGCACCGTGCCAACCAAATAGGAGGCCGGCAATACTAACAAGAACAAACGGAGAGGGAGAGGGGGAGTAAGCAAGAAGAGGAAGCGTCCACAACACACCATCCCGTCACCTGTCAGTTCAGAAAGGCAGGGAGGTTGGGGGGTGGAGAGGAAGGAGGGGGGGGAGGAGGAGAGAG